TCACAGTGGGACAGCGCACTTGTGTTGGGTGTTTCATTGGTGCAACGGTGTGTTTAAGCAGAGGAAAAGCAATGCGCTACAGTGCTGCTGCTAATGCTGCTACTGCTGCTGCAGTGCCGGCATTAGCCTCGGATAGGCCCTTGGCCTGACCTCCTGTACCGTGGAGTTGCGCTGTTTCGCTTCATTGATTCTTATTTCCGATGAGCGCGCGTTGTAGGAGCCGGGGCTCGGTGGCACAGTGGTTCGCACGGTGTTGTGTGAGCCCCCTCGGCCAGGTGGCCCAGCAGTGTCTATGGGGAGCCTGTCAGCGTGTACCCGCTTATCTTTCGTGCAGCATCTGTGCTGATAATGCCGCCTCCTGGTGATAGGGCGGCAGCAGACAGCGTCCTTCCGTTAACTGTTAATGTTGCAGATGTCCTGTCTCTACATTTTTCCTAAATGACAACCATCAGTCTTCCGACACAGCAAGAAGAGCCTGGGTTCGATTCCCAACTCAGGCGCTTCCTGCTTTGTCAGAAGACTGACGTCTGTGCGTGGATTAATAGGTGCTCCATCCGTCCGAATTGAAATACTACCAGGCATAGTTACGCATTTCACTTACGTCTGCATAGACCCCGAGTTTGGGTGAGAGTGTTTCGTATTGGTGTGGTTACGAGCTTCTGCGAGAAGGTTCATTATTAGCGTGTGGGGGGGCTTGCAGAGCCGGGATCAGCCATATTAGCGGTGACGACGCGGTGGTCACGCCGGGTGCAGCGCTGACGTTTGCTCCCTAGGGAGTCGGTGCACGGCGCTCGCCGTAACCGCGTGTGACGCACCACAGTGTCGTGACTGAAGCGTGCACGCTCCGCGCCGCCGCCACCACCACCGCCGCCGCCGTGGGCAGCCTGAATAGCCGGCGCTTGTTGGTGAGTGCGGAAACGCCGTTTTTTTCCCCCCCTCTCGTCTTTCAGCCGTGGCCTGGTGGAGTTGGGTTTTCTTCTTATTATTATTTTACCCGGAGACTTAATTGCAGTGAGAGCGTAATAAGAAAGGGTGGTTTTGTGACGGGGTGGCCAGGTTCACTTTAGGTGAAGGTGGTTGTCGTGACTGAATATTTTTATATATACGATGAGGGAACAATTACAGCGGTTTGCTGTTAGAGGTACTTACCCGTTTGTCATAACCAGTACAGTATTGGCATGTGTGTGTTTTTCTTAGCCGTTCAAGGAAAACACTGCTTTGTTTAATAAAACCTACAGTTACAATCGTTTTTTTAAATCCTCATGACCGTTAACTAAAATAAAAAATGCAGCAAAATAGACGATTACCGGTTTGCCGCACGTCTACATCAACACACACAACATGTTTACCTGTTAACTGTGAAACGAAGGGAGCTGCCTCAGTGGTCGCTATGTATGTATGTTTAACTTCTTCCACACCGTCCGTAGGCAACCGTGCTAATTGGAGGTGCGGTATGGTGGTTAGCAGCACACTGGACAATCCAGAGTTCCACCGTTCAACTCCATCTCTCGGCATAGCAGTGGAAACAATTGGCTGTGATTCTGAAATCCGTGCATTCATCATGACTAACATTCCCCTGGCAGCAGTTACCCATTCCTGATGGTCGGAAACCGGTAATCAATGGTGAAAATGGTTGCCGGTTTACCGGTTTCAGTTTAACAACCCTAATGAAACCCACACATTATTTGCATCGTGCCGCTGGTTAGGGTGGGGGGATTGAGAGAGGATGCGTTGTGAATGGTGAAACGTCTGACACAGAGATAAAGATCCCTAGTGTAGCCTTAGCAGACTGTTGGGGAAAGTGCTGTTAGTGAGCACCTATGAAGGCCACACGGTATATGAGGGGGTGGGTGGCCAGCACCACGCCCAACCGCCTTTGTCTCCCCAGTGGCGTTGTTTTTACACACCACACTAAGTACTAATTTGAGGTTGAGTTGACCTAGGCGAGGTGCTGGCCTTGAGCGGGAATCAAACTCTGGTCACCGGGTTCGTAGCGCACACTACCACTCTCCACACCATCTGATACACGCACATACACGCATGTGCACAGTATGTGTGGTGATATGTTGTGAACATTACTCTATGTATGTGGGGGTACGCAGATGAGCTACTTCAGGTCAGGGGACCCCCACCCCCCAGGAAATGTGTCAGGCTCCCCGTAACCAAATAATTTCAACGGTAAATGTTTTCATTCATGTATTAAGTGACTTTCACTTCGCCTTAAGCAGCCACGCCTGATGATAGTTTGTGAACAGCCCGGCTGGGAGCAAAGGCTGGGAGGCTTTTGCTCCGAACCCTGTAGACTGCAGATGGATACATGGAGAAGTTTTCTAATCCGCTAAGGTTTGATTGATCGATTTTTAGAAACCTTATTGGGCCCTTGACGTTTTTGGCTGGGTAGTTTTGTCTGAGGTTTGAGGCCGAGGTGCATTCCGTTGGAATATGCGATGCCTCGCTTTTGTGTCGTCACCCAGAGTGCGTTGCGCGCATTGGGAGTGCATGCGGGTTTTCTAGCGTGGCCGTGTGGCCATGTTGAGTGTGTGGTGTGGCTGTGTTGAGTGTGTAGGGTGTGGCCACCTGGAGGGTGCGGTGTGGCTGTGTTGAGTGCGGGTGTGTATTCTTTGTTGAATGTGTGTGGTCTGGACATGTGGAGTGTGTGTGGTGTGAGTGCGTGGTATGGAGACGGCGTAGTATGGCTGTGTTGAGTGTGTGTGTATTCTTTGTAGAATGTGTGTGGTCTGGGCATGTGTAGTGTGTGTGGTGTGAGTGCGTGATATGGAGACGCGTAGTATGGCTGTGTTGAGTGCGTGTGTGTATTCTTTGTTGAATGTGTGTGGTCTGAACATGTTGAGTGTGTGGTGTGTGTTGTAGCTGTGTTGGTTGTGGGGTGTGGCCAAGTTTGGTGCGGCTGTGTTGATGTGTGGTTTAGTCATGTTGAGTGTGTTTGTGTGGCTGTGTCGAGTGTGTGTGGTGTTGCTGTGTTAAATGTGTAGGGTGTGGCCATGTCGAATGTTTGAAGTTTGTTAGCACCATATCGTACAGAATGTTTAATGTGTACATGTGGATTCCGTGTTGTGTTTACATTGATTTTGGTGTGCTTGTGTGTATTGTATGTGTATGTGGCCATGTTCAGTGAGTGGTGCGTGTGTATTGAGTGCGGGAAGTCGTTTTGAATGTGTGACTGTGTGTTCGTGTCGAGTGCGCATCACTGTTTTGAATCTGCATCGTTTTTGTGTTGAGTGTGCATGGTGTGTGTGTTGTGTGTGTGTTAAGTGTTTGGTGAGTGTGTGGCGTCCCTGGCCATGGCTCGGCTGCGTTGCTGTGAGACCACTGCGTGTGCGTCACCCATTGGGGCCGTGTGAACGCAGTCGGCGTGCAGCCACGTAAATGCTCGTGCCCTGACTGCGGAGATGGCTGCTCTGGCCTGGCCCTGTCGCCTTGCGTTTGTGAACCGAGCTTGTGACTTGAATCCTTGACATGCAGGCAATGGTATTCATTGCTGACCTGCTCAGGCGCACGGATCACACTCATCGGAAGCAAAGCATTGCTTATTTATGCGTTTCTTGGGAAGCCTTTTTAAATCCTTTATGGGGTTAATGAATACCGGGCAGGTGCACCTTGGCTTTTGCACGTTACACTGTACGGTGTCGCACTGTACGATGAGCGGCTGCTGTCGTTTGCTGGCAGTGAGTAAACAAGCCCCACGTTACATAAAGTAGGTCATGGTGGGATTGGATAATCTGAAGTCCTTGTGTCTTTTCTTGGTAGCTGTGTGGCAGATGTGTGCACCTATAAATAGGCTGCCCTTTGTTGTTTCTGTAAAACAGACATTTGCAATTTGGTGAGTGCCTGCAGAACGACAGCCTGCATCTTGCGCGATACCCCGTACGTTGCGTCAATAATTATCATGTCACGTAATTTATCCGTCAAGGAAAGCATCACAAAGTCTTAAAGCTCTCTTTCAGCTGGATCCCGCATTTTTGACGTTTGGCCAATTTCTTTTTAAGGTTGCGTTGGCACCTTGGCTTCATACAGAATATGCTCTGTGGGGGACTAAAGGCATGAGAAATTCTACACTCATGCAATGATTTGTGACATATTTCATCCATTCTATATTTCTAAGTAACTTGGAGTTGAGCCAATGGCTAAATAACCTTGGATGCACCAGATCTCGGCAGGTATCTGAAGCTAAGCGGGTTTGAGCCTGGGTGGTGCTTGGATGGGTGGCCACAGGTGTTATAGGACAGAGGGCATTGCTACATAATCTGCTGTATGGTACGAGGCTCCATCGTCTATGCTAGGCCTTCAACCCGCACTGACCAGCGTGGTGAAGTATGGTCATTAACCTCCACGACCCACGTGGAGTTGAGGAGGCCCTGATCCAGCAGTGTATTTATTTATGATTATTATAACAGTTTACCCAGGAAAGTCTCAAGACGTTTTTCAGGAGGGATTGATAAAAGGGTTGTACATGTATGGGTGGTATTGTGCGGGTTTTGTCTAAATCATCAACATTTCACACTGCGAGCTTTGCCAGCTGCAGTGTATAGGGAGCTGGCTGGCCCGTGTTCGCATGGTGCGTGCGATCCTTTTCTCGTACGGGTGTTTCAGTGTCGCCGCTTTGCGTTGGAGTGTGTCCATTTGCGAGGCCGCCCATGGCAATGGCACACGGTGGCGGAATTTGACATAGCGGCGTGAGCATCGATCACCGACGGATTATAGAACGCACTCGCTTCACTTGGCTTACCATCACCGTGCATCGTTGGAAGTTTAGTCACTTGCTATCCTGTCCCGTTGTTTCTTGAACCGTGATGTGCATTGTGGGGGATTTGTAAGGCATCGTGGGTAGCAGAGATGGTCGTGGTTCTACCTCCCCGGGGGAGAGTTGAACTCGCGCGTAGTCCATGAGCCACGGGGTTGATCGGTACTGCCTGGGCTGGAGAATGGCATGAATATACACCACTCATGGGTCCTGTGCGGTTGTATTGCTCCCCCCCCAGGTGCCACCACAGAGGAGGAGGAGCGGGTGGTGAGCTGCTTCGCCGTGCGCATAGGGGGGGTGGGCTCTCGTGCAAACACCTTTGGCCACCTGGACTTGGTGGCTGAGCGTGCGAGCACCCGGCCCACTACCCCCACCCCCGGCACGGCCCCGGTACAAGGCGCTTTCCCAGCAGTCATGTCGGGCTCGGCTTTTCCTCCGTCGCAAGCTGGCTTCGCCGCTGAGCCCGGACGCTACCCCACCGCCTCCCTCCAGTATGGATACCAGACAACGCGGCAGCCACAGGTGTGTGACCTCGCGCGGGCAGTGTCGCCCTTCCCTTTCCCCCACCCCCCCGTTCCTCCTGCGTTTTTCGGCTTGTCGCCACGTTTCGGCATCCTCGCCTGCAGATCGTGCCCAGCACTCGATTGTGCGAATACAGATCAGCCCGTTAACCTCACCGCCGTGAACCACTGGGAACTTTAAAAATGTATCTGAGGCATTGAAGCTGTCTGCCTATCAATGGAAGCACTTTCACTGAGCAACTGATTGGGACGGAGGCTTATAAGTTGCTATTCATCCAGTCATGCGGAGAGAGAAGTGTTCTCATGTGTGGCACTTTAGTGAAGCTGTACGCGATATTTTGTCACCTCTTCTACATGTGTTTGTTGTTGTTGACGGGTGAGGAGATGTATGTTGCCATGATGACACTACGCTACCGTGCATGTACGCCTCTTGTTCTCTGCGTCTGTGCTACGCACGTACAGGAGTACAGCGCTGCTGATTACCGGGTGCACGCTCAGGATTTCGGCTCGCCACAACAGAGACGGCGGCCGTCCCTCCTCACGGAGTACCAACCGAGCGGAGAGAGGTGCGGGGGCTTGGTGGGGCGGAGAGGTGGGGGGGGGGGCAAGCTCAGGGAGGCTCCCAAAAATTACCAGAATTTTTTTTTTCTATCATGTGATAATTTGGTGCATAAATACTGCATCAGTGTAAACAACGCACAGGCATCGACCTGAGATTGTTTTCCCAATGAATGAATGCACCTGATGAACAAAGAGCAAATGAATGTGGTGAATAATTGAGTATAACCATAACTACCATAACTGGCCCCAAATATGTCTCGATGGCCCTGGTCATGATACTTGCATTGAATCGTGTGTGTGAGAATTGATTCATTTGTGCAAATGACACGCTTTTGTTACCGTAAGGACAGGCTTCTGCAGCTGGCACCCTGTGAGCCAGATGTGGCCATTGAAGGAGGGCTTTGGGATTCGCCCGCTGAGCTATAGTTTGCTGAGAGATACGGCTCGCAGAAACATTAATATAAATTTTGGAAATGGGAGGTGAACGAAATGGAAATGAGAGAGCTGCAGAGAAGCCATCAAGACGAGTGAGTTAAACAGAAGAGGGAGAGGACAGACCTGGAAATCACGTGTACAGATGTTGAGACCATGTGACTTCATAACATCTATCCATGTTACACATGATGTCACAGGACCCACCAGCAGACGGGCCACGTGATGTTATTATGTGGCCCGCTAACAAATATAGTAAGGAACCCTGCATTAGGATAGCAAAATTAATGTGGCACAGCAACGAAGACGGGTCAAACGGGGACAGGATAAACAAGACGAAAAAGAATCAATTCTTCACTTGATGATACTCAAATGTGACATTTTAATGATTCACCACATGAATAGGTCTGGCATTGCTGGAGGCTGCATGTCTTGTTGGCACGCTTTCAATCATTCGTCCCTCTACTTTCCTATGGATGGACTCACGGGAAAGTGAATGTGTATTCTGGTGTTTGCCGCTATTTCATCATCTTGATGATGCTCATGTTACATGTGGTGTGGTGTGTAAACATCGCCACTGGGGAGACAAAGGCGGTCGGGTGTGGTGCTGGTCACCCACCCCCTCGTGTGCCGTGTTGGCCATTCATAGGTGCTCGCTAACGACACTTGCCCCAACAGTCTGTTAAGGCCATACGGGGGATCTTTGTCTTTGTTTTTGCAGCGGCAGGCCTCCCTATGCTGGCCCGGCCGGCACTGTGCAGGACACTGACAACCTCGACATGAAGAGGCCTCGGCTGGAGCAGCCGCAAGGCCTGGAGGCGGCCATGCAGCGCAGCACGCTGCTGCCCCCGACGCAGCCTGCGCTCGACGGCACGGCCACCAGCGTCGTCAGGAAGGTGAGGGGCACTTATCGAGGTGTGCGGGGAAACCGAGAGTACTGACAAGCGAGGGTTGTCGTGCGCCCGAGGTTGCGGGGGCATAGAGGCCTTTCAAATCTTAAATCCAGCCAATGAGGGCAGGGCCTGAGAACCTTTTTCTGACTGAGGGCCGAATAGGGCTTTCACATACCTTTGCGGGCCTCGCATGAAGGCACAGCTTATCATTATTTAAAATAACGTGAAAAATAATTAGGCCTCACCCTTACAGGTGATTTAGCGTGCATATGTTATAAACGCAATGTTGCTAGGTTAAAATATTCCTCTCCTTGTACCAGATTTGTGCGGCAAAGATGGAGTAATTGATAAATATCGTTCGAGACCTATTTAAATGTTGTAGGCCTCATGTGACAAGTGAGGTTGAGGGTCTTTTTTGGCCCATGGACCATAGATTCCCCACACTGGTTGTAGGGAGATACCTTTAGCTGTAAAGAGCGGTGAGGCTCACTTTGAGAAGTAATCACGTCGCAACGTGCTACTCGCTGGACTTCCAGTGGTTAGCTCTGTGCTCTGTAATGTCGTCGTCTCTTTCGCCGTTGGGGTATTTTTGTAATTTCTCTGACATGTTCACAACAGAGAAATTGCGCTGATGACTGAAATGTAAATTTTCTAAATTCAGAGGTGCTGGGTGCACATAAAATATTGAAACGTGCAGCATGTGATGTCACCCGGTTTTAAACTTTTAGAACGAAATTCGACACAGACAGTTTTGAATCGTCAACTTTTTTAAGTTAAAATTTTCCAAGACTGCTGGATATTACTGCTAAAGAAAATCCCCCAGTGTGGTTCTTTTGATCTTGCGAAATTCATCTGACTTCTCGTGAACCTGCCTTTTGGTGGAACATCACAACGTATCAGTGTCATTCAGAGTTGCTTTTGGGGAAAATTAGAATAATGTGCCAGTGCTTTTGATGTGAAGCAGCCATGCCCCACGTATGTTCCTAATATCCCAGTAAAAGCATGATTCATCAGTTAAAAGAGGACAAATACTGTACATAATGAAACAACTCTTGTGGTTTTATTATCTGTGATTCCTAACATCTGCCAGATGTGTCCGATCCACGTTTATTCCCCTTAACTGATATTTTGCAAATAAGGGAAGGACTCTTGTAATGATACCAAAATCTTATCGTTATGGACGGTCTGCAGAGCAAGGCTGTGGATAGCATGGCACTAAATTAATCTCATCCATGGTTATCTGCAGATAATAAAAATGTATGATGATGATGGGTGGTTGTGATAACGACGATGGATGAAGATGATAGTCATCGCTGCCTTTGGCAATTTAAAAACCGCTTCTGCTGCCAGTCGCTGATGCCGCAGTTCAATGGCGGAGCCAGGATTTTCAGGTAGGGGGAGCAACCTCTCCAGCAATTAAAAATGATAGGATTTGTTAGTGAGTAAGGACTTGTCCCTTGCTTTTTATTCGACGCGTGTGCGGCGATGGCGCAGCCATCGATCGAGGGTCGAATTTGAACCGTGTATGATCGGCATCGCGCTCGCTGAAGGTGAATGCCTTCAGGGAAGTCGTGTACTGTATACGCAACTGCGCACAATTCTATGAGTCACTTATAACTGCTTTGCCGTTACTTATTTCCAATTATGGACTCAGACTATTGTTCTTTCATCTCATAGAGTCCCTGGCACGTAATAATATGCTACACAGTGGCAGTGGGGGTCGCAAAATGCCGATTTATTACCCCCCCCCCCCCACTGGCTCCGCCAGTGCCGCAGTTGGTAATTGACGGTGATGAGGATAAAGGTCGCTGCTCGGCTCTTGCCTTGAGGTTGTTCTGGGCTGTGGGCTATGTAGTTAGCAGTAGAGGGCACTCCAGCAAAATACATTGCTGTATTGTGCCCCAATGGCACATGGCCATGGGTATTCTTCATCTAGCAGTGGATTCTAAAAGGGTGGGCAATGTGTAACATATACATATATTGACCATCAACCACCCACACTGACCAGCGTGGTGAAGTATGATCAATCAATCCCCATGACTGACACGGCTTGGGAGAGGTCCTCATCAAGCAGTGGAGCCTGAAGCTACAAAGCCGGCGAGTTTTCGTGATCGACACCGGCGCTCGCAAGACAAGACTGATTAAACTCAAATTAATTAAAAATATAATTAAAAACTTAAACAAAATAAAAATCCGTAACACGTTCTAGTTTTTTGTTTGCAGTGGAGCACATGGTGACGTGTCCAACACGTTGAACCACAGGAGTATTGTGCGGAGTGAAACAAATCAGAGATGGTTATTGTTTATTTTATTACGTGACGCATGTAGCAACGCTTCACCCATTAAATTGATTATCATGGATACGGTACGGGCGAACCCCTACTGACATACCGCCAGGGCTCGATGTCATCTGGGCTAATCCACATCAACGACCCAGAAAAAATCTGCATCTGGCATACCGCATCCAGTATAAGTCTCGCTGTGGCTACTCGGTCACGTGCCACCTACTCTAAGTCTTAATTGATAAATGAATTCCTTACTACTGCGCATACACCTCGTTACTGCTAATGCCGCAGGAGAAGTTACCGTCTGTGCCAGTGCGGAACCTGACCTGGACGGTGCACGCAATGTCTTGTTCCCACCTTCCCCTTGCTCCTCCGTCAGGAGGCGCTGTTCACCGGGAAAGTTGAGCCGGTGTCTCCGCCAGCAGTCCCGATGGCACTCACGGAGGACGCGGACACTTCCCCGTCCAAGCTGTCCAAGGAGGAGCTGCTGCAGAGCATGGACCGCGTGGACCGCGAGATCGCCAAGGTGGAGCAGCAGATCGCCAAGCTGCGCAAGAAGCAGGTGCGTGGGCGAGAGGAGACGGCGCGGGAGGCCGTGCCGTCGCACGGTAAACCCGACATGCGCTGGGCACTGGTGACGCAGCTCGTGAGTGTGCTGGAAATGCAACCGCAGTGGCATCGACGGCCCGAGAGGGCCTAGGTGCCAGGCTACGAAGAAGAGACAATTGGACACGGAGCCCCATCCATCCCATGCCAACCACACCACTGCCGGGCATCACTATAATGGGCAATGCAAGCTCCCAGCCGCTATGGTTTTTTTTTCTCCCAGGTATATTCCCGTTGTGTGCACTGTCATGTTTGCATGTGGAATCCTCACTGTGAGAAGTGAACCACACTGTTGTAATATGATGACACCATAGGCACTTAGCAGGCATCTATATCCTCATTAGCAGTTTCAGAAGTAGAACTTCGATGTCTGCTTCTGTGGGCTGCAACATGGAGGATGGTTGCACTGCTCTGCGTTAGATGAAAATTAATTATTTATATCGTGATTTGATGCCGATAGCAAACGAGGGATAACATTTGGGGAAAAGACTGAAAACAAATCTTAAAACGTAATATGCAATCTCGCATGTTTGTTGTGGAGGTATGCAGTTTGATTCCGTAGGCTTTACCTGTTATTACTGCCGGTGTATTAACCATAACATGCGCCGTTTGCTTGACAGTGGACGTTAAAGATCCCGTGACGTCATTCGAAGTAGGCCATTGTGGACCGTCGACACGGTCCAAATTCACCAAATTCTAAACATTACCCACAATTTACTCGATTTCTATTACAGATAGTAACATCGCCCCCTATTGGGAAGCGACTGCAGGCTATGTCTGCGAAACATAGCGCCTTTTGATAATTTTACTGTTTATATAAGTATTGGGCGACTTGTGTGCGTGTCCTGGGCGCGTGTGGATCACAGCAACAGCTGGAGGAGGAGGCGGCAAAGTCTCCCGAGCCGGAGAAGCCCGTGTCTCCTCCGCCCATGGAGTCGAAGCACCGCAGCATCGTGCAGATCATCTACGACGAGAACCGCGTACGTAAAACGTTCGGCCATGGCCTCTGCTCGGGGACTCGTCGATCATTCTTCCGCATTCGCTTGTTCGACGCTTAGATTGATGTTCATGCTCAGGGCGCGTGGATTGAGTGGTACGTATGCAAAGCAGTCGGTGTTTGGTTCATGGTACAGTTGTTTTTCTGCCCCTAAAAATGCATTCTCTATGCATTTTATTTTACTGAAGGCTAATTCATGTTTGGGACAGATGAGACATTGTTAAACGATATAGACGGTACGTACGAACAAGACTGGCGACGCACATGTGTGTATGTTGAACTTTTTTCACACCGTACGTAGCCGACCATGCTAATCGGAGGTGTGGTACCGGCAGTACAAATTAAACGGTTAAAATGCTACGAATGAGACAAAAGGTACAAATCACTTTTCTCCCAGCCGTATGTGTCATTGTTTCCCTGCCCTTGTTCAATCTCGTGATCCCAGTTGAGTAATTTGTGACATACATAATGGCCACATCGTTTCGAATGTTGCCATGGGATCGTTGATGGCCACTCTGAAGCAGACGGCGCATTTGTGCGGTTACTACACCGGAACCTTTGCGACCGCGCTACTGCTGGTTCATGTCACCGTCCGCGTTGCAAACGCATTGTGTGCCAGCTCTGAGTGTCGTGTCTTGCCTGTGGTTTCACATTGATACGCGTGTCCCTGTAGTATGGCAATAAGGACGTTTTGATGCTGGTAAAACCTGTGTAGATGCTCCGGTATGAATCGAGTTACTCTGAGCAACTGCTGTGTGTTTCCGTGGCTCATTATCTGCGACTTGTAGCTTTCACTCACTGGGCTCTCGCTTGTAGCCGAGTGCTGATTGAAAAGGTGACCCTGTGCACATTGCTCAGGGTGATTTGTCTGAAAGTGTTTGGAATTTTATTGGACAGGCCGTGGTGGGGCAGTTGTAATTCACTCGTTGTGCCCTCTGCTTTCACCACCAGCCAATTATTATTTCCCCCCCAATTTAATTGCACCAAGTATTACAGAAAACAACGTCGTTACATTACTGCAGATGTGTCTATTTTACACGGAGGTGCCTCCCATTGTCAGCGTTATTATTTGATGTTGTATTGTACTCTTTGGTTCTTTCGGTAAAGTCACGTAGATAATAAAATGAAAATAACTAAATTAAATCACGACGTTTCGGAGGCAACACAAGCTTCCGTCATCAGGTGGAATAGCCACAGCAAAATTACTGTAGTGAATAGTATTTTTAAATCCTTTATATTAAGTTCACTTGCTTGCTTGCTTACGACCGTGCAAATCTTTCGGTCGTTTTTAACCCACTTCCCGTGATCCAATCGAGCTGACATTTTGCACACATACTCGTTGTGCGTGACAATGTATTTTCGTGAAACATTTTTTCCAAAATTTTACACTTTTTAGGAAAAAATAAATTATATTTAATTACCAATTGCTTAATGGTGGCAGCCATTCATCTGACCCATAGGTGGCAGCCATCTCAAGCCAGAGGACGAGAGGACTCTAGCCGCCACGCATATAAAGGATTTATAGTGAAAAACTTTTTTTACGGGTTAATTTTTTATTGTTATTTTTATTTTTCATCTACGTGACTTTACCGAAAGAACCAAAGCGTATGGATCCTTGCAGTCACGAAAACTTCAAACCTAGAATGTTGTATTGTGTTTGACCCACACAGTGCAACCACTGCTGTGTACGTGAGCTGTCATGTTCGAGCTGTAGTGTGCGTGAGCAGTGGTGCGTGTCAGCCGTGTTGTACAATCGTCGTGTTGTATCGTGTGTGAGCCGCATGCTGTGTCAGTGTTGCTGTGTGTGAGCTTTGTGGTGTGGAGTCGGTGATAGGTGCTGTGTGTGTGTGTGAGTAGTACATTGTGCGAGCACTGACATGCTGTGTGGTGTCAGCACTGTGGTGCGAGTGATGTGGTGTGTGAGACCTATTTTTTTGTGAGTGGTACGGTGCGAGTGGTGTAATGCGTGAGTGTTGGTGTGAGTTGTGTGTGGTGTAAGTCGTGTGTGTGAGCAATGTGGTGTGTGAGTATTGAGGTGTGAATAGTGTGGTGTGTGAGTATTGTGGGGTCTGTGAGTGGCGTGGTAGTGTGGGTATGTGAGCTGTTCGGTGTGTGACCAGCATGGTGAGTGCCATGTTGCCATGGTTACTGTGGCGTGTGTGGGTGTGTGTTCACTGCAATTATGCCTGTGGGTGGTTCACATTTTTCCGATTTTGGCTTTATTTGTGAGTTCTTGATTCACCAGCTGCTGCTCGTGATGCGCAACGTTTTCATTTTAAACCGAGGCAACTTCCCAATATTCACCTCGGGCGACCATTTTCAAAAATTTCATTAAGCTGCCCGGAATCAGTATTGTCTTTTTCTATGTTAATTAAAATCATCTCGATTTCCTGCTTTTACAATCAAATGAGTAGAGAGAGTTTCACTTGTTGGTGGTGGTCTGTACTAGGAGTTGGCCGTCGATGTGGAATGATTAAGTGTGCGCCTCAGTGGGAGTGCATTGGGTTTGCGCGGAGCTTGCAGAGTGAGCGTTGGGCCCTGGGCGACCGGCTGGCCGGCACTGCCGCTGGCTCGGCTGCACAAACCAATCCTAGTGTGATATTTTTAGCGGCGCTGGGAAGAGTGTTACCCACTCGTGGCTCCGTCAGCATGTGACCTTGGTGTGTGCGTCTTGGCGAGCAGTGGGGAGGGCTTTGCGCGACCGACCAGAATCGTCACAATGCAGAGTCGCGACTCATTTTCAGCCTTTTCGCAAATTTGGCGCCTCTAGTGGATAGGCAGAGGGCACAAAGCGGTGCATTATTTGTAGGTTAAATGGATACTTTGTACGTTCACAGTGCATGCATAAAATCGTAACAATTGCTTCTTGTGCGTTTATATATATTTTGTGAAATGAAGTGACCCTTGCAACCACAAGAGGAGCTATATTTCTAGGAATGGTAAAACAGAATAAATTATAATTATTCTTGATGTGAATCGTGGCTGTGGAATGGGCTATTACTTGTGTACAGAATAATCTCGTAATTAGCCACGATCGATCCACTGGGTTTAAGCGCGGGTCTTAGAACTCGTGGCGGAAACGTGAGTCATGTCATTTGCACACCGCAACCTTCATCCGCTGGTCGTGGTTAACTGTTGCCGCTGCTGCTACTGCATCTCCCGACATTTACAAACCCAGGCGATGTTTACAAACATGGGTGTGTTTACCACAGCCGCGACAGGCTGTATTACACATGCATGAGTGGCAGTGGATTGCTTGTGTAGAGAAGAACCCCGCTGTGAGGTGACGTTAACAATTCTCTGATGCTCGTGACCAGGGTTACCCTCACAATTACAACCGACAACCGCCACCCCCCCTACTAACCTCCCATCGGATCGTCTCCCACTCATTGCCGGTGCAGCACTCATGCCTGGGCTCAGTCAGCAACGTCACCGGAGCGCGCAAAACACCACAGAAAATGTTCTTTCCAGGAAACCTTTCATTAAAGCTGGGCATCCAGCAGGCGAGGTTACTTAGCCACCCTTCCGCGACGCACTCGAGCTGCAGGAGCGAGCGGGCTCCGGCTCGGTTTTGCGCGACAGTCACCTACAAATACATGGACTGCGGTTAAAGCAAGAGAAGAGTTTGCGACGAGCACAGTTTATTGAGGAGCAGCGGTTGGAGATTAAAAAAAAAATTTGTGAAAATAAGTTGACTATTTTTGCAGGAAAAACCATTGGGGGGAGTGAGGTGTGTTTGCTGTTAAATAATCGATGATTATGTAAAGCGATGCGCAGTTGACTTTTGTGCTGATACCGCTGCACGTTGTTTCATTTGCAGAAAAAGGCAGAAGCTGCTCACAAGATCCTTGAGGGCCTGGGACCGAAGCTCGAGCTGGTAAGCGCGCGGCGTCTCTTGCGCGGGAAGCCGCTGTCCCCTTGATCCCGAGGAATGAAAGGTGGACGCGCCATTCACAATGCCGCGAGTTTTATCCCGCCGTCGCTGGGTTTCGGCGCGGCCAGATGTGACCGTTTCACAACGCACACTCGTGCCGAGAGATTGCATCAAACATCAAACACGAGAGCCGTGTTTTGTGCGATCTGAGTGTGGTGGAGCTCGTGTTTGGATAGCAGGGAGGAACCGCCACACGCTCCGTGATTCTACCACCTTCGTGATCTGTTGCTGGGAACATAGTTTCTTCCTTGCATCGATCATCTTATTACAGGCTCCTGTAATAAGATGATCGATAAGATGATCGATTGGGCCAGTGAGAGCGAAGGCAGCCGTAATAAGTAGCCCCCGAGATGCTTGCGTTTTTTTTGAGAAGCCTCATTAGCGCCGGGCAGAATGCGGGTGGTGAGCCGTAATCCCAGTCCATCGCGCTCTGGCTCCTGCTCCCTCCTTCATGTTTGAAGTGAGTTTTTGTTTAAATAGGTGATAACCGAGGAGAGTCTCATTTGCACGCATCACCTAGGTCACCAAAATTACAAAAGCAAGTCAAGTAAAACAAAGTACAGCAATGAAGAAAAAATATTCAAACAAAAATGCTTTGCACGTGAGGAATAGAAAGTGTTGCAAGCCTAAATCATTTTTCAAATCAAGGTTAAATATTAAATTCCCTGCATTCCCATTCCAATCGGGTGGTGGCGGATTTAACGACACATTATATTTACGCGATCTAACCCAAAAAAAACCTGTATTTTAGGGTGACTGTTGAAACTAATACGCCCGCCCGGTTTTCTTCGTGCAGCCCCTATACAATCAACCGTCGGATACCGTGGTCTACCATGAAAACATCAAAACGTAAGCGGCCCCGTGAGTTGGCAGCGCTGGCTTTGGTATCGAGCTTGAGAACAGGCACAGGACACAAACCGTGTCATGAATCGTGATTGCTGCTGCATCCAGTTGTGGGTTCTTGTACTCTGTGTGTGTGTGCGTATGGTGGAGAGCGGTAGTGTAGTGGTTAGCGCGCTGCGCTACGAACCCGGCGACCCGAGTTCGATTTCTGCTCAATGGCCAACACCAGTGACGATTATCTGAACCGGTCCTGGGCCTCCCCTAGGTCGACTCAGCCTCTGTTGCGGTGTGTAAAAATTAATCGCCACTGGGAAGACAAAGGCGGCCGGGCGTGGTGCTGGCCACCCACCCCCTTGTGTGCCGTGCCGGCCTTCATAGGTTCTCGCTAACAGCACTTGCCCCAACAGTCTGTTCAGGCTATACGGGGGATATTTTTTATGTATGGGCATGGGTACATGTGTATGCATGTGTGTGCATGTATTTTTGTGTGGGAGCGATATGTAGTGGTTAGTGCGCTGCGCTATGAACTCAGCTACCCAAGTTTAATTCCCGCTCACAGCCAACACCATTGACTATTATCTGAACGGCTCCAAGCCTCCCTTATGTCGACTCGGCCTTTAATATGTACCTGGTGCTGTGCGCAAACAACAGAGGCGGTGCAGCATGGTGCTGACCACCGACCCCCTCGCGTACTATGCTGGCCTTCATAGATTCTTGCTGAACAGCACTTGCCCCAAACGTCTGTTAAGGCTATACGGGGATCTTTGTTGTTGCGTATGGTTGTGTGTGGGTTTTTGTGCATGTGTTTGTGTGTGGGTATGTGTGTGCACCTAGCACAGCACAACGCCATGATGCCGTCACTTCGTGGCGAGCGGTTGTTGCATATGTGTACGTGTGTTTGCGTGCTTTTGTGTATCGTTTGAAGGGCTGGACTGCTGGACCGTTTCATTGTTCGATCTCTGAGCAGCGTGTGTAATCTCTGCAGGATATTGTTGTATGAATGATAATGAGATTAGTCCCTATTGAATCCCCACTGTGAAAATTTGGGTCAAGGATGGTGGGGATAATGTAATTTTTGGATTTGAAAACGCTTGAAAGACATTATTAATTATTGTTATTACTGTTTCCGAAAATTTTGTAAATAGACTAACGTGGGTTTGTAGAGGCAGCTGACGTGTGGGGGGATGCAGGCTTCCAGTCGCGTTGAGCGCTCGGTGACTCACAGCAGTTGTTTTTCCGCATCGCCCACGGGGGCACGTGCTGCACGAATGAGCGCAACGAGACGAGGAGGCCGTGCGGTGACCGCGCTCTGTAGCTGAAGGAGACGTGTGCGACAATGCCTCGTCTTTCCGTTACAGAAATCAGATAATGAGAAAGAAGCTCATCCTGTACTTCAAGAGGAGGAACCACGCACGAAAGCAGAGGGTGAGTCGTGCCAATGACGGCACGGATTCTCGTGATTATCGGACACCACGATGTCACGCGTGTACCCCGTGTGTCGGCGTATCTGAAACCTTCGGCTGTCGGTTTGAGTTGGGGGCTGCGCGTGGCCCTCAACTAAACCTATGCCGTGGCCTGTCTGCCTCGCACCTGAGCATTGCTGGAGCATTGTTTGAATGGCCCTGCTCAATTATATTCTTGTCCTGATGCCTTCATACCTGCGTGGCTCCTCCTCCAGTCTCCCCACCCCCTCCCCTCCAGTTAAGGGAAATTGTCCGTATTTTTTAACAAGGTTTAAGTAATGTATGCCTGGGTTAGGTTTACTGTCCAAGCTAAAACAAACGTTACTATTTCCTGCTGTTTTTTTTTTACAAAATTGGTGACCTAAGTGAGAAACGCCATTGACCACGCGTCTCTCTTTCACATTGACCCGCCGGAGACACCGCTGGTTCCTAGAGTGCCCTGGATGAAAGCGCAAGGCTGCCCTTGCTAAGGGAGCCGCGCTGCCCGGTTGGTGCTGGTTTGGCCCGGTAAGGCTCCTGTGGGAACCTCGGCCGATCACACTTGGCCGGTTCGCTTTCCCTGTGGTCGTAGAAACTTAGCTTGTTTAGAGGTCATTGGCCGTGGCCCCGGGGTCATCGGTACCTGCATCCAATGCGCTAAACCGGGAGCGACCGCTGGGCCGCGGGCCGCGGTGTGTGTGCGCAATGCGCGCCCACAGGAGCAGGAGCTGTGCAAGAGATACGACGAGCTGATGGAGGACTGGGAGAAGAAGGTGGAACGCATCGAGAATAACCCGCGGCGGCGCGCCAAGGAGGCGAAGACGCGCGAGTATTACGAGAAGCAATTCCCCGAGATCCGCAAACAGCGCGAGCAGCAGGAGCGCTTCCAGAGGTCAGGGGCAGCGCAGCGGAGCCACACACACACGTTCACACGCTGTTACGTTACGTACGTATGTGCACGTACACACGCATGCATACTCGCAGAAACACATTTGTTGCATTCTTTATTTTCGGGGTGCGTTGAAAGATATTGTTTGCAGCACATGCTATTGTTCTGAGCGCTGACACGAGAAAGGGAATGCGTTGGAAGTTGTCGGCGTGGCGGGCGCGTGACGAGCCGTGCCGGTGGTGTGCGTGGGATTCTGCACAGGGTCGGCCAGAGGGGTTCGGGTTTGCCTGCGACGGTGGCCCGGAGTGAGCACGAGATGGCTGAGATTATAGACGGGCTGTCGGAGCAAGAGGTAACCATCCTGTCGCGCTGCGCTCAACATGCACGCACGCACACAGGGGACACGAACTGGCGAGTCGCACACAGCACCGTGCATGACCTCAGAGAATTGGCGACGGAGTTGAGTGAACACCGATATCCACAAACACTGACGCTTAAGGAACCTCCGGGATTTAATCTCGACCACGGAAACAACAGTCCACATTCCGTGAAATGTTTGCTTCTCAAAGCAGACCCACCCACAACCTCATGAGCGAACATTCGAAGCAAGCCCCCAGTGTGCGATAGTGCAACACTGAGCAGACCGATGGAATGCAGTTTTTTGGTGTCCTATTGGACCTGTTTCTCCAGACACTGGGCAGTAGATAGGGGGCATTTCCATCTTACAGAAAGAGGCAGTCATAGGAAACAAGGAAGGTCTTCAGCTTGGACTGAACCGGGGTGGGAAGTTGACAGCACATGTGGCAAGGGACTTCCTGACTGCGGGGGCAGCAGAGGAGAATGAGCGAATGCACACACAGGCTGTGAATCTCGACCATGCAGGACAGGTGAGACTGCTGGCTGCATTGGTCATCATGAAAGGAAATTGCAATTTTTGGGGACTGCAATTGATCCAGTAAAAATAGACAAAGGTGTTCAAATAGTGACTTAATATAATCGTACACGTCGCTATTGGGGGGCCGGCATGTGTCGTAGTAGTTAGCACGTGTCTTGGTGAACAGCGCTTAGTAAGCGACGGTGCGCGTGTCCGGCGTGCGTGCTCGTCTAGAACAACGAGAAGCAGATGCGCCAGCTGGCAGTGATCCCTCCCATGCTGTACGACACGGAGCAGCGGCGTGTCAAGTTCATCAACCACAACGGCCTCATTGAGGACCCCGTGAAGCTGTACCGCGACCGGCAGCTCCTCAACGTGTGGTCCGACCATGAGAAAGAGCTCTTCAAAGAGAAGCAAGTGGCCCTCGCTTCTAGCACCTGTGGCACCATGGCGACAATGAGTCATAACCTTCGATTGAGGTTACATGCTTTGCTAGGTAATGTTGATTTTTTTCGTCTCGTTTTTTCTTTCCGAATATAGGTTCATTCAGCATCCGAAGAATTTTGCCCTCATAGCCTCGTACCTGGATAGAAAGGTAAGCAGATCGGTTATTGAAATAGCAGTCACAACACATACAGATGTGCCCGCAAACCGGAGGAAGACATGACATCTATGCTGCCCTGCATGCATGTCACGTGACCACCAACTCAAATGAGCTGAGAACGTTGCCTGGCCGGTGTTTACGTTGCCTTATTATCGACGCTTAGTGCATGTAGTGCAGCGGTAGAGCCTGCCTAGTTTGCTGTCACCGGTTGCTTGTGAGTGACGAGCGCGCCTGCCGTCCCCTCTCAGAGCGTCTCGGACTGCGTACTTTTCTACTACCTGTCTAAGAAGAACATCAACTACAAGAACCTTGTGCGGAGAAGCAACTGTCGACGCAAGGGCAAGGGCACGGTGAGCGGCGGCTGGGTGGCACGCACGATACACGGGCTTTTGGGGGTGGAAAGGCGGGGGGCTTGTTATACTTGCGGGGTTATGGCAATCTCTGCCTCCCCTCCCACTCGGTGAGGGTCCAAAACCACTGTCCCCAGGGAGTGGCTCGTGAATGCAGTTGCTTTGCTAGCCCAGCAGGTGGCCATGCGGCTCGGGCAAATCATGCCGGATCATGCCAGATCGTGCCGGATCTGAGCACGGCAGTCTCCGCGGGCCCCGGTTCCAATCCGAGCTTCAGCTACCCAGGATGAAATCTGCTTCCCAAGTGTAGTGGACGGTGGCAGCCTGGTCACCGATTACAAAACAAATCTATCATTCCGTTTGGCTGCAAGGTGGCCAGGAGAAGATGTGTTGGCGTTACAACACGTAGATTAGTGAATCTTAACTGTGTAGAGCTCTAAGTGTTATCCATGTACTCTTGAAATTGGTCTAATTTCCCAATGCAGAACCCTCCGGAAAGAGGCTTGAGTCTCAGCGAGGCTACTATTATACCTGGTTTTTCTAGATCTTGAAAAGCATTTAATTCAGCATAAATGGATGCAGTCATCTGAGCACTCACAAACCAAGTAATGAATGGAAATGTATAGCCATTCGTCAAACTGTTAAGAACGATGGATAAATTATGCTGAGATTAAATGAAGAAAACAACATACAAGAGGGAAATTCAGTGCTTTGGTAAAATTTTATTTAAAAATGAAAGCAAGTGAGCAGTGTGCCAATAGTCAAATGTTTTTTTTATTATCAATGTACATTACCTGCCCCGTCGCTTAACATGCCAAGAGACATGGGCACTGCTAGAGAGAAACAGAGGAACACATGGATTCGAGAACTTGTTCAATCAAATTAAAGCCCTTGTATTGATTAGTAAGAAGATAAAGTGGGCTTGGGCAGGGGGGGAGATGGCTGATTAGCAAGACTGGTGACGGGATAGAGAATAGGGCACGTTAAATTCTGCCATTTGAATTTCTGCGACATTTTTTCCGGCACACGATTGGTGCGGTACAGGAGAGAGAAGAGAGAAGAGCGTTGGAACAAATGCCCCCCCCCCCCCCCCCCGCGTGCAGAATGTCACCACCTACATCGACGCGGCGCCTGCGCGACACCGAGTCGCGTTGTGTGACGTGTGGCATTTGCGCGTGCGCTTTGTGTTGTGGAAGCAATTGTGGTGGTGGCTGGTGTTGTGCAGCGTAATTCTGCCATTTGAATCTCTCCATCAGAATTCACAAGCTGACAGACAGTGGCGCTCTGGAAACTACTCCTCCGTGGACAATGATGTGGGTGTGATCGCAGCTAGGTTTTTCCAAATCTAGTCACACTGACAAGGCGACGTATAGTAACGCGAGGCCGCCTATTGGCGCGCGTTTTACCCTACCGGGGCCAGAGGGTGGTGAAATTAATTGCTGGTGTGGATTGTATTCCACATTGTGCTATGTTTTTTTAAGCGACACACTAATGTGCATAATCAATATTGGAGGTGGATCGATGCATCGGTTCATAGATGACATTCATAAGCTCACCTCGCCTTTTAGCGATTCGTGCATGTAAGAATCGATGTTTATCGATTCTAACATGTTGATTGTTATGGTTTCATTTGCACCCTGCAGCCACTCGTGGCCACTACATCCACAACACTGCTAATAGAAATGATTAAATCTTGCATCACGTTTATGGCCTGCAATTTTGACAAATCAGCTAATCGCAGCTACACCTTTAATTGCTGTTATAATGGAGCAGATGTGTTGCATTTGTGGTGACTGCGATTGCAAGTATAAATTAGTGTAACTTGTTAATTTGCTGTGCCCAGCGAGCATCGCTGGCTCTGCGCTTGTGCCATGGCTTTGCCTGTGCAGGTCGACTGTGCAGCATGTCAGGAGCCAAGGCCTGTGACGACGTTAGTAAAAGGCTTCAATTTAAACACAAGCATTCATTTCAAACAGCTGCCCACCACCGTCAACCACCAGTGACACACGCCTGCATACCATCATGCCGGTCCCGCATGCACCTTGACACGTGTGTGTGTGTCTGTTGAACGCTTTGCTATATAACATAATACCCTGTGGCTTGCCAAATACATTCATGCAAATGTCTCAACTTGACACTACTGACGCACTTCGGGAAACGGTGTATGATGTGCTTACTAACTTTGAGGGAAGGGTTTTCAGCAGAACTGAAGGAGGGCAACGAGTTCGTGTGATTGAGTGCCTTGGCGTGACGCAGGGGAGGAACGGGCGGGGGGTGGTTCGCGAATTCGTGTAAAAGGGCGACTCGGTGTGGCGTTGGTGATGTTCGCGAGTGCAGGCAATGGGGTGACTCGGCGTGGGCGAGCGTGGTTAACGGAGATGCGGGGCCACTTGAGTTGTGGAGTGCGTGCTGCAGTGCATTGTTGTTTGCTGCCTGGGGGCAGGAAATATATCCTCAGTGGGAACACTGAATCCTCTGGAGCCTTGTTTACGGAATTTTGTAGTCGTAAGCACGTACATGCAAACATAAGAGCTTACAAGTATTAGGCGCGTGCATTTGACGCTGTGTGAGACATTGGGGGACTGTATCATAGCAACCGGCAATCCGAGGTGGTGAATATCGCAGAGGGAACTGAGACGAACGGCCCCGCTCGGTTCGGCGGTCCGACTGCGAGCGAGAGAAACCAAAGGGGGAGGCCTGCGGAGGATGTAATTGTCAGGAATTTGTGGCAATGGAAGCTTGCGGGGCGAGGAGGGGGGTTTGCTGCGGTGCGGGTGAGCGGCTGAGAGCCGTGTGCGCCAGGCGGGGTCACTGCAGGCCGCGCGCGGCGCAGGCACATGATCCAGTTGGCCACATGTTTGCTGACGGCTCGTTTGGCTCACGGCCAGCGCGGGGAGTGAAGTTTACAGCAGATCTTGCGGCGCCGACTGCGCGTGCGGAGCCAGTGTGCGGGAAGCCGTCGGGATAGCCGTAATAAACCGCAGCGCTTGCTATGCAGTGCAAGGGGGTTGCTGTCGGGAAAGCAGTATGTTACGGTGAGTGACTGCAGACGCAGCCTGGACTGTTTGTATAAACTGTAGCAGTCATCGGAATGCGATGACTGCTACAGTTTCCATTTGATATCCGATATTGTTTCTACTCGAGCACGTTCATCTCTTTGATGTAAGAAGTGTGTGCGGATGCCCCGGCCTGGCCCGGGGTGCTCGCCGATATTTGCCGGTCCGGGTGTAGAGAGCGGTAACGGCGGCGAGGCCGTACACACAAGGATGCGTGCGGTGCAGTCTCCCTGAAGTGTCCGTCCGCCTGGCACAGCCCAGCGCCATGATTCGACTCCTGTCAGGCTCGGCATCTCTGCTGCTTGGGCTACGAGGGATCGTTGACTGCAGGTTTTGCGTGATGCGCCCTCGAGTGCTCGAGACATGAACGGATTGTTTCGTTATGGCGGCTACAGCGAATGAGTTTCAGTTGGTGGCGGCGTTGTATTCGTTGGGGCTTTCTGTGCTGTGGCTCTGCGCCCGGATTTTTTGGCGTTGGGCACGTATGCAGTGGCACGTAAACAGGACGCATGGTGCGCGGTGGACCTAGTTAGCGGAATGTACCTTCAAATAAACACGTGCCAGTTGCTGTTGGGTTATTAAATAATGTAGAAGTGTCGAAAAACACGTCCTGCGCTTGTATGTGTGCTTCAGTGTGCATTTCACGGAGCTGTGAAGCGCCGACTTGTAGTTGTGTCGCCTCTGCTTGGGCCAAGAAAACCTCAGAACGCCCCGTTACAGCTGGGTCATCCTGTTGCCTTGGTCACATTTCCTGTAATTTTACTGAACTCCCAACTAAAACATATTCAGGCAGAATTTGTGGATATTGCACTTTTTTACCTTCCCCCCCCCCCCCAACGCAGGGGTTACTGTAGGTTTGGGTTGAATCCTGTCGGTTGTCAAGAGTTTTATGGCAACCCCTCCTGCGGGATGTGGATCCTGTGATTGGGTCTTGGGCGATGGGCGTTGTGCCGTGGGACACAGTGACAAGTTTTAGATGTGCGGTAGTCTCGCCGCATCGTCAAATGCCGGCCGGTCTCTCATCGTAATCCGAGCCGGGGTCACAGGAGGTCGCCTGGATGCGCTGCGTTCCCGTGCCCGTCGGGCCAAATCCTGCCGGGCAAAGTCTGCCGGCGCCTCAAACTTTCAGAGGCCTCTGTGTGGAAGCTCGTGGTACGTTAGCGAGGGGAATCTCCCGCGTAACATAGAGGGGTGCAATGTTGTGCAGCGGCTGTACAGTAGAGCGTGTGCAGCCAAGTTTCTCAGGCGATGGCTGTTTGAAGCAGAGCCGCTTGTTCCCAGCCACATCACGGCCAAGGGAGAGAGCGTCGCGTTGGCTCTGCGGCGAGTCAAGTTGCGTCTCGGCAATTGCCGGCTGTGGATTTGTCTGCGTAGCTCTCGGTGTGGCCATTTGCCCGACGTCCAGTCTGCTTTATGAGTCAAGATGGCAGTGCTGGATATCATGGAGATGGGGGCGTAGTGGGGGGGGGGGCAGTGTAATGGCTGCTGTAGCGGGGATCCGTGTGGGAGGCAACCGGGCGAGCGTGTGGGCGGGGCTCGGCGGTGCCACGTGCCGGCGCTCTCGCCGAGCGGGATTACGGGGCCAGCGCGTGCCGCGTGTGCTTCTCTCTCTCGCTGACGGCGGTGGAGGGGATGGGATGGGACCCCGATAGGATTTCTCGCCGTCGGGATTCTCCGTCTCAAGGAGCTCTCTAGGGGGCTGCTCCCGCACGGTTCAAAACAAGACGACGGTTTTGCGTTGAGCGTCGCCGGCCCTTTCCACCGCAAAGGGGGAGTTCGATGTTTACGTCTGCGCCAGCTTACGTGGATGCCAGAAGAACTGGAGTCTGACAGCAGCGCTGTACATTTACTGAGGTTTGTAGCACTGGTGTGCGGTAAATATGTACTCGGCACACGTCGTTGTGAGAGTCAAACGTATATTGAGTCAAAGGTCCGTCTGCTTAAGATTTACTGCATTGCTTTGGTGAGCAGCGCATAGGCTCGCAAACATTAAATATTTTTCCCTGATGTCTCCCGTTAAAAATGTGTTGTTCAAACAGCACAAGTGTTGTTGTGGTTTGTCGTTGCCGAATTTTTTGCCCATTTCTTTTTTAAAGATTCAAATGTTATTGTTACTTAATCATCAAATCACTGTGATTTTCTGCTCAATTGCCAGGGGATGGTGCTCCTCTCCTGTTAACATTCTTTGAGCCAGTGGTGGAAATTCTATATTCCTATGGTGGATCGAGTCTTTCGGACAACCACTCTTGACTTATGCACAGACGTGGTCCTTATATTATCGACTCTCAAGCAGGATTTTAAATTGCAAACTCGCTCAACCGCTGAGCCACCCGGCCGGATTTCCTGATACTGATACTAGGGCCAAATTTATGAAGAATAGTGTTCACGCTATGGCAACATAAAGTTATTATGCCACCTATGGAGGACGATTGTGTGCCCAGTGTGGCCAGCACAGTGCCTGCAGTATCGTGTTGACTCGGTGATTGTCGACAGTCGCCGCCTACCCAAACCACGTGGTTATGGTGGCAACTTTAAGGCGAAATCTACACTGAGGGCAATTAGTAAATTCTCCCCCGCTGTGGCCTTGCCGGATAGGTTGTGACCCATATGCTACAGAGTAAACCCCAAATTAACCGGGAGAAGGCAATGGCAAACCGCTGCTGTGTTTGCCAAGGATGTCATAGGCTAGAAATAGAAGTGTTCACGTCCACCACGGCCTAGATGAGGTTTCACAGTGAGCGGCGGCCACAGCTTGCCCGGTAGAGGCTGTCAGGGGCGGCAGGTGACGCTCGCCCGTTACCACGCGACTCTCCTTAACAAAAGTAAACATAAGTGTAGCAACTTGAAAAGTTTGGACTTTGTGCCAACCGGGAAAACTTAAAATTGTAAAGCAAGAAATGAAAAGACTCGGTTAAAATGTTTTAGGACGGAGTGAAGTTAGGTGGAGAGGTCGTGGACATTTTCCAAATGATTGGCAGTTATGAATTTATTCAGAAGGAGGTGTGCACATGTGACAGGAGTAGGCCTGCTGATAGACATACAGGCAGCAAGTTCCCTGCTGGACCCAATATTCTGCAGTGTCTCAAAGTATTGCTTATGAAATAGTTTTACGAGCCATTTAACATCTCCATCATTCAAGTATAATATGAGGAGATCGATGAGGCTAAAGAAGAGTGTACATTTCGGGTCATATGAATGATGAAAGAAGACTTTAATGGAAAGTTGATGAGTGTAAAGGTAGATGATGTTATTGGACCACATGGATTATGAACGAGGAGTGAAAGAGAACATTGCATAGAAGAGTTCACGGTAAATGGGCACGTTTAGTGACGAGATCATCCAAAAAGATTGTGAAGAGCCCAGGTGACCATAGTTGGCACCAGATTGATTCCATGGCTATCAATAGATGCTTTCGGAATGCGATTAATCAGTAAAAAGGTATATTATCATCCTGATGCGGATTGTGGGAGCGACCATATTCCCTTAGTAAGATGGTAAGATGAGAGTGAAATTAATCAAGTTAAAGAAACGAATGGGAAGCCATAAAAGTCAGGGTCACTCGTTACAACTGATGGAAAAATTCAGCAAAAGGCTGTAGCGGCTGTAAAACATCGAATTTTAGTGTTCTTCACAATACAAATATAAACGGTAAAAAAAAGTTGGTTGAGGCCATAAATGAAACCGTTTTCAGAGTAGGGGATGAAAGGTGGAACAAAATGGATGGCAGAAATCTTGCTCCTTGTGCGGGAGCTGAGAGAAGCAACACAAGTTCGTCCGAACGCGCTATAAGGAAATCGTTTTAAATGTTTTTATAACAATGAATGAAATATTGCTAAATGCGCAACGTGAGGAAACCGAGGGCATCAAACATAGGGTTCTTAGATTGATGCCTAGGAGATTCAACGAAATAACTGGGAAAGCGTACGTTCCTCCAGTTCTTCCATTCGCATGGAGAGTCTAACAGAATTAGATTTAATGTATTTCAGCAGAAAGGGCCCAATGAGTTGCAAGGTTCTAGTTCACGGGCGTCCCGCGACAGTACAGTTGTTATACGTCAAAGTCATGGTGACATAGGTTGTGATACGAACAGCCGGTACATGCTTTACTTGTTACAGAAATAGGCGACCGGTCGAAAACGTGTCTGCATTATTTTACGAACAAAAATAAAGGATGGGGAATTATTTATTATTTAACGGAGCGAAACACAATCAGTAACCGGGAACTTGGTGTCATCCATACTGACTCAGAATATCAATGTTTTGACTGGGAAACATGCTAGATAACACAAGAAGCCAGGGAACACCGCCAATTAGGTTACGTAAGCAATGTGAACAATCGGTTACAACTTAGAGAATCTCATACAAAGTTCTTGAGTATATATCATGGACAGATTTAAACGGAAGGAAAGCCATGATCACCGACATCTTTGAGAAAGGACGTGGCGCAGAGAGAGAGAGAGAGGAGTCCACCGCCCTCTCGCCAATCTGGAGCCGTTCCGCTTGCCTCTCCCAGCGCACGCCGTGCAGCCTGCGTGCACAAAGTATACACGGGCCTCGCAGTGTTGGCCCCCGGCCCAGATGTGACGGTCACAAGGACCGTGCAACTTGGCTCCATTGGGGGGGTGGGGGGGGGAAGCACAGCAAAACCAGACAGCGGCCCTTCTCCAAAATGCCGCCGGCACTGGTAACTGGCACCGACAGATGCAGCACCAGCAGCGGCAGCGGCAGTATCGCTGTCCTGGTGATGGGACGTCACTTTCCCTGTCTGCCTGAATCTTGTGCCGTTTCGTGAAGTTGCCTCACGCCGCCAGTGGAGGGAGGGTGGGAGGGGGGGACTGTGGGGAGCGGCGCTGCAGCCCGCCCACATATGTCTCGCACGCGGGACTGTGGAGTCCAGGCCGGCTGCCACTCGTACGCACGCACTCACGCACGAGTGGGGACACCATTGGCCATTGCACGTTAATGGTCGAGAACCGTGACTCCGCATCGCTTAGCCTCGGGCACCACGAATTGAATCGAAACTAAAGTGCTGCGCGTTGTCAGCTTCACGCTCCCAAGATTTGGTTTCTCACATTTTCCTTTTCCCTTCCAGCAGGCGATAACGCGACCCGTGACGGAAGAGAAGGATGAAAAAGAAAAGAAGGAAGAAAAGAAGGAAGACAGGGAACGGGAGAAGGAGAGGGAGAAGGAGGAGGAAAAGCCAGAGAAGGTGGAGGAGCGCGAGGAGCGCGAGGAGAGCCGAGAGAAGGAAGACGACTCGTCCAGGTGAACTCTGTCTGACCGTGGTGTCGCCGTGATGGACGAGTTTATATTTAGCCCGTTCATGGCGACGCGTCCAGTGAGAACGAGCACGCGGCCGCGCTGTCCCAGCCGAGTTGAATCCCCAGGGGGAGAGAAAGAGAATAGGGAGGAGAAAACAAAACGCACTGTTAGCTGCACGTGGGCCTGTGCTTTGGTTGTATATATAAGCGCCGCCCTCCGGTCTGCAGCTCTACAATAAATATGGTTTCTGCGCAGCTAAAAAGAGAGCTGCGTGTATTTAAAGATCGGCAAGCTTCATTTTGGCCAACATTCCTCGGTTGGCTGTCATCGCTCGCTTTATAGGTTCATGATGTTCATGTCAATGCGCGCAGCTGCGTCAGGAGGGATGTTTACCCTTGGTGTCCCGTAGCGGAATACGTGAGATCCCTCGCTCACGATCCATGCCGGGCCATCCGTACGCTGCCCGTACTGAGCGGCTGCCCCGTGTGTCAACGTGTTCAGGGAGAAGGAGAAGGAAAAGGGAGACTCCTCGGGCGAAGAAGGCGATGAGAAGGGCCCGTCGGCCGGCAAGGGCCGAAGGACGGCGGGCAGCCTGTCGCGTCGGAAAGGGCGCATCACGAGGTCCATGGCCAACGAGGCTGCGGCAGCCGCAGCGGCGGCGGCGGCCGCCAACACAGCAGCAAGCGCCACCCCCGAGGACCCCCCGCCCGCACCACAGCCGCCCCTGCCGGAGCCCGTTATCGTCTCCACCTGTACCACTGCCGCTACTGCCACCGCCACCACCACTGGCGTTGCCACTACCGCTGGTGCCTCGCCCGTTGCCGCCATCCCAACTACCATAGCCACCGCCGCCACCGCCGCAGCCACCGGCACTGCTACCGCCACCATCACCGCCACGACCACCCTTACCACCATCAGCATTGGCATTACCCCCGCCACCGCCACATCCTCGACCTCCACGCCACTGCCCGGTGAGTGCCGGGAAACAATATATGGCTGCCCAACTCTCTCCAGTACGTTACAGTGCTGTGGTTGTGGTTGAGAATTGAAGCTGTGTGAATAGTTGTGCTTCAATGTGAATCTGTGTGTTGCTACATGAAGCTGTGTGCACGTGCGTGTGTGCGCACATGTCTTTGGTGTGATCAGCAATGGGAGCCAACGCGGAACCTGTGGAGTCGTCACGCTGGACCGAGGAAGAGATGGAAATTGCTAGGAAAGGTACGGCCTGCGTGCATCGCCATGCATCGCTGTGGCGACCACATCCCAGCACCATGAGCCCAGCAAATCCCAGCATTAATGAACCCAAGTGTCAAGGGTCTCTGGTTTATTTATGAAAAATTAACAGACCAAAGTCTGCCTCTATACATGAAGCAATTTGCTCAATTTTTGTCAGGCTTACCCACCTCTTGGCCTTCCTGACATGTTTTCGAGCAGCTTTTGTTTAAGCATACAAAACCATGAACCAGTTTAAACCTTCTGAATCTCATCAGGAAAGCAATGCCCGCTAAGTAAATAATGTCGCGATTGCAGACTTTACTGGCAAAAGCTGTGGGTCCTTTCAGTGCAAAACGACTACAGAAAGTGCTGATGTATGGGAAGATCACGGATGTAGGATGTGACGTAGGAGGCGGATATTAAAGTTACGGTAATAAAAACTCTACAGAGAAGCAATGCCAGGTGCACGCGACACAGTTGGACCGTGATTTATCCCTTCCGAGATTTGCCCGCTCCGAAATGTCAATCTGGGTGTGCCACCGACAGGGTGTCTTTTGGTCGTTCGTAACGGAGGAGGAGCATTGCATTCTGATACACAGCAGACGCGTGCAAAGTTGCGTAGTTTGTAGAAGACATATATACGTTCATACAGTCTCTGCACACACGCACATATGCACACGTGTTGTCATGTGTTACCGTATTGTACCAACCACAAGTTTCCCCTTGTGCCGTAATGTCGTGTTCGGCACCACGTGACTCTTGTTTACTTCAACCACATTGGCTGCAGCTTTCGAGTTCAACCGTGGGCTGTCATGGCTGAGCATTTTCCTTCAGTGTGCCGTGACGCCTGCGACCGTTTTAAGCAAGGGCGAGTCAGCAAATATCGCTGCCAGCAGCTGTTGCTGACAGAAAACCTAGCCTGGTGGCTTAGCGGTAGAGCGAGCGGCTCGCGATCGCAAGGTTGCGAGTTCAACCTCCTAGGGTTGATGAAATTAGTGCCATGTATGTGGGGAAGTCAAACAGCAGTTGCCTTATGGATATACTCGTCCCCACCATGGGATTGTGGAATATCCTGCCTCAGGCTTTTGAAGAGAAGTGACATGCGCCGGGCCTCAACGTTCAATTGAGCATAAAATCATTTCGACTTTTGAGCCAGAATCTAGGGAAATGTAAGCAGCCTGGAGAGATGAACTACGTTCGGATTAAAAGGCACCTAATCTAAGAAGCATTCTGCTTCAGTGATGTAAGTCCTTGTTTATGTTTTATAGAAGCAGAAAATGTCAGTGGTTATGGTTCGGTTTCTTCGCAAAATGTAATCCCGAGTGGTTGTGTGTGTGCGCGATTGCAAGGTCACGCTGTTCTGTCAATCACTAATGAGCCTAACCAGAATTGAATCCATTATGAGAGCCGCTGTGTGCCTCAAGACAATCGCCGCTCCATCAGCACTGGAACATTGTAATTTGGGAAGAGAACATAACAGCACCCTAATGTCACTCTGACCCAGCTACCTTTCTGACATTTAACTTTGCGCTATCGTTACTAGATAATAAAATGGCAAAGTAGTCGGTTACGATTTAGGTGCTGTTTAATGTTTTTGGATGACATGCGAACCCAGTCTGAACAATAATACCGTTGTACGATCTTGCGAGCCATGCCCTGAATAGTTTTCAGTCTGAGACTGTGTGTCTGGTCCATTGCAGGGGTGGCCCATCATGCCACGTGAAATGCTGTCTGGTCCATTCGCGGTGCCCAGTGTTGTTGCGAGTACGCTGAAATTGATAGCTGCTCCGTGCTGAGCGCCTGTTTGCGGTCACTACAGAGGTGTAAGCGAACAGGTGCCCCCAGCAGCAGAACCGCCGGCCGTTTATTGACGCCGTTGACTTAAAAAAAAATGCGCAACAAATACAAAAAATCTGGTAAAAATTTTTAATGAAACCATTCTTTACCAGGAGTGCTATCGTCACTGCTGCAAAAGCAGTTTTAATTCATCGGTGGAGGCACCTGCGCAGGTGATGATATTCTTGACAGCGTATTCTCACGTCAGTAGCTGCAATTGTTGTCGAGGAACAGAAGAGACAGCTCGGGTGGTCACTGACACACTCCTCATTGGTATCCGAGTCGGAGCGTGTCGGTGACAACCATTCCTAAAATCTAGGATCTATTTCTTCTCTTTGCTTATCGCTTGGCGGATGCTGAAAAATAATATCCAGTCAGCGATTTGTGATTCGGAAGGGATGCGCACACGGTGTCCTCGGCAGGAAAGTCAAGCGACCTACTGTAGGCCGGTGGTCATTGTAATTGCCATGTCTCCCAAGTGTTGTGAAGGCAGTGACGGGTGAAATCGGAACATTGTGACAGACCGTCATGGATTGTGATGTCCCGCAGGGTTGGTGGAGCACGGTAGGAACTGGCCAGCAATTGCCAGAATGGTTGGCTCCAAGTCGGAATCTCAGTGCAAGAACTTTTACTTCAACTACAAGCGACGACACAACCTGGACGCTCTGCTGCAACAGCACAAGGCCAAGGGGGTGAGTGGCGGAAGCTGGCAGCACGACATACACAGACACAAACAGACACGTACACGCAGTGCACGTAGATGGTACTGCGATGGATAATTGTGGGGTGTCTAGCCTGCAAACTGTGTACCAAGTGAGCATCCCGTCTTGTCTGGCTGTCGATCTGGGCGGCTAATGTTCTCGTGCTAGTATCATGCACGGTTTTTTTATCGGAGCATCTCAATGAAAGATGCTGTACAAGGCATCTATATCAATATGAACAGTGCACAGAACAAAGCATGAAGTAGTAGCCGCTGCAAATAAAGCACAGGCCTAGCCCCGTGCTGGGCAGATTACTTGGCGGCGTGGCACACCGCGCATATATCATCGCAAGAGTGTGATATGGAAGCCGAGTAGAATGGGGAGGGATTTCCCCTAGAATGGTGCTGGACGAGTAGACGTGGGATGATTGGAGAGAGCGTTCTTACAGATGTAACTCGTCAGCGGTAGGGAATAAAAGTCGAACGTTCGGACTTAGAGACAGAAGGGAATAAGCAGAGCGGGTGACCGGGGAGATAAAACTCTAGACAGCGAGAGCAGCACAGCAGAAGGCAGTGCGTGCGCACCGTGGGGAGGGAGGGAGGGCGGCGGTGACGGCGTGCGGTGTTGGCGTGCGGTGTTGCTCTGCACCGCAGTCGCGGTGGAGGGCGCGGGCCGATCGCGAGCTGTCGCAGTGTGAGAGCGTTGCCTCCACCGTGTCCGCCCAGGACGACCAGGACGACGACGATGACGAGTCCGGGGTGAGCGGCGACCAGAGCGAAGGTGCGGCGGTGGAGACTCCTGCACACACACGCACGTCCCCTCCGAGATGGAATCTCCTCCGTGCTGTGTTCGACAACTGAGCTTTTTCTCGCTCTTTCTTTACTCCCATTGCTCAAGTTTAGAACTCCCTCGCGTCGTTTCCCCCCCCCCGCAAGTTCCTGTAATCTTTCTCTGTTGAAGAAACGCGTTTCTGCCTTTATTTTTTGCCGCTTGTGCTGCAGTTAGGGGCGTTTAGGTCTGAAGGTAGCAGCTGTGATATGAGAAGGGGTTTCTGAGGGAAATTGTTGAGCTGTGGTGCATACTGTTGATTTTTCATCGCCGCGAATTACAAAGCGCGTATTCATACATTGATACATCAATTAAAATCAATCTTTAAACTCTTATGCTAATGAGTTAAATGTACAACCGAATTTTATAAAAATGTCTAAATGCCGAGATACTCATCGCAGCGTAAAAATCACACGCAAAACATTTGCGCGTCTCTAAATCTGCAATCGAGAAACAATGCAAGGAGCTTTATCAAAACGAGGTTAAAAATAATGGCGGACTATTGAATGCAATCGTGAGTGGAATGGGAATGATGGATGAGGTTGCCGGAAGGTGGAACGGCGAAGCGCGGCTCACGCGGTGGTGCGCGCTGCTGCCCGTCCCCGCGACAGGCGGAGACAATAACAGCTCGGACACGGAGAGCGCGCCGTCCCCCATGGATACCACACGGCTCAAGGAGGAGGAAGGCGTTTCCGGCGGCGCCGACGTCAAGCCGGCCAACTCCGGGGCCGTGCCGCTGTCTGCCGACAAGGAGGTGAGGGCAGACGGCACCTGGCGGCATGGGCTGGTTTCGTTTCGTTCCGTGCATATCTGTACGATTGAATATTATTGTCAGTGTGTGCCTGTACATTCTTTTGCGTATCTGTGCGTGTGTACGAGCAGGATGCTGCGAAGGTGGAGGAGCCGGAGGAGCCAATGGAGGTGGACTCCAATGCCCCCGGGGCGCAGGTGAAAGCGGAGTGCAAGACGGAGGAGGAGGACGAAGAGGTGGAGCATCCGGCGAAGGCGGTCGCCGCTGCAGACGTCCGGCGTCCCGTCGAGTTACTGCGCGCCAACGAGGAGGAAGGGGAGCTGGGCGAGCTGGTGCGCCGGCCACTGGGCAGCGTCACGTCCATCTCCAGCCACGATTCGAGCGCCACCTGCAGTGCTGACGAGGGGGAGGAGACTGTGCCGGGGTAAGACCGGCGAGACTTCCGGCAAAGCTTCCAGGCAGCCCGCGTGCACGACGTTAGGTCGGCGTCGACATGGTTTGCACCGTGCAAATTATTGAGCGTGGGGCACCCGCTCGCGCAGCATGTGCTGCTGCTGTTGTGGGTATTGTGTGCGATGCCTCTGTGAAGAGTGATTGTTACACTTGAGTTTTTGCTGTCACTTATAATCTCGGCTTGGTGTTGTGGGTTAGGCCACGTGTTGACCATATCTTAAGTTTCCACTACGCACGATCGCCGGCATTTCCAGGAGAAAGAGGAGGAGGATGATGATGATGATGATGACGACAATTAGCAGTGACCCGTAGTGGCGGTGGCGTTGAGCACCAACGCTTGGTAAGGCACATGGTCCGGCACGTTACGTTTTCAGGGTGCGGGAGGCAGCTCCCATGGACTCTCGCCTGGTTGGAACCGCTATTACTACTGCACCATGACAGAATGACTACAACCCTGCCCTGCCTCTGGAGTTACATTTTTTGTTGTGTATCTGTGTGATTTAATCTTTACTGAGATGAGCACAACCCATGAGCTGATTAGTCACTTAAACTACGGAGGGGATGCGATGCCTACCAATGCAAAGTGTTGGCTCCAGAATTTCCGTGGTGCAGAAACTTTGAGAGACATTTTACGCCTCTCAAAATATCGACAATTTATCACTTTTGCGGCATTTATTGTACACAAAGTAATGGGATCATGAAAAATTTTATGAGCATTTTATAATTGGATGTTTGCAGCTGCAACGTAAAAAAAACATGCACAGGTAAAAATACAATGTGCTTAAGCTGCTCGAGCGAGATGGGATCTCGTGAGATTAGAGCTTGTTAATCTATGGTAGGCGTAGGGGGTGTGCGCAACGTGCTTTGTGTGCAGGGGCCTTAGAATATAAAATGTGACCCGACCGGGTGTTGCTGCCCTGGCTCCCCCGTGGGAGTCTCGTCCCTGTGTCTTAGCGCTTAGTCCCCTAAGCACAACATCTCCCATAAGCCGCGCTTAGGCAGGAGGTGGCCTCGTGAAACCTCCACGCGTGCATTGTCGTGGTCGTGTGGAAGCCGCGTTCGTGCGCGTTGAGTGGAAGCTAAGTGGGGCGGGCACATGGGCCCACCAGCTTGGCGGTCACATGGAGGCTGCCTGTACGTGCGACTCGGGCGTGCCAAATCCTCCGGGCGCCGCGTTGGGGTTGAGCCGTTGAGGTCGGGCCTGGCTGGCAAGGGCAGTCACTTTAGGCACATCGGCGACGTGGGTGTCACGCTGGCCGCCCACCCACGTCGCTGTGCTCTGTGTGGCTTGAGAGGCTTGAGGTGACGTTTGTCGGGAGAATGTTTGGAGAGCCATCGTTAATGTCTCTGGGACTTTTACGCCTCTAAAACTCCAGCCTTGTATGCACGTGTGTTTCATTAACACTCTGCCTGAAACGTGACTTGGTTAAAGTAGCACGGAGGTATTTGCAGCCAAGCATTACAAATCGTAATTCAACAAATTACTTGGTGATGCTGAACTTGTGGTGTTGTGAGGAAGGGCCATTCCCTCAGGCGTCATCTATTATATATTTTGTCTTTTTGGGCAATAATGGCTAAATTTAGTTTTGAGGATTGTTCGTCCACTTACCGGACCGTGAGTGGAAACGTTAATAATTAGTGCATTGTTAAACACTTGTACACCACGTGACAATTATTTTGGCTATGTCGGGTGTTGGAGGGTTCTTAACTACGCATTTGGTGAGATCATTACGTGGCCTAACCCAAAGTTATGAATCGCATTATTGGTTGTGAAAACGTACGACGTGTTAAGCACACACACACACGTGTTTAAGGAATGTGTCGCGTAAGATGAGACTCGGCGTCGGTGTGGCTTCCCGTGTAAAGTGCGTGTGCGCGCGCGTGTGTGCGTGTGTTCAGCACTGTGTCGCCCAAGCCGAGCCTCCTGTGCCCGCCACGCGCCATGATGATGTCACCGCCCATCAGGCCACCCGCCATGGACCTGCAGCAGCTGAAGCAGCGAGCGGCGGACATCCCTCATATGGTGAGGTGACACATCGCCCTCACCACTTTGCTCTGTAACCACTTTGCTCTGTAACCACTTGTGCGAGGTGGTGTGGACCGACGATCGCGCGTTGGCCGCTCGTTGCAGATGTTCGCGCGCGTATTACCCGTTGAACGCTACGCGTCGTCTGCTTCGCAGTGGACGTTAAAAAGATTTTGGGACGTCATTCGAAAAGAGAAGACCATTCTCTCCTGGCGCCACAGTCCAAATTTGACAAATTATAAAAATTATATAAACTTGTAACATACCTCCTTGGTTCTTTCGGTAAAGTCACGTTGAAGGAAAATAATAAAATAATAAAAATAGAACATAATAAAATAATTCTCACGACGTTTTGGCCACAAAGCAAGCAGCCGTCTTCAGGTGGAGAACAGGTCTGTCGAGAAGGCAGAGTCTGACCTGTTCTCCACCTGAAGACGGCTGCTTGCGTTGTGGCCGAAACGTCGTGAGAATTATTTTATTATGTTTTATTTTTATTATTTTCCTTCTACGTGACTTTACCGAAAGAACCAAGAAGATGAATCCCTGGAGTCACGAAAGTTTTAAATCGAAATTTGTAACATACCGCGTAGTATTCGCTCGCTCTCATAGAGAGAACGAGGTGGAGGCGCGAGGAGGAACCGAAGGCGAGCAGGAAGGCAGCCACGCCAGGAACCTGCCGTGTGTGTGTGTGCGCCGCAGATGTACGCGGCCGGCCCGCCGAAGGCGCAGGCGGACGCGCTCACCATGTTCCAGCAGCAGATCAAGGTGGTGGCGCAGGAGTCGGCGCTGGAGGACCCCGCCAGCGGCCACAGGCACGACGCATCGGACGCCGGCGGCCTCAAACGCGAGTCGCAGGATCCGGCGGGGGCCTCCCGGCGCGACTCCCTCGACGGGGAGCGGCACGGCAGCACCAGCCCCCGTTCGCTCAACCGCAGCTCCGCCGGCCTCGACAGAGACGGTGCGCTCCGTCGTACAGCTCGCCGAATCCGGTTTCTAATTCTCCCGACTAAAGTTCAAAGCGCTAATTAATTATCTCCATCAGTTTGTCTGTCGGTAACAGGGGAGCACGGTAGATTGTTTGGGGGTGTGTTGAGGCTCGACGGTGTTGTGCTGTATGAAAGTGAAGAGGAATGGTGCTGCTTACTTCGTATCGATTTTACATGTGGAATTTAGTTTCGGCAGTGAACTGAAAGAAACGCCGTGTGGTGTGTAATTAATCTGTGCGTGCTTGAACTCGTGGTAATGCACATTCGTGCAAGTGTAGCCGGGTTTGCGCGAGCGCGTCCGTTTATGCGCATACGGGATTGCGCTTATGTTCGTGTGCGCAGGCGCGCTTTTGTAAACGTCTGCTCATTTGCGTTTGTGCACGCGAGCGCTTATGCTACGTATCCGTGTGTGTGTCCAAGTGAGTGAGCGCGTGTGTGGTAATGCGTGCATATTCCGTGGGCCTTTGCCGAGCAGGCCGCTCGGTGGCCTTCTTCTACCAGGATGCGAGCGGCGGAGCGGTGCCCTCGTCGTCTCCGTACCACGCGTTTGTCCGCGAGACGGGCAGGGCCGGCGAGCTCTACCTGCAGAGGCACCCCCTGCCAGGTGCTGGCACACGTGCCGCTTCACAGCCACGCCTTCCTTTCATTTCAGCCGGGTCCGTCCGGGTTCACTGACCTGGAAAATATTTTCACACTCGGAATCGCACCTCATTCAGTCTACCTCTCGCTGTAGCTGACGGTCATGTGCCGCTTACTCAAGTCTTCCGGCGACCCCGAATATATTTGGTGAAAAATGAGGTCCCGATCGTAGCTCAGGTGTCGTGTTGGTGTTAAGCGGTGCTGCGAGCAGGCTCTGCCGAGATGGGGGGGCCCCTCATGGTCTTCTCGTTGAGTAAAGGTCGTGTCTGCTTCCCTATGTACTCATTCACTGTTGATTGATTGGATTGGATTTAAAACGTGCAGTTAATTGAGCTTTCGGTGGACGTTTAATTGAGGTGTGAAGTGTTAGAAACCGAGTTGTCACTAGCGCTGAGCGGCATCTGTGGGGGTCGTGTCGCCACTCCAGGCTTGCAGCCGGCCCCGCACCTACTGGACGTGACCCGGCAGCCCGTGCCCCGGCCGGCGCGGCTTGGCGCCATGCCGGGGCCCCCGCCACTCATCCCGTCGGGGAAGCAGGCCGGCACGGCCGAGAAGCCCACGGTCATCATGGGCGGAGGAGGCTCCATCACGCAGGTGGGACACGCATACAACCACAGCCGCATGCGCGCACACGCAAACAAAGAAAGTTCCCCCGTATAGTGTTTAACAGACTGTTGGGGCAAATGTTGTCAGGCTCGTTTTGCACACGAGGGGGTCGTTGGCCAGCACCACGCCTAGCCGCCTTTGTATCTCCAATTCTGATGCTTTACGCATCGCACCAGGTACTCGTTTAAGGCGACCGAGGGGAGGCCCCGGACCAGTTAAAATATATTTTCTGCCAATGTTCTTGGTTGTCACTGTCAATCGAGCTCGGGGCATGCTGGTGAAGTACGAGAGCAGCACGACGTGAAGTCGCTGCTGGGCAGCCCGAACCACCTGGCCCACGCCGCGCTGGCGCAGCACCTGCTCGTGGCGGACAGTGCTCGCGCCGCGAGCACTCCACCTTAGCATGCACACACTTCTTCCTCTAGATTGCACAACCACAAAATCCAGAGCACCTGCAAAAAAAAATTTGCATGAGAGGAGCACACTATAGCGTGGCACAGATTGCCCTTCTAACCTCTACCCCCTGCTCACCGCACCGAGTCATTCATGGTTGTGCTGTCATGCTTGTGTTGTCGTTGTGTTGTAATTGTGTTGTGCTTGTTTTGTGGCTGTGTTGCGGTTGTGTCGTACCGCGGGCACGCAGGGCATCCCTGCGTACCCGTCGGGCGCGGTGCACGCGCGTGTCGCCTTTTCCACGGACCCGGGCAAGGTGGCCATGGGCTCCATCCTCATGGGCACGCCGCGGCCCGCTGACGCCTCCAAACACGGTGAGCATGCAGCGTGCACGATTTATGCTCCCCGCTCTCAGCAGTAAATTACGAGCCTTTGCAGGGTAGCGGAGGTCCTCTGAAAGCCTCACCTCGTCCCATGACTTTTTGGGGAGGGTCCTGCCAAGTTTTCACAGGAGGTTGTTGATTATTGCTGCATTATGATCCCAGTTGAAGTAACTGTGCATGGTTGTCCGCGTGCACGTGCAGCGGCGGTGTCGGTCATCAAGCAGGAGGAGCTGTCTCCACGCGGGCAACCCGAGGGCTTGCACTCCCGCCAGAGCTCGGACCCCTCAATCCTCATAGGTATGAAGCCAGCGCTTGCTCATTGTCAACGAAACTAGGGTGGGAAACATTAGTCAGTAAGGCTTCTTAATGTGAGCCGACAGTGACTGATCGTCGAGCGCAACGACCACTGCGACCGGTGCCCAGCAGAGAGCGAAGCGCGACCGGCTGTGACGAGACGGAGCTCACGAGTGTGGGGATGAGGACGCTGACAGGGATAATATAGCACTTTCCTTATGGCAAATATGGCAAATTGAAATGTGTATAAATTTACTGAGTTCACTAATTGGCAAACCTGATATAATATTGGGGAGAAAATAAATTATTCAACCGTCGCACCAATAGTGAGTAACTGTGTGGACTACGTTTATAACTGTTTGAGTCGATGAGACTGAGAGATAGACAAAATAAAGTCCACAGATTTAACTAAAACGCCGCAGGCTGCCATCCACGAGACTTACTGGGATTAAAAAAACGACACCGACTGAATGAATACGGCAGGGCAGCCACTTGTGCCATGTCGCTTCACGTCGCGCGTGTCTCTCCCTGTCGGCCGCGGTGGCGCAGCCGGGCCCTCGGCGGCGCCCATGCACGAGGGCGTCGTTTCCAAGGCGTCGGGGCCTCCGGCCAAGCTGTCGCTGGACTCCTCCGTGAACTACCGTGGCTCCATCTCGCAGGTGCTGAGATGCGCGGCGACGAGGGTGGTGGTGAACTCGTTCCCCTAAAGGTCGCGCTCGAACTCGTGAGCGTTTTCACCAAATGTTAAAGCGTGCCTTTTATGCACCCACTGAACGGCTGTAGCCACAGTAAGGAACTCATTCAAATGTTCACTTTATGTTAAACCAGGTGAGAGCCTGTTGAGATTTAACTGTTTCGTGTACAAGTGAGACATTGTTTAAGCAAAGCTAAACAAAGAGTGTAATGATCATTAAGCCGAAAGGTGCTCACAGCACAATTTCGATTTTCAACGCATTTACTTGGAACTGCATGACTCGCGCACGATCAGGGTGGCGGACTTGATTATGTAAAGGCAGAAAAGGGGAAGTGAGGCCTTGAGCTGGGGAAGGAGGCCACTGCGTGGCCGTCACCACACGTAGCGGCCGGTACTGCATGGTGGCCTGCCCGAGAGCTGGTGCCTCTCCTTTCCTTGTTGCTCATTGCTCCGTGCCTCCCCTCCACCGCCAGGGCATCCCTGCGGAGGTGCTGTACAAAGGAACCATCTCCAAGCTGGCTTCCAGCGATGAGTCCACCGGCTCCGACCGCGGGAAATCGAGCCACCCAATGTCCTACCCCTGTAAGTCGCATTTCCACCGAGTGCACAGGCATTTGTACATCACATTCTGGGATGTGCTCGCACAGCCCTTTTGTCAAACCACTGCTGCATGAGGGCTTCCTCAAGCCTTCGCGGTCGTGGGGTTATTCGACATCCATATTTCACAAATATGGTCATTGAAGGTGGGGAGTGTATACGCTTTCAGTTGGGTACGTCACAATGATGAAAGTTGCGAACAACGTAGCGTGCGCATTGGTGCACGGAGCAGCCTACAATTCCTGTTTTATTCATTTGGTCACCCAGCCAAGCTCGCGGCAGGCTCAGTTCTGCTTAGCTTCTCGTTGGGATGCTGATCACTAAACTACCACTCTTTTCTATTATTTGTCTCAACTGAACTCGGTTAAACGCACTAAGAGTCTGTGAGTAACACTTTACAGATATGACTGAGTATACCTGCACTCGCCCTCCACTCTCCAACCAGCGCCGCTGCTCGTGCCGTTCCCTATTGCGAATGTCCGAGGTACCGGCGATCGGTGTGCATTTGCAGCTCTCCAGAAGAGCGCCGGCGAGGGCTCGCGGAGCCCCAGGGCCCCGCACGAGATGGCGGGGAGCAAGCGCACATACGACATGATGGAGGGCGACCTACAGAGGATGCACCGCCTCGCCGAGTCCAGCTCCTACGAAGGTGCGTGTCCACGGCACCGGCACTGCCAAGGGAGGGCCGTGGGCAGCGATTGCTCAAGCCACCTCGCGGAGGGAGTTGTATGGAAAGGGTGGAAGGCGACGGGCTGTGGGACCATCTCTTGTCGGTTGTGCTCGATGTTTTCTCACGGTTATGCTGTTGTAAATCGTTGTCGTACGAGATGAGAAGATGTTTACGTGCTCCAGGTATTGTATTGAATGAGCGCCACCACCGCTCTGCTGTTGTGCCAGGCCTGTACAGCCGAGCCCAGCACAGGGAGGGCGCCGGCGTCCCGGAAAATAAGGAGCGCGCATCCGTCCTCGGGTCCATCATGCACGGTTCGTTTTGCCTGCAAGCCCTGTCGCTCATACGCCCACACTCCCCATTTAAAGTTTGGTTTCGGGGTCACAATGGAGGGGCGACGAGGTGGAGTTTGTACCGTCTCGCTCTGTCACTAACGTAGCTGTGCGCCCATTACAATTAAAATAAGCACGCAATTTTGATTTGACTACAGACGTCCGCTTCTTCTTCGTCAAGAGTCCCGTTATTGTACGAATTGTCTGTAATATCAATTCCATTTCTTGTGAAGGTGGGGAAACTAAACCGTGGTTCAAGTCAGTGGCTCAGCCAGCATCCCCCGTTTGGAGGTGGCTTGAGATGGAGCGTTGTGTGTTGGCACGTGCGAGCAGGCACGCCGCGGCCCCACGTGGAGCCGGAGGAGTTCCACCGGCGCGAGAGCAAGCAGATCAAGCGCGAGGACATGTCGCCCAAAGGGGGCGGCTACGAGGGTGGCCTCGGCAAGGGCAAGCCCTACGACGGGCCTCATACCATCAAGGAGACGGGCCGCTCCATCCACGAGCTCCCGCGAGCCGACGGCCGTAAGCCGGCCGAGACGGCGCAGCAACAGCAGCAGCGCCGCACCCCCGAGGTGATCCACGCGCCGACGCGGGTCCTGCACGAGGGCTCCATCGCACAGGTGACCACTCGTTCCTCTGCCATGGCCTCGCATTTCTGTAGCGACCACTGTTAACAAGACAAGGAGGAAAGGGAGCTCGGATGGGTTTTGGTTTGGTTTCTCACAGGTGCGGAGCTCCAGGTTCACGGCCATTTGTACCCGGGGTACAGCAGCCCAAATGTATGCAGCTGTGTTTATAAATACACCTTGTTTTGTTGTGTGCGAATTTTTTTACGTGCCAACGGAACCACCTGCGCTTGCGTTCCCACTGCGGTGCGTTGCCCCCAGCTGGTGGTCCGGCACAGCCGGTGTTTTATTTTGATGCTGAAAAAAATGTACAAATCGAAGTGTGTGTTCTTAGTCACGAGAGTAAGTTTTTACTGAAATAGCTTCTTATACCAAGAAGCGTTAATAATAAGCATGCACGAAGAAAACCAGAGAATGCGGCGGCAAGGCCATCCCTCGCGGGAGAGCGTCTATGGTGTAGGTGCCTCATTGCTCACCCAAGCTCTTCCCATTCACACTCCAGATTGCTGGGGTTCATGCTGGATCAAAAATCCAGCTTGCCACAGCTGTAAATTATGTGCTGGTAGGTCAAAAGAAATTACACATTGAACCCGAGTACCCAATTGAAGAATTTTTCACTCATTTTTAACGCACGCACCGGACAGCGGCGATCGAGCGGGAGTTGAGCGTCCCCGTGCGTGCGTGTGCGCGTGCCTCACAGGGCACGCCGGTGAAGTACGAGAGCAGCCTGAAGCACGACGTGAAGTCGCTGCTGGGCAGCCCGAGCCACCTGGCCCACGCCGGGCTGGCGCAGCACCTGCTCATGGCGGACAACGCTCGCGCCGCGGAGAGGGGGGGTGGCGTGGGAGGGGGCGACGCGTCTTCACGGCAGTCGGGCGACAGGGGGGCCGGCGGTGGCGGCGGTGGCCGCTACGAGGAGGGCAAACCCGAGGACCTGTCGCGCCTGCGCTCCACGTCCGTAGTGAGCGCAGTGCCCAGCTCATCGGTGCTGAGGGGCGGCCCCCATGACGCCGGCAAGTCCCAGCTGAGCCCCGGCACGTACGAGGAGCAGCTGGCCACGATGCGTCTGCCCGTCGGCTACCAGGGCTCCATCGCTCGCTCGTCGCCCGCCCTCGTCCGCTCGTCTGAAGGTGCCGACCGCAGCCCGAGCATCACGGTGTGGGGAGTCTGACCGTCGGATCTGTGGTCACGGTGATGCCTGGTTGCATTAAACCGGGCTTAGTTTGTTATTGGCTGTTTAAAGGAAGATGCGGAAGAAAAAACACTGCTGTCGTTCCGCAAGTTGGTGCCCAGGTTGTGTCTGCTGGGCTTTTCGGTGCACATTTTAAACTTACTAATGTTAATGTCAGCAGTCACTGTGGTGGCATGACTGCTTCTTCACTTCTGTGCTTGATAATACAACGTCACTGCAGTGAAGTTAGTGGAGCATACCGCAAAGTCACTTTAACGTACTTATTTTTCCTCGTTAATGTAGCCTGAAACTTTTGACAGACACTCTGGAACTCGCAACGTAGGGGCCCTTCTGCTTGATGGGATCTGTTTTTGGTTGCAGATTCCATGAAGGGAATGTGTATTAAATCTAGTTTTTATTTTCCCTGTGGAAAGATTCCAAAAATTCTGATGCAGCAACTGTTGTTAATAACAGCTGAGGTTGTGTTTTTCCGACATAAATCGTTGGCACCCACGTAGTCAATTAGAAAAATCCTCCCAGAGAAACTGAGAAAAAGGAATTAGCTCGGCTGAGGGTGTTTTTTTTTTTACTCTGGCTCATCACGGTGGCCTGACTAATGATGTCACTAAAAATTCTGAAAGATTCTTGAAAGTGCCGGGGAAGAGAATTCTGTTCTTGCGGATCGTGAGAGTGCCGACCCACATTAATCGCGGAAAAAAACAACTCTCTTTCAGGGAGCATCACGACGGGCAAGCCTGTGTCTCACGAGCGCAAATCTACGCCCACGCCGCGCGACAACGCCGCGCCCAAGTCTCCGGGCTCGGTGCAGGAGCGGGCCGGCACGCACAGCCCCTACGACACAGCGATGCGCGACATATACCGCGCGCATCTCCCGCTGGGCTTTGACCCCGCCAACGCCGTCTACCACCCGGCCTTCCTGCAAGGCGAGCGTCATTGCACCCCGCACCCCACGCGGCGCGCCTGCCCACCGTAAAGAAATTCAGACGAAGGGGGGCTTAATCACCTGGCTTTCGGAATCGCATCCAATCTTGGAACCGAAGTTTTGGGCGGCCGCTATGGTCACAGGGCCGCAGGCCTACGTGGTGGGCAGGAGAAGCTACCACAGCATGGTCCCCTTGTTGTACTGTGATTCTGTGCTCCCTCTCTTCAGTAACCGGCACTGACCAGCGTGGTGAAGTATGGTCAAATAACACTTTAAGTGACGGCATTGACCGAATATGTATATCCTCCAAATAGTTTCACATTTTGGTTTCTCAGATGATCACTGCCAAGGGCATTCTTTGAAACGTCATGGAGCATGGCTGCTGCTGTAGCGGTGGTTCCTGTTGCTGCTGTGTATTGGCAACTCGAGTGCTCTGTAATGAAGTGTTGGAGCCTGCGAGTGAGGGAGATGGGTGAATGCGTGGGGTAGCAAGTGCAGTTGTTGACGCTCGTCTCTGGTATTGCGGTTATCTTTAGCGGTTGGGCCTTACGCTCTTAACCCCGCAGCTCAGGGATACCTGATGGCGCGGCCTGGGACGGTGGGGGCCCGACAGCTGTCACCGGGCCCGGCCTACCCGGGTGCCTACCAGCTGTATCACCACCACCCGCACGTGTTCTCCGAGTCGGCGGCCGTCATGGAGAACCGGCAGACGCTGCTCAACGATTACATCACCTCGCAGCAGATGCTGCGCCCCGAGGTGGGGGGCCGGGGGCTGTCCCCCCGCGACGTCCCCGTCACCGTCTCCGCCTACCCCCTCCACCCAAGTACGCACGCACACGCATGCACGTATGCATGCATGCGCACACGCCACAAACTCGCTTTTTAGCCATCTCTTAGAACTAGAGTGGTTGGGTTTGTATCGCTCTGTTGGGAACTCAAGCGACAGCTCTATTGAGTCTCAAGACTTTTCTAGGAAGGTCCTTTTTAATTAAGAACCGTTTGTGCCTGATCTTGTCAGAGACCTGATGCTAAGCAGGGTCCAGCAGGGTTAGTACTTAAAGAGGAGTCGTAGTCTTGGGCTTCAATGTGGCCAGGAGATTGCAGGACATTGGAACTTGTGCGGAGCTTCGATTGTTACTCCTTCGTATGTGTAGGTGTTCTCCGGGTGCTGCAGTTTCCGGGTGCTGCAGTTTCCTCCCACGCGTAGTCAAACTCTCATTCAAGTAATTTCCAAACATTCTAATGCAGCACCCTCCTGAGAAATTCTGAGCCTCAGGCTCCCTGGCTAAATAAGGCGCATTACTATCATGTTATCTTTATAATCGTCAACAGCTACGCGACTTGCAGTGCTGTGATCGTGAATTAAGAACACGAAAATGGACGATTCCCTTCTGGATTCTACAGCCGTGCGCGTTGTGTGCTCTCAGGCATCATCAACCTCGCCCAGATGTCACATCACCCCATGCTCGTGCCGCAGCCCGGAGGCACCAGCACGCCGCCCATGGACCGCATCACCTACATGCCCGGCACCTCGCCCGCGTTCAGCCGCCCCTACACCGCCTCGCCCCTCTCGCCCGGTGAGCGCCACCGCCCCGCGGACAGCTCCTGTCGTGGCACCGCGCCCGGTTCATGACCGCGGATGTTGGCCAAATCGTTCAGCACCCCTGGGATCCTGGGTTTGAGTTTGAGGTTACACCGCCTTCTCAGCTGTGGCGGGTTGATCATCTCAGCTCAGGTGCCAATGACTGCACAAACAAAACCACCAAAGGACATTTGAATTTTCATGTAATTTGAATAATTTCCAGCTCTGAGACTTCAAACAAAATCGATTTCATTGATATGACAGGCTCAATAAATGATGTGCTCCCGAGTGTGGATGAAGGGCCCGAGGTGAAGTGACATCATCTTCTGGAGCTATTCTCTGATACAGGGTGGTGCACTCAAGGGCATGTCTTCGCCGTACGGTGGCACAGTTGCTATGTCATTGACGGCGCCGTGCTTGCTGCGTGGCGCTGTCTCCGCAGGGGTGGACCCGACGGGGCTCTACGCCAAAGGGTCTCCATCGCCCGCGTCCCCGCGCCCCCGGGAGAACGTCATCCAGAGGCCGAGCATCGTGCAGGGCACGGGCAAGACGGTGATCACGTCCACCGAGTCGCTCGTCCACTCACGACCCGGGTGAGCGGCGCTTCCCTCGCTTCCCTCGCTTCCCTCGCTGTCCGCCGAGACGGATTCGGACTCGCTGCTCTGTAGTGCACTTCAACGTTTGTGAGATGCACCTAAATTAATGTGCAACGTCTGTGTTGATAGTGTTTTGCATTTGTGGTGTCCCAGAGCCAGACTTTACGGAATACTGCTGTGTTAATTTGTCACGGAGATATGTATCGAGTTGAGGTTGCTGGTGGGAGTGCTGCTGTGGTAGTCAATTTTGGGTGTGACTTCTCCTACAGGTCTCACGGGCTGGAGGTTTCGGCCAACGCCCAGGGAGGCGGGATGCAGTCGCGCTCCAACTCGGAGCATTACAAGGGCAAGGAGGGCAAGGCCGAGTCGTTCTCCGGGCGGAGGGAAGAGTACCCGTCGTCGCGCAGCAAGTCCCAGCACTCGGGTGCAGAACCCCACGCGGCCGTCAAGTCCCACCACCCGTACCCCGACGGGCAGGCCGCCGCCTCCGCTGCTGCCGCCGCCGCCTTGTCGGCGCAACACGAATCCTGGCGCCGGGCGGAGCTGGCAAACAGGCAACAGGAGCACAGAGCTGAACACAGGACGGAACACAGGGCGGAACACAGGACGGAGCACAGGCCCGAACACAGGCCCGAAATAGCGAGCTATCACACGTCGGTGCTGAGCACGGCGCAGTCGGTGCGCCCGCTGCCCTCGCTGTCGTACGGCCCCTACAGCGAAGTGGGTGGCGGGAAAGAGCTGCGCGCGGCTGCCCACTACGTCGAGCAGCAGCAGCAGCAGCTGCAGCAGCAGCTCGGCCAAAAGGACGTGCGCTCGCAGGCCGTGGCGCAGCAGCAGCAGCAGTTCTCTGACGGTAGCGCTGGCAAACAGCGGGGTCAGGCCATGCAGCCTATGACTCAGTACCCCGATGTTAGCAACAGCAGCGGCAAGGAGCGGCCACAGACTAAGCCCTTGTCGCGGCACGAGCAGGAGCTGCGAACCCATGGTAAGACTACGATGACGGCGGCAAGCTTCATTGATGCTGTAATCACTCGGCAGATTTCCACGCACGCTGTGCACGCCGCGCCTGGGGACGGTAAGGCTCAGCCCGGCACGGCGACCCCACCCTTCCACCTGTGGTCGTGGTTGTCACCCCTACACAGCCCCTTTGTTCCCCTTCCACGCCCCACCCTGCCCCCCCGCTGTGTCCGAGCCATCCGTGCTGTCCGTGTGCATGTGCCACGATTTGTTCATTCGTCTAGGGCATCGGTGAGGATGGCGAAGAGCGCGAGATAAATTGGCACGCGGCGAGTCAGCCACTGCTCCAATTGAAGAATTACGTTTTTTGCCTCATTCGTACTGCCTTAATTTATTACTGTGTCTATCGCATTAGTTCACATGAAGGTGGTAACAACTGCATAAAATGTGCGCAAGTTAAAACCAACTTGTTCCTGCACGCACACGTTGTGATGCGCGGATCACGTGAAGATCGATTTTACTCGATTCATCCACGCTGCCCTCGTATGGCCGTGGAAGAGGCGAGAGAGGCTCCTCAACAATTGGCGCCTTGTGTGCGAGAGCCTTGAGTGGAGCCGCAGCAACCACCGCCTGGCGTGGAGTGTGGAGTTGACTCCTGCGCGCTGGCCACCGCCACAGTGGTCGCCCTCTTAAAGGGTCTCCGGTTGCGGGTGCTGAATGGGTTCACACGAATTAGACTTTCGTATTGCTGAACGGATGAACAAATGAGATGCCTTTTTTTTTACCATGGAGATGCATGTATAGGATGTGGTCATAATAGACACCCATTAAAAAAGTGTGATCATGTGTCCGGTTAACTCCACTGTGATGAAATTACGGTGTTTGGGAGACACTCGCCTAATCGTGCAAATTAATGTACAAAGTCACCGTTTCGGCCTTTCCCGTGTCGGAATGTGCGGACACGGTCGACGGGCGCCATGAACGCCGATTCCTCGCCGTGTCGCATCGCGCCGGCAGTGATCTCGTACTTTCGTTACTGTGGAGCCGCCCATCTCTGTCACATATAAAACAAAAGGAAAAGTCTTAATGATCTCCTGCTCAAACGAGCATTGAGGCATTGGTACTAATCTCATGCTTACAGCCCTGAGACAGTGGTTGAAATTCCACATTCCTATGCCAGGGTGAGTCTGTCCCTAGGACAACCACTTTTGACTTCACCGCAAAGTGGTACTGGTGTTTTTAACCCCCGGAGGGATGATGGACAGTCAACCTCTGAGACACCTGGCCGAAAATATGACCTGTATTGTGAGTGAATGTCGTCGTTAATGAGGTGTCTTAAAAACACACTCAGTGGCACTGTTACCTGTGCCGGTATTCTTCAAGGAACACTCCTGAGAAGCGCCTGACGTGTGTACACAGTTGTGTGTGCCACTTGGACTCGTCCAGATTAGCCTACGTTGGTGACGTTCCTTGGGTTCCTCGACCTGCACTTAAACGATGAAATCCACACACATGTCCCTCTAATTATGCTGTGGCGCGAGCAGCATGCGTGAGTAAGTAGCTGCTGGATTAGGCGGCCTCGTGACCCGGCTGGCACTGCTTGAATTTGGCCCCGTTGCGTCGGGAGCGGTCGGCGCGTAACAGTTGGCCACCCTGCCCAGCAGATCCGATGAATTGTCACGATCCATGGGGTGCGATTCGATTCAAGGATATATTTTTCATCTAATTTGTTGTGGTTCTCCTTTGTACAGTTTTCACCGCTCCATTAGCCTAAATGTACATGAGTACATTTGCATATATCGTGAATAAAACAAAAAATTATCTATTTTCCGTATGCACACTTCGACCCGTGTATCTTGAGCACGAGAATCGATTTTAATCATGGAATCGAATCATGACATTTGCAAGTCACCACATTAGTTCTCTTGTGAATTTTGGTGTAGTCCCCATTCACATTTTTTTATTCAACTCAAAACATCGGTCGCTGGCACTGTATGAGAGCAACGTAATTGCGCAGTCAACGAGCGTGAGATTTTGTTATTTGTTTTTGTGCACCACTGCCAACGCCGCAGCAGCATCACCAAACCATTAGCGTTTGTGTTGATACATTGCTAGCTGGGGCTTAACTTCTTTCGCAGTGTTTAATGGGTCACTGTTGTGATCATGTGACTCATACTAGATGTGCTGTGCCGGGCACGGAAATGTTTTCTTGATCACCAACCCGGACATCCCCATCTGAAATGAATCCCCGATTGTGCCCTTCATGAAGCTCGAGCAGGGCCTTGAGCCACATGACTTTGTCTCGCGCCAAACGATCCATTGCGCAACTTGGTTGCATGCAATCGCATCTCTGTTGCGAGTTGCGAGCAGTCGCGGCGCAGCCCGTTGCTCACACTCGAGACAGAATCTGACTCGCAAGCCACCTGCTCGGCTAGTTTCTAGCGACGTAGTTGATTATTACATGCAGATTTGGGAACGACGCACGATTGGTTGTTACATTTGTGTTGTGGGTAGGTAGGGGTAGTCGAGATGACCAGAAAATGGGCGTGCCTAAGCTCTAACCGGTGTGGCCAGTTACACTGCAGCTGTGCCAGACACGTTCTAGTTTCCCTCGCTGCGCAACTCCCTGGTTCGGTTGTGTGGACACGTCTTTACGCTGGCAGCCGTGGCGGCCAGCCGGGTGAGACGGGCTGCCGTTACAGCCACCGCGCTTGTCTCCCAACAGCCGCTCAGCAGCAGCAGCAGCAACAGCAGCAGCAGCAGCAACAGCAGCAGCAACAGCAGCAGCAACAGCAACAGCAGCAGCAACAGCAGCAGCAACAGCAGCAGCAACAGCAGCAGCAACAGCAGCAGCAGCAGCGCTACCAGGTGGGGGGCGCGGATGGCATTGAGGTCATCAGCCCCCCGTCGACGCCGACGCCGCCACGGCACGAGATGCCCAGGGCGCAGCGACAGCACATGGACGGTGAGATGACAACAACGACACACGGCCCTCCAGGGTGGACCGCCGACGATGATGCACAGCACCTGGAGTCTCTGGAGTTGGCGCAGCGCTGGCGTGGAAGCCGAGATTCCCTTGCATTTGTCTCTGACCCAGCAGCGTTGGCAGACGGAGGAGGAGGGCAGCCGTGGCTGCAAGAGGGCCGGCCCCACCACCCCGAGTCTGGGCGGATGCAGCACCGAGTCATTACTTTGGCCGACCACATTCACGTGAGTCGCGTGTGTCAGACAGTCGCAATCCGTAGATGTGTGTTGTCATTGCGCGCACGCCCCTTTTGTAAATCCGCTGGTGGATGAGGGTCTTGCCACGCCGTGTGGGGCATGAGAGCTTGTGAACACTGGCATACGTGGGAGTGTAGACGTGCAACAGTGGATGTTGCTGCGCTACCCATTGTGTGGGTCGGTCGAAGGGAGGCGTCCGGGATCTGTTCAGATATGTATGTACGTATGTTGAACTTCTTTTGCACTATACGTAGCCAACCGCGATAATCGGAGGTGCCCAATGTTATTAGCTATGGCCTAGAAGCGAACTCAGGTCGCCCAGTTCAAAGTACATTGCATTCATGACCGCGCCACGGATCAACGCCAGAGAAGGCACAACGCGATGTTTACGCACGGTTTTGTCGTTTCAGGAAATCATAACGAAAGATTATCAAAGCGTCGGGGCGCCTCTTTCTCAAGCCACCTCGCAGCAAGCACAGCAGTACTTATTCCCTGGGTCGGGCCGGCTCAGGTGTGTGCGGCCACGCACGCACGGCACACACACGCACGGCACACACCCACACGGCACGGCACACGTCCACAAGCATAGTTGCCACTCAAAACTGCCGCTTGCACGCGCGGGGTGCGAGCGGCGTCCGGGACATGCCCGTGACTCGGCGCTGCTGTTATCTTCAGGCCTGGCAAGTCTCCAGAGAGGAGTGGGATTTCCCCGGCCAACCCCGAAGTGCTCATCGAGCCAATCTCACCCCCGCAGCAGCAGCAGCTGGCGGGCTCAGAGCGCGCTGACGGCGCCCCCGGCCTGTCCCATCGCGACGGGGACGACCACGGGTGCGTTCACACGGCCTCTCGGCCAATGATGCCAGACGTGGCGCAGCCTGGTCCGTGAATCTGTGAAAAAATATTCTCGGTGCAAAGATTTGAGATCAAATGCTGTGCTTTGATAGATCGTTTCTCCTTCCCTGCACCGGTCACCAGTCTAGTTTCTGCTGTGATGTTGACTCTCAAACCAGGACTGTGGGGAACCTTTTTTTTACTCGGGGTCCAATAGAGTCACACGCATTAACACACACCCCAGCGTCCTGCAATAATAATGCGGAAAGCAACGCACTTGTTGAAAAAGATGCAGCGTGGCGCTAACATTCGAAGCACCGTGTGGTTGCCAGGCAGAATATTTTCCCCTCTCGTACCCGATTAGTATGCCTAAGATACTTGCAATGGTGAATTAATGTAATGTGTAGCCCGTTTATAAGTGGTAGGCCCCGTTCATCCGTGGACCACGAGTCCCCACTCCTGTACTAAACCCATAGTTTTACGCTGGTGCGTGCGGTGCGCTAAGACCGCTGTGGCGATGTTGTTGTGGCCGCTGGCGTAGGTCGTCCGCATTGAGGCAAGGCTCGCCGCACCTGAGCATGAGCGTGCCGGCTTATTTCCGCAACCTGGACGAGAACAGCTCGGCCATCGTGAAGACCAAGAAGCAGGAGATATTCCGCAAGCACAGCTCGGCGGGCAGCAGCGGGGAGCCGGAGATGGGTGCGTGAAGCCGACTCTCGCTGCCCTGCCCGCGCACTCGTGGCCCACGTCCCAGTCTCTGTCACCGTTTTACGCTTCAGCCGGCGACGTAGCACAGCGGTGACGCAGAGGTTTCCGGTTTGAATCGAGAGGGACTGCCCTCATCATTCCTCCGGTGTCATCGGAATCATAACGTTTATTTATGCTGGAGGAATCCGACGAGCTATGAAGCGCTCTTTCACAGATGGTCCGGTAATAATATCTGTGATAAGGTGACGTGTCGTCTGCTTCACAGTGGACATGAAAGATCCCTTGACGTCATTCGCAAAGGCAGGCTGTCGTGTGCGGGCTTCAGGGTCCAAAGCAAATTCGAATATTACACCGCAAATTACTCATTTGGGCCCTACCGTACATAGCAATCACCGTCCCCTTCTGGCAGACTAAGGCCCAGGTCACTTATGGAAAATTTTATTATTGTGGTCTTTTGTGTTCTCATCTGGTGAAACAAAATAAACTTGAAACACTTCACCCTATCCCTGCATAAAATAATTTACCTGACGTAACAATGTATGACCAAACATCGCCTTCACAAAGAGTTAGTCGGCTCTAAATGAGAACACACGCGTAGACTGCATTAGCGTGTCGCGATCTATAACTCAAGCGCATGTTTGTGTGTGTGTGTACGTGCGCGTACAGCAGTGCAGCCGGGCACGGAGATTTTCCACATGCCCGTGACCACGTCCTCAGGTGAGATCTGCCCCCCCCACCGCCTCATGCATGCCGGGCCGCGAGACGGGGGCCAGGGCTCGTGATGACTACCGGGAGGGGGTGAGGGGGGAGGGAGGGGGGCGGGGTTTGAGGGGGTGGTTGAGCCGTTTGAGATGCACGGAGACGCCGTGGGGGACACGGCGCCGTGCCGGCTTGACCACGGCTAACGTCGGTGGCGAGCTGATTCAGAACCGCGCCTGGGCGACCCACCCCCCCCCTCGCTCACCGTTTCACCAACCCGCATTGACCGGCGTGGTGGTGTACGGTCAAACAATCTCCATGACTCACACGGTGTGGGGAGGCTTTCATCCAGCAGTGGATTGACAGAGGGCTGTGAATAATGGTAATGAAGGTGGTCAAATCCCAAACGCCTGCTGGGCTTGACCCTTGGCAGTGGATGTGTCGGCCTTTACCTAAATCCGTTGCACATATCCCTGGAGCAGTTCTAAACACAATGATGACGTCTTTAGTGGAAACGAGGTTCAGCTAATTGGGTACCAATTAGACGACGTGCAGAGTGGGTACAACCACAGGTAGGGCAAGACGTTGTGTGGCCGCCCGTGTTGCTGCGTCTGGTCCACGGCTGCATGCTGCGTGCGATGGCGTCGGAGTTGCTTCGCTGCTTGTGTGCGCATGTTCCGGTGACGAGTTGTGGCCGTTACTTTTCCTAAACGCTGACTCTTCTCTTTTTCCTTGCTGTCTATACGCACTCCCGTCCGTCTTCTCTGTACCCCCCCTCCCCTGCGTGCCGTGCGCTGGCCGCCGTCGCCGCTCGCCCTGCGGCCGCCGTGTCCTCGCGTCGTCCTCTTGGCGAGATCGTTACGCCGCTTCATTGCATGCCGTGTTTTGTGCTTCCGCTTTTGTTTTTCCTTCCTGCTCCTCCTGTTCTCCGTCTCCCAGGAGCAGTCAGCTCTAGGAGTCATTCCTTTGCAGATTCTGTGGGGCCCATGGGCCTGGAGGCCATCATTAGGAAGGCCCTCATTGGCAGCTTTGAGGATCAGAACGAGGAGGCCTCGGCCATGTCGGCGGTGGCGGCGGCCGGAGTGGGGGTCATGTCCGGCCTAGCGGGGGTGTCGCCTGCGCTAGATGGACGAGGTCAGCAGGCCCTCGGCCCCTCCCCTTCCTCCTCCTCCTCCTCTGCACAAGGTTCGGGCGCTGGGCTCCGTTTGCCTCTCGTTTCTCGCTGCGTCCCGTTTGGTTGTCACCGTGTTGCCTGAAGCGCACGGTTCGCGAGGATTGCCGTTGTGTAGAGCTGTAATCTTGTGGCGCTGTTAGTAGCTGAAACCGTTGCTGCGTTCTTTGTTTAAGCTTCATAACTCTTTGAGTCACAAATCGAGCATGCTTGCTGTACGGCTCGGACAGAAGTCACTCGGTGGCAGTAGCCAATCAAGTTTATTAAAGATTCGGTATGTTAACGGTTTGTAGTGCATGCGTCAAGTTGCGTGAATGTCAATGTTTCTTTTGTTACCTTTCGGCTAATTGTGATGGCAATGGTGATTCTGATGGTGGTGGTGATTCCAGTATTGATGGTGATGATGATGGGTGTGCATTGCAGCGAGCTCTCTCAAGGTGAAGCTGCCAAGCAGGCCCAGTGCCAGGAAGGCCAAATCTCCGGGGCCGGCACAGTCATACGCGGAGCGGCCCTCATCGGTCTCCTCGGTCCACTCGGAGGGCGATAACAACCGCAAGACTCCGCTCACGCACCGCGCCTGGGAGGACAGACCCTCGTCCACGGGTGAGCGAGTCGGCGTGCGAGGGTTTCGTTTCCGCCAGGTCTGTCCGTGACCAGGAAGGTTTTTCCACACCGGGCACAACTGCGTCCAGTATACCCGTGGCTGTGGCTGCTGCTTGTCACGTGCCACCAGCTCCAGTCGAACCGCGACCCAGAAACGAAAGCCCTGGTCGCGACCTGTCGGTGGGGATTCTTTTTGGTGCTCCGTGTCGCTGTGCGTGGATGGGCCTTTGACAATCCGTGTCCCCGTTCTGATTCCGTGCGGCCACGAGAGGTGTCTTCGTTCCTGACAATATTGGAAACAAGAATCGTTTCTTGAATTTTAACTCCAAATTCATGGCAATTCATAGAATCTCGGGGGTGGAGAATCAAGATAGATGTTATTAGCAACGGCTTATAATGCAAAAAATATATCATAGACAAATGTTTCTGGTAGTGGAGGGTGCATAAATGTACTTACATTTGGATGGCTCACTTGCCACTTACTCGATGATTAGCTTGTCGTGCGATGTCGCTCATTTTGTGATGACCTGGGCAGTCCAGCCGGCATGGGTTATAACCACGCTGCCTTCCATGCGCAGAGAGTGACCTCGCCCTCTTGTGCCGCCGCCCCACTTCCCGCAGGATCCACGCCATTCCCCTTTAACCCCCTGATGATGCGACTGCCGAGCAGCACGCCCCCCTCCGCCCTCACGCAGGCGCCGGCCGCCGTAAGTCAGGTGGCCTCGCCGGCGCCACCACCGCCGCCTCCTCCTCCTCCGCAGCGCACGTGGGAGCGGGAGCCTGCGCCGCTGCTCTCCGCGCAGTACGAGACGCTGTCGGACAGCGACGACTGAGCCCCCGCTCGCTCCTTTGCTCGCTCGCTCCTCCTCTGCCGCCCCGTGGTGTCGCCCGGGGGTCGCCCGCGCGGACGCCGATCTGCACGACGACCGGAAAAAACGCGCCACACGAAACCACGTTCATTTCCGAAAGCTGAATGAAACCCCCGCCGCATGTGCGATGCTCGTGCCGGCGCACGGGGGGCTCGCCCGCCTCGCCCGCCTCGCCCGCCTCGCCCGGCTCCTTTAATGCCAAAGCAAAGCGCCGTCAAGACTCCGGCGATGAACAGGATGCGTTGCGGGCGAGCGTCTGCGCCGAAGCTCCCTCCGGGACAGTCGCAGCGCAAGCCCCCTTCCCCCCAACCCCTTTCCCCCCCACCCCCTTCCCCCCCACCCCCTCCCCGCGGCGCTAGAGGGTGGCACCGAACAGGCGTCTCGTCCTGCCCGGAGACGCGGTCGCCACCTGCTCATCCAGACACATCTTCAGATTATATATTGGGTCAAAAAAGTATAAAGTACAGCTTAGTTTTGTATTTGTATATACGTGTATCTTTTATCTTGTTTTCTTTTTCATACGGTCTTTCGTGAATTTATTCAGAGCTGACTGGCACACGTTATTGTACTTAATAGAAACTGTACAGGAAAAGCAAAGCGGCACCCGGTTTAGTCGGCGTCGAGCGATTGTGTGATGCCCCGTTGGTATGACGCACTCCCCGGCCGGTTGCCACGTCTGCTGTGGAGATGCGCTAACGCGTTAATCGTTGTTTTTAGAGTTTTCTTTAACGACCATCGCACCTCCATCGCAAGACATGTTCGGAACTCTTAGCCGCAGGTCCACCCTCATTAATTGCCGACGTGATCTCGTTAACATTGGAATGTAAATTTAACACTGGACCCGAAGCCACCTGATCACAAAGCCAAACTTTGGAGAAGATGAAGATGAAAAGGAGGAGGAGGAACAGGAGCATAGCAGCACCGCCTGCATTTCTGTTTTTACTCCGTGACGTCGCTCAGCCCGGCCTAGACAACATGAAGTGGAACCCAGGCGCAGACGCGAACCTCTCCCCACGGCGTCCCCTCTGTGTCTCGTTTTTATTTTGCTGTAGTAAACGTGATGGCGAAGATGGCTTGATCCACGTAGTGTTTCATCTGACGTAATAAAAGGTTAACATTTACACGTACACCGCGAGACCGTGACTGGGACTGATGACGTGGGGCGGTGACCGAGCCTCGTGGCCCGCGCTTCTCCGCCGTGTGTGACGGCCCCGTCCGGTGCCATCTGGGTAACGAGCGACTAAACGCAAAGCTTTGCCAGGGACACGTTGGTCGGTGGGTACACGAGCACAATGCAAGCTGCCCACACCCGTCTGTTAAGGGAGCCTCCACTTAAGATATTCTTAGGCGATATTCTTATATCTGAATTTACGGATACTTCACATGTAGCAGCAATATTTAGGACATTCCTGGAATTGGCGACGCAGTGCAACGGAAACATGGGGACGCACAGACGCCACGTGGGTGGGCCGTGATCCCGGTTCCCACGTGCAATATTTTTTTTATCACAGATGTTTCCAACAGGTGGCAGGCGTATCACGCGATCAAGTGGGGGATGCCCTTGCAGGACCGCACATCAGAAGAGCGACGAGCCGTTGACGTGCGTTCATGGAGACGCCGTGTGATGGCAGCCGTGTAACGTTTACAAGCGTGCGGAATGGATGCGATCGCCGTGGTGTTGAGCGATGATGAAAGTGACGATAAAAATTATGATGAAAGTGCTCGACCAGTTGTAGGCTTCAACTTGATGAGCGTAGGTTGCTCGTGTCGAGAGGTTGGTTGTGGATGACGGGCGAGTAGGAGTGAAGCTGGTGTCCGGCGGTGTTGGGGACACGCGTGAGAACGTTTCGCGATAACCCGTGACAAAGTCACTTTGTGAACGGTTGTGTGGCCCAATGGCTGCCAAAAATATTCAAGGAGCGTAATGTTTAAACTGCAGTCGGGGCTCTTGAGGTATATTGTTGTGAGTTTTTCTTAAAAGGCTCAAATCTGGGCGTCCTCCTCGTTGGCGAGCCACTCCGTACGACTGCATCAGGAGTTTTTTTTAGAGAACTCGTCTGAAGGGGCTTCCCGGGCGTGAATCCCCGTCACAGAGGCAGCCGGCGGCCGCATTTTTCGGATCGCTAAGTTCATCATCACAGCCGGCCGGACGGGCGCTCAAACCCACACCACACGCACTGCATATACTCAATCCTGTTGTGGGCCGAGGTCGCGGGCTATGACCTTCAGAGGTGGAAAGGGGCTGTAGGCTGACTTGGTCGACTCTTCCAAACCTCCTCCCCGGGGTCACGGGGTGGTGGAGCCACGCCTGATGGGCCCTGCACCGCGCCAAGTTGCTGTGCGCACAAGGCCGAGAACAGAGCGAGTGCGATGCGGGGATAGCACACGGATGTTGTCGGGGCAGGCGGGGGCGGCGCTCCGCGTGACCCCGCGTGCCCAAACCGGTCCAGGGTCTGCTGCTGTTGTGCCGATAACGTTGCTGAAATTATGCACTCGCGGAAGGCAGCGTGGATGGCGGAAACGCGAAAAACAACATTTTTTTACGCAGGATGGAACCTATATATGTTGGAGAGGCGAATTGTCTCCTTGACGGGGTTTTTTTTCTGTCCAACCTAAAACCCGCATGGAAAAACCGGTTGCCGATGCACCGCACGTGTAAAAACATGTCGATAAACACAACGCGCTTTAGTTTCTAACTGCGAGACCTGGGGGGCTGTCAGAGCGGTGGTTGTTGGTTAACAACTTGGTGAACTCTCGTGCCCAGCCGAGACACATTTCACAGTGATGAAAAAATTAATATTCATTCATAATCTTGATACGGCATTGCAAAAAGGGGCCCCCGTATATTCCATCTCACAGCGTTAACCAACAGCGTTCTTTTCGTCCGATTTCTGGCAAAACCGGCCCAATGCCGTGAACACGCGAACAATGCGACCGCTCACGTGGAAGTTTCGCCGTCGTTCCCGGAGCAGGGATAATTACGCGCGCCCTCTCTCGCTTCCGCCTAAGCGTGGAGAGTCGGGGACCCCCCCTCCTCCTCCAACCCCAGGAGCGACCTGGGCACAGACGCCACGCCGCGGGGCAGCTGCTGCCGCCTGCAGCGCATTGTTCATCCACGGGTTCGTCAAGTCGATCATCACGGTCCGCACGAGGTTGTTTTGACCGTGCCCGACTACGTTGCTCAGTTCGGGTTGGTGAATTTCGGGGGTTGGTGAATTTCGGGGGTTGGCGCATTCGCGCACATTATTTATTTCCATTTAGAAAAAAAAGATTGCTGGGCACAGATCCAAATCGTCAGCGGCCAGTCACAATCGGCTCTCGTCAAGTTGTACTCGGTAAGAATGCAATACAGTCGAGGAGTTTTTAAATGAGCGAGGCGATGGCTTTACGAGCTTGGGAGAGAGAGACGATGGGAGGAGGAAATTCCGCCGTGGAGCAGAGCGAGGGAAGAAGAAGCCGCAGGGTGAGAAGAGACGCCGGTCGACACTGACGTCAACCGTTACCGGGAATTCAGCTCAAGTGCGCGGGGGTCCGCGGCTCCCAATCATCACTAATAAAACTGCGTTAAACTATTGCCCCACATTAAACCTTAACCCGTGTAAGGTTACGATGTCCTATAACTTGCACAACCTTTATATGGGACACTGGCCTCGATCTCGCCGCGATGTGGTGGCGCGCGTGGGTTTTGCTGTGACCTCGACACCCAAAACCCACCCAACACGTGCCCCCAGACCGGCCCGTCCTGCCGGTCCCGCCCTGCCGGGTTCGGTCTGCGGAACTCTCACAACACGGAAGGCATCGCGCGCAGTCACTCACTCACTCGTCGGCCTCCCGTCTCCCTCCACTCCTCCGCTGTGACTCGGTCGACCCTCGACGACTCCTGGAACTTGGCCGCGAGTCGTGGAACGCGACGAGCCTCGTGCGGTGTGGCCCGTTCGGAAGGGCCGGAAGAGGACCGTGAAGTGGTGATGTTCACGCACCGGTGGTGTGAGGGTGACGGTGGTGAGGGTCACACACGGTGGTGATGTTCACGCACCGGTGGTGTGAGGGTGACGGTGGTGAGGGTCACACACGGTGGGGAGGGTCACACACGGTGGTGAGGGTGTCTCAGTGGTGAGGGTGACACAGTGGTGATGCTCACGCACCGGTGGTGTGAGGGTGACAGTGGTGAGGGTCACACGGTGGTGAGGGTGACTCAGTGGTGAGGCCGACTCGGTGGTGAGGGTCACTCCGTGGTGTCGGTCAGTCACTGAACCATGCCGGGAGACGACGACCTCTCCTGCCAAATCTGCTGCGAGCATTACGACGAGGACACTCACAGCCCGCGGATTCTCGGCTGTTGCCTCTACAACCTCTGCCTGCAATGCGCCAAGAACCTGGAGTCCGAGCAGGAGGGCTTCGTCGCCTGCCCCGCGTGCCGGACCGAGCACGACGTGGAGGGAGACGCGGAGAACCTCCCCGTCAACGAGCTCGTGCTCAGGAGGCTACGCGCCGCGCCACCGCCGGGAGGAGGAGGAGGGGACTTTGATGCCGACGCGCCGGGAGTCGCCGCTCGGGGATTTATCGAGGGCGATGAGTGGTCCGTCTACTCTGACGACGACGACTTGTACGAGGAACGTTTTGAACGTGCAGATGTTGTGCCCCCACGGCGATCCGCCAGCATAAACATTGACGACTACGACTTTTACGAGGAACCTTCCGAAAGTCCAGACATTCTCGCCCCTCAAGGATTCGTCAGCGGCGACATTGACGACTACGACTTTTACGAGGAACGCGCAGATGTCGTGGCCCCTGGGCGATCCACCACCGTAACCACCGCGGGCCACGACTTTTACGAGGAACCTTCCGAAAGTCCAGACATCCCGGCAGAGGTGCCCGCCGCGTCAGACCAAGAGGACACCGACGAGCATCTCGCGCTGCCCACGTGTCCCCTGTGCGACTACCACTTCGACACGCTTCGGAAGCCCTGGGCCCTGGCGTGTCCCCACGTGCTGTGCGAGCCCTGCCTGAGCGCCATGCACGGCTCGCGCTCGCCCTCCGGGGCCCGCATCTCGTGCCCCGTGTGCGCGACCGAGACCGACGTGGCCCACGACTGGACCGCCTGCGTGACGCCGCGCGGCCACAGCGGCCGCCACCAGCGACCCCAGCCCGCGGCTCCGGACCCTCTCGGCCCGGCCGCCGCGGGGAACCCGGGCGCAGTGGTTGTCACGTCGGGGGCCGCGGACGATGGGTCCGAGGGGAGTTTCTGGGCGCGGTGGTTGGCGACACTCCGGAGGTGGTGCTTCTGTCGCGCCCGGTAGCTGCAGCGCGAGTCATCATCGCGATGAACACCACGATCATCGTCATCAGCAGCAACATCGGCACCACCATCACCAGCTGTGTCATCATTACCATCACCACCATCAGCAGCAGTATCATCATTACCATCAGCAGCAGTATCATCATTACCATCACCATCAGCAGCGTCATCATTACCATCACCACCATCAGCAGCAGTATCATCATTACCATCACCATCAGCAGTATCATCATTACCATCACCACCATCAGCAGCAGTGTCATCATTACTATCACCACCATCAGCAGCAGTATCATCATTACCATCACCACCATCAGCAGCAGTGTCATCATTACCGTCACCTCCATCAGCAGCAGTATCATCATTACCATCACCATCAGCAGCAGTATCATCATTACCATCACCACCATCAGCAGCAGTGTCATCATTACCATCACCTCCATCAGCAGCAGTGTCATCATTACCATCACCACCATCAGCAGCAGTGTCATCATTATCATCACCACCACCATCAGCAGTGTCATCATTACCATCACCTCCATCAGCAGCAGTGTCATCATTACCATCACCACCATCAGCAGCAGTGTCATCATTATCATCACCACCACCATCAGCAGTGTCATCATTACCATCACCTCCATCAGCAGCAGTATCATCATTACCATCACCACCATCAGCAGCAGTCATCATTACCATCACCTCCATCAGCAAAGACAAAATGCCGCCTTTAACTTGCTGTTGAGGCAAGGGCTGTCAGCGAGCAGAAAGAACGTGGCCGCCTGAGGCGCGCGCTCCCGAGGCGCGCTCACAGCAGCGGCTGGCGGGGCCGTTTGTGAGGGGGCCGGGGGGGGCGAAGGAGCCGACGTAGGGAGCCGATGGAGCCGAGGGGGCCGATGGAGCCGGAGGGGGGGGTGCCGACGGCGCGAGAAGAGGGAGCCGACACTGACTCACTCACACATCACACACTGACTCACTCACACATCACACACTGACTCACTCACACATCACACACTGACACACTCACACATCACACACTGACTCACTCACACATCACACACTGATTCACTCACACATCACACACTGATTCACTCACACAACATGCACTGACTTGCTCATCATGCGCTTACTCACTCACACATCATACACTCGCACAACCACTGACCCATTCACTCATCATACACTGACTCACTCATCTTGCGCTAACTCACATCATACACTCACTCACACTGCCGCTGACTCGCTCACACATCATACACTCACTCACGCTGCCGCTGACTCACTCACACATCATACACTGACTCACTCATCTTGCGCTAACACATCATACACTGATTCGCACATCATACACTCACTCACGCTGCCGCTGACTCACTCACACATCATACACTCACGCTGCCGCTGACTCACTCACACATCATATATTCACTCACGCTGCCGCTGACTTACTCACACATCATACACTCACTCACGCTGCCATTGACTCACTCACACATCATACACTCACTCACGCTGCCGCTGACTCGCTCACACATCATACACTCACTCACGCTGCCGCTGACTCGCTCACACATCATACACTCACTCACGCTGCCGCTGACTCACTCACACATCATACACTGACTCACGCTGCCGCTGACTCACTCACACATCATACACTCACTCACTCATCATACACTGACTCGCTCACACATCATACACTCACTCACTCATCATACACTGACTCACTCACACATCATACACTCACTCACGCTGCCGCTGACTCGCTCAAACATCATACACTCACTCACGCTGCCGCTGACTCACTCACACATCATACACTCACTCACGCTGCCATTGACTCACTCACACTTCATACACTCACGCTGCCGCTGACTCGCTCACACATCATACACTCACTCATCATACGCTGACTCACTCACACATCATACACTCACTCACGCTGCCGCTGACTCGCTCACACATCATACACTCACTCACTCATCATACACTGACTCGCTTACACATCATACACTCACTCACGCTGCCGCTGACTCACTCACACATCATACACTCACTCACGCTGCCGCTGACTCGCTCACACATCATACACTTACTCACGCTGCCGCTGACTCACTCACACATCATACACTCACTCACGCTGCCGCTGACTCGCTCACACATCATACACTCACTCACTCATCATACACTGACTCGCTTACACATCATACACTCACTCACGCTGCCGCTGACTCACTCACACATCATACACTCACTCACGCTGCCGCTGACTCGCTCACACATCATACACTGACTCGCTCATCATGCGCTGACTCACTCACACATCATACACTGGGAGTGTCGTGCTGCCAGCTATGGCTGCAGGTTTTGTCGTACGTGTTATGTATATATCGTTTATTGTTACATTTTTTAATCACAGTTCCTATGATTATTGTTGTTACATTGTTTTTATAGCTTTATTTTGATGATTCGAAAACATATGGTTCATCTAAATTGTCTTATTGTTGTTGTTGTTGGCTTGTACCACATTGTGATTTTTGCACACAGGAGTTTTAATACGGATTTTTTTGTGCAATATTTGCTGGTTTATTCCAGGATGTTTCTGTTGCGCGTCGTCGCTTTAAGATGTTCTGTGTTCATATTTTGTTTGTTGCGGTTGCACCCGACTCAAGAGCCGCATGGCTCACAGGGCTACACCTAATAAATGAAACTTGAAGCTTGACTAACGCCCGTGCAGCGCACGAGGGGTGGTGGTGTGGCCAGAACCCACCCAGGCGCCTTTGTCTCCCCGGCGCTGGTGTCCGTACACCCACACCTAGAGGAGGGCCAGGACCTGTTCACATTGTTTCACTCGCGGCTGACGAGCCATGTTTGCCGTGGCCGGGAATCGAACTCGGCTCGCTGAATGTTTTAGCGCGGGCAGAGCGCTAACCACGGCGCCACTGCTCCCCGCCAGCACTTACCATCATCAACATCATCATCAGCAGCAGCGCGAACATCGTCATCGTCACCGCCATTCATCACGCCAGCGCATCATGACAATCAGGATTTCATTTTTATTCTGGAAACATTTCGACGGAGCCTCAGGCCCGGACGGTGCTGGCTGAACGGCAGCCCAGGTGGAAGTTGTCTTTTTGTCTTTTGGAGGGAACCTTCCTGGGAGCTCAGCACGCGTCTCGAGTTTCGAGCCCACTGATGGCCACACAAACATCGGTCACGTCATCAGCGATGGTGATGATGGGTGATTGTGTCGATTATGAAGTCCCAATCACGAGAGTGTAACGGGCACACTTGAGTGTGCGTGATGAGTAGGAGCAGGAGAGAGAGAGAGAGCGCCAAAGGGCTTCTCCCCCTTCTCTCGCTGAAGCTCCTCGCGCTGGCGTGGCGACACCACGGGCGGCGCTGTGTGGGGGCCATCGGCCCCCGGGGTCCCTCCCGCCTGCATCCCCTATTCGTTTACGTTACCCCACCTCCCTATTACCCGCTACGGTTTCGCCGGCATTCGAACGCGACGCCCCTACGGTTACAGCCTCGCGCCGCGCTCCCACGCTGCGAGCATACGTGCGCACATCATCGTCGATCAAACGCCGTGCTCGCAGTATAGCCCTGTGCGGCACGTTCCCAATGCGCATCCGTATTATACACGTAGTGAACGTGCGCGCACACACGCATACAGCTCCACACGCGATACCCACTCTTGCGCCGCTCTGCGCAGCGCTCGCCGCCTGCTGGCCGCTCACGTTATGAGCGCGCACCTGGGGGACGCCGATTACGCACGCACGCCCACACACACGCCGCTCCGCGCACTCCAACTCAACTCACGTTATACTCGCGCACCTGTATCACACACGGAGTGAACACACGCGACACCCACTCTCGCACCGCTCTGCGCAGCGCTCCCCCGAGGCGAGCCGCAGCACCACAGAATCACTGCATACCCACGCGCAACCCGCGCGCTCAGCTCCGCGCAGCGCTCACTCACGTGGCGAACCACTGTGCACACAGCGCACCCACACGCTCACACTGCACGACAAGATCACGCGAGACCACGCTTCGCTATTAATGATTTATTATATGCTACCTGCGAATTGATGTGGAATCAGTGAGTCGACGAGGCTGGCCTATTCCACTAAACCTGTACCTATTCCCTATTTATCGGCTTACGATACCCTACTTCACCTCCCCACTCACTGTTTGGTGCCCGCGGAGGTTCGCTGCTCTCTGCGCTAACAGCGTACCTCGATGCGTCGCACGGACGTCCGGGTCGCTGGCTGGAAGTCCTGCTGGTCCGCTGGCCTGGAGAGAAGGGGCGATTTCCCCTCTGCGCTCCTCTATTTATCCTCCCCTACCTCAAAGGGGATGCTGCGCTGAACAATGGGCTCGTGCACCCCAAGCCCGCGCACGGCGGTTCCCCGGGCGCTGTTGATATGCTAATCAGTGCGCGACGTTGGCGGCGTACATCCTAATTACTCCCTTACCCTTCCCAACAATGGGGCCTGCGCGCTCAAGCGCAATTATCCCAACCCTCCATGACTATGCGCAACAGCCCCTGTGACCCCGCTATTCATGCTGTCTCGTGCCTCCCCTGCTTGCCCCGTCGACTCGTGGGGGTGTGTGTGGGGGGAAATGCGCCTCAACCGCGGTGGCCGAATGCCCCACGCCGCGACCACACCATATTAAGGCCGGCAGCAGCGCCGCGGTACCACGTAGCACGGGGGAGGTCATCCAATTCCCTGATCGCCGGAAACCGTGAGAATTAATCCCGATAAGGGTCTCTCGGATAAAAACCGGTCGATCAGGTAACCTTCCCTTCCAGCTCTATGGGGGGGGGGGGGGATGCGTGCGGGTGTGTGCTTATGTGGGGCGGGTGATGGGGGGCAGTGCGGTGGGGGAAGCCGGGCGGCTCCCTGGCTCGGCAGAGCGGCCCCGTCGCTGTGGCACCACAGCTGCTTCCCGCAGGGGGACACGGGGGGACGCAGACGGCTGTGGCCGTCATCGGCACAGCGCAGGGCGATAGAAAATTATCCAAGAACTTCACAGAGCGAGGGAGTGGTGGTGGTGGGGGGGGGGGGGCTCGAGATGAGGAGGAGGAGCGGGCGAACGAGAGGCGCCGTCTCGCTTCGTGCGCGGCGCTCCGACTCATCCCGGGGTCTGGGATGGGTCCGATCCGGGCGGGCACCGCACGCGGCACGCTGTGCTCGTCGGAGGAACGCGCGCGAGGTGCTTGCTTTTCGTTGTTGTGTTCACAGCGGTTTGATTAGCACAGACCCCAAACGCACACAACTCCAAAGGGGGCCAGTAACAAACAGCACTGTCAGCGTTCTTGTAGGTAAGAGTATGATGACACGTTTCTTAAACCGAGTAAGGTGATTGTCAGAGCCTGGGGACAAGAGGCGGTGATGGGAGGAGGGGAAGTCCAAAGTGGACCAGTGAGAGGGAAGAAGCGGAAAGAAAAGCGTTGTGACCTGCAGTGTGGTGAGTGAGTGGGAGAGTGGGTGGGTGAGTGAGTGGGAGGTTGAGTAGGTGGGTGAGTGGGTGGGTGAGTGGGTGGGTGAGTGGGTGGGTGAGTGGGAGGGTGAGTGAGTGGGAGGGTGAGTGCGTTGTTGTGACCTGCAGTGTGGTGAGTGAGTGGGAGTGTGGGTGGGTGAGTGAATGGGAGAGTAGGTGGGTGAGTGGGAGCGTGAGTGCGTTGTTGTGATCTGCAGTGTGGTGAGTGAGTGGGTGGGTGAGTGAATGGGAGAGTAGGTGGGTGAGTGGGAGGGTGAGTGGGAGGGTGAGTGCGTTGTTGTGACCTGCAGTGTGGCGAGTGGATGGGTGAGTGGGTGGGGGAGTGAATGGGAGAGTAGGTGGGTGAGTGGGAGGGTGAGTGCGTTGTTGTGACCTGCAGTGTGGCGAGTGGATGGGTGAGTGGGTGGGGGAGTGAATGGGAGAGTAGGTGGGTGAGTGGGAGGGTGAGTGCGTTGTTGTGACCTGCAGTGTGGTGAGTGGGTGGGTGAGTGAATGGGGGAGAGTGGGGGGGGGGGGGAGAGTAGGTGGGTGAGTGGGAGCGTGAGTGCGTTGTTGTGACCTGCGGTGTGGTGGGTGAGTGGGAGGGTGAGTGAATGGGTGGGTGAGTGCGTTGTTGTGAGCTGCGGTGTGGTGAGTGGGTGAGTGGGTGGGTGAGTGGGAGGGTGAGTGAATGGGAGGGTGAGTGCGTTGTTGTGACCTGCGGTGTGGTGGTTGAACGCAGTGTGACGGATGAGACGAGACAGTGTCTGGCAGTTCGAGTCCTCAACACGTGCGGACGACGATGATGACGATGCTGTGATGGGGCTGCAGGGACACGGGGCCGGGCCTCCTCTTGCCCTTGCTCACCGCGGCGTGAGACTCCTCACTTCCCCACGCCTTCCTCCCACTCCTCACCCCTTCTCACCCTCCTCACCGCGACGTAAGACTTCTCACCCCTGCTCTAATGAACGCGCCTCTTCGTTTCAATTAAAGCCGCGTCTCCTCCAGCGCCTCGCGGCTCCTCGCGAAACGCATTCCAGCCCAGAGGCACAAACAGCGTGCAGCGCAATCACGGGCAGAACACGCGCTCCCCTCCTCCTCCTCCTCCTGCTCGTCATCCTCCTCGTCCTCGTCATACTCCACGGGCCGGACCTGCTGCGGCGCGAGACGCACGGAGCGGAGAGAGCGAATTCTGGACTCTGCGGGACATGGGCTGAGCGTGGAGGTCGTGGAGAGGTACGACCTCGTGCCTGGATGAAGCGTCAATCTCGACGTCGCGACTGAACTGGACTCCTGGACTCTGAGTCTCCTCTGAACCTGGTCTCCTGGTCGTCTCCGACTCCGGTATTCAGGTCTCCTTTAGTTTTTCGTATTCTGGATCGTGGTTCTCAAGTTTCTCGTCATTATCCTGCTACTCCTTCATCTCCTGGTGTCTGATAATACCCTCGTCTCCTGCCGTCTGGATCCTTAAAATCCCGGCCTCTCATCTCCTTGCCCCTGGATCCGCGACCCCGGCAGCAATGGTCCCCGCCTGGAGCTGGCGGGTCCTGGCGCTGCTGCTGCTGCTCGTCAGCTGCACCGCGGTAAGACTCTCTCGCGACTCCACCGCGCGGGGACACCGGGGGGGGGGGGGGAGTTGGTGTCTGCCTCGTGAGCGGCACGGAGAGGCGAGTCACGTGTCCGTGCGTGTGCGTGCGTGTCCGTGCGTGTCCGTGCGTGCGTGTGCGTGCGTGTCCGTGCGTGTCCGTGCGTGCGTGTGCGTGCGTGTCCGTGCGTGTCCGTGCGTGCGCTTGGTGCAGACCCGGCGAGCAGAGGGGACCCCGCCACGAGAAGAGGGGACCTTGGATGAGGCGGATATCTGTGAGTCCGAGTCGCCTCCATCATATTGACCTTTGTTCACCCAGGGAAGCCTCTCTTTCAGATAGGGGGGGGGGGCAACCCCTCCAGCAATGAAAAATGAAAGAGGAGTTAGTAAGGACTTGTTGTCGCTTGATTTGTATTCGACGCGTGTGCGGCGATGGCGCAGCCATCGATCGAGGGTCGAATTCGAACCGCGTTGTGTGATCGGCATCGCGCTCGCTGAAGGTGTTGATGCCTTCAGGGAAGTCGTGTACTGTGTAGACGCAACTGCGCACAATTCTGTGGGTCACTTATAACTGCTTTGCCGTTACTTATTGCCAATTATGGACTCAGACTATTGTCCTATCATCTCATATAGTCGCTGGCACGTAATAATATGCTACACAGTGGCAGTGGGGGTCGCAAAATGCCGTTTTTTAACTAATAAACCCCAACGATTCGATCGAAATTAGGGATTTCGATCTGAACATTGGGGGGGGCATGTGCCACCCCCCCCCCCCCCCCCCACTGTACTCTTGAGGCTCAGGGAGGTTTCCCTGCGACGTGGGATGTCTGGCTTCGTGTACGAGGAACCAAAAGACCCGGAGAATACCCAGACACCGTATCTAGGGGGGGGGGGGGGTCTCCCATAGATCCACACAGATAGATTTAATAATCCATTGCTGTACTATCATGTGGCGACCTCGCAACCCACGTGGTAGTCCCAGGCAGTCTCCTACTCCAGCATTAGCCGGGCTGTCCTGCTTGGCTTCCCAGGTCAGATAGGATGAGGCGGGCACGGCTGTGGGCTTCAGTTCAAGGGGAATCGGTCAAACTTGACCAGTGGAGCAGAAACCTCCTGGACACGGAGTCTCGATAATCGCTTGAGCCATCAGCGAATCGATCACGCGAGCGGCGCCGCAGTCAGCGGTTTCACGCGCTGCGTTATCAGCCCGGCGAGACGACGCGAGCTGGATTTCTGTACGCGGCTAACGTCAGTGGTGATAGCATCAGAACTGTCTCTTGAGTCTCCCCGCATCACCAACCGGCGCTGACCACCGTGGTGAAGTATGGCCTCCATCCAGCAGTGGATTGTGTCGCATTGTGTTCAACCAGCACACTGCAGGTCCCAACTCACTCACCCACCCACTCACCCACCCACCCACTCACCCACCCACCCACCCACTCACCCACCCACTCACCCACTCACCCACCCACCCACTCACCCACCCACCCACTCACCCACCCACTCACTCAACCACCCACTCACCCACCCACCCACTCACCCACCCACCCACTCACCCACCCACCCACCCACTCACCCACCCACCCACCCACTCACCCACCCACTCACCCACTCACCCACCCACCCACTCACCCACCCACCCACTCACCCACCCACTCACTCAACCACCCACTCACCCACCCACCCACTCACCCACCCACCACACTGCAGGTCACAACTCATCCACCCACTCACCTAACCACTCACCCACCCACCCACACACCCCATCACCCGCTCACCACACTGCAAGTCACAACGATTTTCTTTCTGAATCTTCCCTCGCACTGCTCCACTACGGAGTCCCACCCTCGTCTCTCCTGGATTATGAAGTCGTCCTTGACGTTAACCGCGGCGTTGAGAATTCATCGATTCCGATGGTCATCAAATTCTCGGGTTTGTCCGTAAATTGGTCCGCACGATCCCGGCAGCCGCTAGAGGCGCCTCCATTCCCAGCGGTTGATGGAATCCCCCGAATGCGGCCGGGGAAGAGAGAGGAGGAGGCGGAGGAGGAGGAGAGAGAGTCAAGGAGCGGGGTCGATCGTGAGACGTGGCGAAGGCTTGGGGAGCCCTTCATCCTGTGCCCGGGTCTCCCCCTGTCCCCCTGTCACATGTCCCCCTGTCCACCTGTCACATGTCCCCTTGTCCCCCTGTCACATGTCCCCTTGTCCACCTGTCACGTGTCCACCTGTCCCCCTGTCACGTGTCCCCTTGTCCCCCTGTCACGTGTCTCCCAGGGCCCGGACTGTCTCTGGTCTACTCCGCCTCCCGCTATTGGCCTCTGGGCCGCGTGCCCGGGCTCCTGGAGGCGCCGGGACCACGTGACCCCACGGAGCAAGGTGAGCCCCGCCCCCTCACGCGGAGACACGGGGGGGGGGGCACGGGGGGTGACAGGGGGGGGCACGGGGGGTGACAGGGGGGGGGCACGGAGACACGGGGGGGGGGAGACACGGGGGGGGGGGCACGGAGACACGGGGGGGGGGACATGGGGGGCTTGGTGACACGGAGACACGGGGGTTTGGGGACAAATGTCTCAAGGAGACACGGGGAGACACGCGGGGGGGCGAGACGGGTGTGTGAGGGTGCGCGTGGTGGCTGCGTCTCCACAGCCGAGGTGACCCCCTCGTCTCGTCTCGTGGAGCTCAACACCACGGCGGAGACGGCCGCCAACGGCTCCACCCGCTACTCCAGCCTGGAGGCCACCGTGGGTAGGGCCCAAGCACCCACACAGCGTACACGCGAGTATCATGATGATGATGCTGATGATGGCAATGATGCCGATGCTGATGATGTACAGTGAGGGAAACAAGTATTTGATCCCCTGCTGATGTTGAACGTTTGCCCACTGACGAATAAATGATCAGTCTATAATTTTAATGGTAGGTTTATTTGAACAGTGAGAGACAGAATAACAACAATATCTAGAAAAGCGCATGTCAAAAATGTTATAAATTTATTTTCATTTAATGAGGGAAATAAGTATTTGACCCCCTCTCAATCAGAAAGATTTCTGGCTCCCAGGTGTCTTTTATACAGGTAACTAGCTGAGATTAGGAGCACACTCTTAAAGGGAGTGCTCCTAATCTCAGCTTGTTACCTGTATTAAAAACACCTGTTCACAGAAGCAATCAATCAATCAGATTCCAAACTCTCCACCATGGCCAAGACCAAAGAGCTCTCCAAGGATGTCAGGGACAAGATTGTAGACCTACACCAGGCTGGAGTGGACTACAAGACCATCGCCAAGCAGCTTGGTGGGAACGTGACAACAGTTGGTGCGATTATTCGCAAATGGAAGAAACACAAAAGAACTGTCAATCTCCCTCGGCCTGGGGCTCCATGCAAGATCTCACCTCGTGAAGTTGCAATGATCATGAGAACGGTGAGGAATCAGCCCAGAACTACACGGGAGGATCTTCTCAATGCAGCTGGGACCATTGTCACCAAGAAAACAGTTGGTAACACACTACGCCGTGAAGAACTGAAATCCTGCAGCGCCTGCAAGGTCCTCCTGCTCAATAAAGCACATATACATGCCCGTCTGAAGTGTTGTGGTCAGATGAGACCAAAATGGAGCTCTTTGGCATCAACTCAACTCGCCGTGTTTGGAGGAAGAATGCTGCCTATGACCCCAAGAACACCATCCCCACCATCAAACATGGAGGTGGAAACATTATGCTTTGGGGGTGTTTTTCTGCTAAGGGGACAGGACAACTTCACCGCATCAAAGGGACGATGGACGGGGCCATGTACCGTCAAATCTTGGGTGAGAACCTCCTTCCCTCAGCCAGGGCATTGAAAATGGGTCGTGGATGGGTATTCCAGCGTGACAATGACCCAAAACACACGGCCAAGGCAACAAAGAAGTGGCTCAAGAAGAAGCACATTAAGGTCCTGGAGTGGTCTAGCCAGTCTCCAGACCTTAATCCCATAGAAAATCTGTGGAGGGAGCTGAAGGTTCGAGTTTCCAAACGTCAGCCTCGAAACCTTAATGACTTGGAGAAGATCTGCAAAGAGGAGTGGGACAAAATCCCTCCTGAGATGTGTGCAAACCTGGTGGCCAACTACAAGAAACGTCTGACCTCTGTGATTGCTAACAAGGGTTTTGCCACCAAGTACTAAGTCATGTTTTGCAGAGGGGTCAAATACTTATTTCCCTCATTAAAATGCAAATCAATTTATAACATTTGTGACATGCGTTTTTCTGAATTTTGTTGTTATTCTGTCTCTCACTGTTCAAATAAACCTACCATTAAAATTATAGACTGATCATTTCTTTGTCAGTGGGCAAACGTACAAAATCAGCAGGGGATCAAATACTTTTTTCCCTCACTGTAGCTGATGATGGCAATGATAATTTCTGCTGCTGGAGATGATGCCGCTGATGATGATGGTAGTGATGATGATGCTGATGTAGCTGATGATAACAATGATGTTTCTGCTGCTGATGATGATGCCATTGATGATGATGCCAGTGATGATGCCGCTGATGATGATGCTGATGAAGTTGATGATGACAATGATTTTTCTGCTGCTGATGTTGCTGATGCGGATGATGCTGATGATGATGCCGCTGATGCTGATGATGCCGCTGATGCTGATGATGATGATGCTGATGATGAAGCTGATGATGACAATGTTTTTGCTGCTGATGATGATGCCGCTGCTGATGATGCCGCTGATGCTCATGATGCTGATGCCGCTGATGCTGATGATGCTGCTGTATCTGACGATCCCCAGAGCTGGTGGACTGGCCCGAGGGCCGCGGGGTGCTGCTGCTGATGATGATACCGCTGATGATGATACCGCTGATAATGATGCCGCTGATGATGATACCGCTGATGATGATGCCGCTGATATGATGATGCCGCTGACGCGGATGATGATGCTGCTGATGATGACAATGATGTTTCTGCTGCTGATGATGATGATGCTGATGATGCTGCTGATGATGATGCTGATGATGCTGATGATGCCGCTGATGCTGATGATGATGCTGATGTATCTGACGATCCCCAGAGCTGGTGGACTGGCCCGAGGGCCGTGGGGTGCTGCTGCTGCTGCGTGGGAGCGGCTCCGCCACCGCGCTGCTGCCGCACGCGGCGCGGGAGGCGCGGGAGTCGTGCGTCAGCCAGCCGGCACTCTGCTCGCCACGAGGTGGTGACGGTGGTGTCGTGGTGGTGGTGTAGTGGTAGCGTAGTGGTGTAGTGGTGGTGTAGTGGTGGTGTAGTGGTGGTGGTGGTGATGTAGTGATGGTGGTGGTGATGTAGTGATGGTGATGTAGTGATGGAGGTGGTGGTGATTGTGGTGGTGATGATGTAGTGATGGTGGTGGTGTAGTGATGGTGGTGGTGATGTAGTGATGGTGGTGATGATGTAGTGATGGTGGTGATGATGTAGTGATGGTGGTGGTGATGTAGTGATGGTGGTGGTGATGTAGTGATGGTGGTGGTGATGATGTAGTGATGGTGGTGGTGTAGTGGTGGTGGTGGTGATGTAGTGATGGTGGTGGTGATGTAGTGATGGTGATGTAGTGATGGAGGTGGTGGTGATTGTGGTGGTGATGATGTAGTGATGGTGGTGGTGTAGTGATGGTGGTGGTGATGTAGTGATGGTGGTGATGATGTAGTGATGGTGGTGATGATGTAGTGATGGTGGTGGTGATGTAGTGATGGTGGTGGTGATGTAGTGATGGTGGTGGTGATGATGTAGTGATGGTGGTGATGATGTAGTAATGGTGGTGGTGATGTAGTGATGGTGGTGGTGATGATGTAGTGATGGAGGCAGTGATGTTGTGATGGTGGTGATGGTGGTGGTGATGATGATGTAGTGATGGTGGTGGTGATGTAGTGATGGTGGTGATGATGATGATGTTGTGATGGTGGTGATGATGTAATGATGGTGATGTATTGCGTGTGGTGTTAGCGATGTCGTCGTGTGATGCCCCCGTGCCCTTGTGACCCCCGTGTCCCCACGCAGGCGTCACGTTGTCTCTCTTCTGGAAGAGGACAGAGCGTGGCTCCCATGCAGCGCAGCTCTCCTCCTCCTCCTCCGCTTCTTCCTCCTCCTCCTCCACCGCCTCCTCCACCTCCTCCTCCTCGTCCTTCCCGAGCCGCAGGCCGCCCTCCCCGAGCGGCTTCTCGATCAGCGTGGACCCCGAGCGCGGCTCCGCGGAGATCCTCACGTTCGTGGCCGCGTGGAGGTGGCAGGCCGAGGCACGAGGCCCCGGTGAGTGGGGGGCCGTGGGGGTGAGGATAGTGAGGATGGTGAGCGTGGCGATGGCGCCGTTTTAAAAGGGGTTTGATGACGGTGCCGGAACGCCGAGAGGGACCACCCTCGGTGCGTCCGGTGCATTCACTGCTGCACAATGCCGCGCCGCGTCACCAGGAGGATTTCTCCACAATCTGGCCGACGCCTGATGAAGCTCGTTGAACTGCTGGTGGCACTGCTGGTGGCACTGCTGGTGGCACTGCTGGTGGAGGTGGTGATTGAACTGCTGGTGGCACTGCTGGTGGAGGTGGTGGTGGTGATGGCACTGCTGGTGGCACTGCTGGTGGTGGTGGTGATTGAACTGCTGGTGGCACTGCTTGTGGAGGTGGTGGTGGTGGTGGCACTGCTGGTGGCACTGCTGGTGAAGGTGGTGGTGGTGATGGCACTGCTGGTGGCACTGCTGGTGGTGGTGCTAGGGGTGGTGCACAGCATCACGAGTGAAGCCCCGACACTCCCCGCACGCTCCCCACAGGCGCCGTGTGGTCCCACCTGCTCTTCACGTGGAGCCGGGTGAGGATGGTGAGGATGGTGAGCGTGGCGATGGCGCCGTTTTAAAAGGGGTTTGATGACGGTGCCGGAACGCCGAGAGGGACCACCCTCGGTGCGTCCGGTGCATTCACTGCTGCACAATGCCGCGCCGCGTCACCAGGAGGATTTCTCCACAATCTGGCCGACGCCTGATGAAGCTCGTTGAACTGCTGGTGGCACTGCTGGTGGCACTGCTGGTGGAGGTGGTGATTGAACTGCTGGTGGCACTGCTGGTGGAGGTGGTGGTGGTGATGGCACTGCTGGTGGCACTGCTGGTGGTGGTGGTGATTGAACTGCTGGTGGCACTGCTTGTGGAGGTGGTGGTGGTGGTGGCACTGCTGGTGGCACTGCTGGTGAAGGTGGTGGTGGTGATGGCACTGCTGGTGGCACTGCTGGTGGTGGTGCTAGGGGTGGTGCACAGCATCACGAGTGAAGCCCCGACACTCCCCGCACGCTCCCCACAGGCGCCGTGTGGTCCCACCTGCTCTTCACGTGGAGCCGGGGCTCGGGCCTGCGGGTGTTCGTCAATGGGACCCCCTCGGCCTGGGACCCCCGCGGGGCCCCCTGCAGGGGGCGGTACGGGGCGAGCCCTGGGGGAGGGCTCGTCCTGGCGGCCGGGAGTCCCCCCTCCCCGCTGGGGGCGCCGGCGGGAGACGTCGCGTTTGACGAGGTGATCGTGTGGGAGAGGAGGCTCACAGCACGCGAGGTCCGGCTGTACTTCACCGCGGCGACTGGTGAGAGCATGGGGCTGTGCGTGAGTGGGTGGGTGGGTGGGTCAGTGGGTGGGTGAGTGGGTGGGTGGGTGGGGAGGTGAGTGGGTGGGTGGGTGGGGAGGTGAGTGAGTGGATGGATGAGTGGGTGGATGGATAAGTGGGTGGGTGGGGAGATGAGTGGGTGGGTGAGGAGGTGAGTGAGTGGATGGGTGAGTGGGTGAGGAGATGAGTGGGTGGGTGGGGAGGTGAGTGAGTGCATGAGCGAGTGGGTGAGTGTACGAGCACATGACTCTTGTCTGTGCAGCTGTGTGCGCGAGTGCACTGAGTATCTGTGGGTGGGTCTCTGTGGGGGGGGGGGGTGGGCCGTTGTGACTTTGCCCCGGGTTTCGCTGCCGCAGGAGCGGACGCGTCTCTCGCCGCGAAGCCCGGAGCGACGCTCCCCACCGCGGAGCCCGGCGGCCGAACGGTGAGTCGGCCAGCGCCGGCCAGCCTCACCGACCCGGCACCGCGCGGGGATCCCACTCGCACCTCGTGCACAGCACACCGACACATCTCCCTCGAGTCCCGCTTACACCGTGCCGAGCGTTTCACTCCAACCCCACTCAAATCTCTACAAAAACCCTGCACGTAAACCTCATTTTACACGTCACTCAAATGGCAGTCTACCCGCGCTTGAAGCTTATTAAACCAAACCTGACATCTCAATTCGGCCCCACTTGAAGCTGAATGAATCCGCACTTAAACCCATTGTAGATGCCTCTTGAGCCCCCGCTCTAAGTGTCACTGGAGCGAGCCACGCCGCCGTCACTCTGCGAGTCTCGCGTCAGCTGTTCGCTGGCCGGGCACGTGCCTGGCTTAGTGGGGTTGCACGGGGGGGGGGCGGTCACTGAGCTCACGGTCAGAGGTCACGGCCGTACACCGAAGCACTCGGGCAGCGTTCGCCCGGCACCGATGTTGACGTCTCCGTAACTTAATTCTACACTGGGAGTCAAGGTCCCCGTCTGACTTCTGCTAATGCTGATGTTTCCACAGTCGCCTCCGGGGGCATCTCGGGGTCTCCCCGGTGGTTCGGGGCAGCTCAGCCAGGAGGGGACAGCTGCACGGTTGGGGTCGGGGCGGGCCCCAGGGGCCGGCAGGGATCTGGGGCACTTGGGAGCCCTGGTGCCCAATCTCCCGGACGCTCACGCCATCAGCCCTGACGTGGCGCGTAACCTCACCCAGGTGAGCACCGCTGTCCTCCAGTGCCCCGCGTGTCCCCGCTGATTGCCTCGTGTCCCCTTGTCTCTCCATATTCCCCTGTGTCCCTGTGTCTCCATTTCCCTGTACCCCTATGTCTCCTTGTCCTAAGGGGCCATCCATAAATGACGTGGCGCGATTTTGGACGATTTTTGACCCCCCCCTCTCCGTCACACGGAGTCACAAAAAGTCAGACCCCCCCTCAAATATGACGTCACAAATCTCTGCCCCTCCCCCAAAAAAAAAAACATGCTTCAAATCGCTTTAAACTATTGTCATTGTAGTGCGTATGTAATGTGGCGCTGCACTCTGATGTTGTAGGAGAAAACATTTATTAAAAAGTCTTTAATTAAGTAGAACGTGTTGTCTATATTTATATAAAGTTGCGCATTTTGATGTGATGTCACATTTCTCAAACCCCCCCCCCCTTCGTCACACATCGTCGCAAATGTCTGACCCCCCTCCCAGGTGTGTGACGTCATTTATGGACGGCCCCGAATGTCTCCATGTCCCCATCTCCCTATGTCCCCATGTCCACAAGCCCGGTATCCCTGCAGCTCTGTGTCCACACGCCCCTATAACCCCGTGTCCACCTGCCCTGTGACCCCGTGTGGCCTGCAGAGTTTCCTGGGCTCGGTGGAGGACGTCCTCCTTTCACCCGTGATGGCGCAGTTCTCACAGGTAACCCGCTCCGAGGGGAAGTAGTGGGGGGGTGTATGGTGTGGTTAACTGCGATGTGGAGAGCGTGGTGTGATGAGCTGTGGTGAGTGTGGAGGGATGAGTCGGGGCGGCGTGTGAGCCGGAGTCCCCGTCGGGTGGAGCTGATGGAGTCGCCGCGACACCGGGCGCCACGTGGTGCCGTTTCCACGGCGATGATGATCGAGCAGCGTTGAGAGTTGAGGTCTCTGCCGGCCAGAGCCAAAGCAGTGCCCCGCCCCCCTCGTGTTCGCGTGACGACCCCGTGAACTCACGACCCCCAGGCCGGCTCGGTGGTGAGCGGGCTGCTGCTCACGGTGGATGAGGCGACGAGTCGCGTGGCCTCGCGACTCGGCTCCTCCTCGGGCGGCCCCATCACGATCCGCGGGCGCACCGACTCCGCCGGTACCGCGCCACCCGGCACGCGCAGCACCCAGCGGACCCCCTCCTCTCCCTCCTCCTTCATCATCACATCACCTCCACTCCACCTCCTCTCTCTTCAGCGCGTTCCCTCATTCGCCTACGTAAATGTAGCAGGACCCTCCTGCAAAACAAGTGTTGTGACCAAGAGAGCGAGGCTGTGCCGGGTGGCACTGCTTTATAACTGTGGCTCACGGTAGAGTTGCGGCACGTGGTGTGAAGCAGCCCAGTGAATGAACCCGAGCGGTGTACAGCACCGACTGCGATTGTTGTTCACGCAGCGCTTTGCTGCGAGTGAAACTTTCTGCTTCGTGAGTTCAACAGTGCCACTCACCACGGACTCCCATTGTTACGAAGCGGGCCTCTCGTCACCGCTCTCACCGGGACATTCGTGAGAGGTCACGATGTGTTTGGCGTGACCTCGGGTTGACCTCGACGTAACCCTGCTCCCCTCTGCTACAGACTTTGCTCTCGTCAAGGTCCCCGGCGCGTGGCACCTGCACGAGTACCGCTTCCCGGCGCACGGCGCCAGCTACATCTTCATCCCCGGCACCGCCTTCCCCGCACGCGGTCAGTTCACGGCGGGGTCACGGTGGGGTCACGGCGAGGTCACGGCGGGGTCACGTTAGCGCTGGGGTTGAGCAAGGATGACCGACCCCATTGCCTATTTCCCAACTGCCGACTGAAAACGCCACACTCGCATCCCACTGACCACACACACATCCCACTCTCCGCTGCACTCGCCCGATATTCACCTCTGTACCTCCTCCGCTCACCCACGCCCCCCCCCCCCCCACTCGCCCCCACCTGTGCAGAGGAGCTCACCATCGTGGGGCTGCTCTACCACTCGGTGCACCGGTTCTACCGACGCATCTCTCCCTCCCAAACCAGGTGCGGCGCAGTGGGGGGAGGGCGGTGGTAGTGGGGGGTGCTGGTGGGGGGGTCAGAGATATCTGACTCGTTGATTAAGAACTTCCAGCGTCATCACTGTTGCTGTCCCTCCCCCGCCTCGCTCCTTCCCCCGGTGGGGCAGGGTGTCGGGTGCCCTCCAGGAGGACACCCACCGACTGGAGGTGGTGAGTCGCATCATCTCCCTCAAGACCCAGCCGCCCCCGCGCCTCTCCTCCTCGCTCTCCGGCTCCCCACTCGTCACCGTCGTGCTCCTGCACGAGCGCGTGAGACTCCCTGCACCGTGACACCGACTCCCTGCACCGAGACTCCCTGCACTAGGACACGTGTGGCACGTTCCCATCGAGTGACGCGAGCGCACGCAGCGTGCGTTCCCAGGCTCGTGCACCCCCTGTGCATCCCCTGTGTTCACCACGTGCTGCCCCTGTGCTGCACCTGTGCTGCAGGAGATGGACGCCTCTAACAGCTCGCTACGTGTGCAGCTGTGGTGCGCGTTCCTCGACTTTAGGTGCGTATGCCCCCTGGATGCACCAACCACATGCACCGCACACACACACCGCACACGCCAACTACACACACACCACACGACGTACACACACCCCACAGCATACACAAACCACACCCCAACGAACACACCGACCGCACACAGCAGTCACAGTATCCAACAGCACACCCCATATCCAGCAAGCGTACTTGATGCTAATTTACCGCTCTATCGGCAATGCTGCGTCCACACTGTTGCTGTCTCCACGGACTGATCATGTATCTGCGTCGCCGTATCTGCACTGCAGCTTGGAGCCCCAGGGCGTCTGGTCCAACGCCGGCTGCGCCAGGACCCAGGGCAACGGCTCCTTCTCCGTGTGCAAGTGCACGCACCTCACCAACTTCGCCATCCTCATGCAGGTCACGCCGCTCCAGGTGATGCGCACGCTCCCGTCACAGGAACGGGGAGTGGCCTCAATAATTTGAGCGCAGCCCCCCCCCCCCCCCCCCGGAGAAACGTGCTCACGAGTTTTCTTTGGACGGGACATATTGCAGCAAAACAAATTGTTTGCAGGAGGTTTCAGTGCTCGTGTTTTGCCGTGTTTGGTTGGGGGGCTACGTTTTGGTCTCGTGTTACCTGGGGAATGAGACTTTAGACGCTACATTCGCGATTAAATGAGTAAAAACTGTGTTTTTGCATACAAATTGCGGTTTTAATGGGTTGCTTTAACCCGTTTTACCAATAAACCCCATGTTTGTGCCTGAAACCAGCATAAATGGGGACCCTAATGCAACAGCGACCCCTAGTGGTAACATCTGCAAAACAATCCCCCAAAATCTTCGTTTCCATACGCTGCTGTTTCCTCACCACCCTCTCCTCGTTACTCGGCCTCCTTCACCATCTGTCATCACGTACGCCGAAAATAATTACAAAAACGGACTTGAGGGGACTCGAACACACAACTTCCTAAACTCAAGAGGCAGGCGACCTGTGGCTCACGCCAGCAGTGCCGGCTGCAGGCTGGGGGAATGCTCCGGTGATTATATCGTCGCCTCACGGTCACGTTTTAGTGACTGGTATCCGTAGAGGAGTGAACAAACACAAATCCTGCGAACTCATGGCACGTGTTTCCTCGTGAGAATTTAAAATTAAAATAATTCATTAAAATCACAAAATGCACGCACACACACGCTCCACTCAACTACGAGAGGGCTTGGATTGCTCATTGCGGGCTGTGGTAGATAAGAATGATGCTCAAGTTCGGCTCCTGGTTAAGTCACATCCCAGGAGTAATATATACCAAGCCACCAGGACGCTGAGCAAAGTGTCCAGCGGCTGAGTGGGGAGTGTGTGGGTTTGCATAATCCCGAATTTTCTTGAATATTTGTACACCGCTAAGTATAAAAAATGTTTTAGTGCAATTAAAATCCACGTGGATTTGAACGTAGGTTGTTGAACTCACAAACCAACACACCCCCGACTCAGCCACCGGTGGCCTGGGATGGGTGTCGCGAGCCGTGGGTTTTATGACCGAAACTCAGGCGCTTACTGGGACGTTAACTTGACCTGTGCCTTAAACAGGGCTCGAACCTATGCGGCCACGGTAGGCGTCACGTGACCGGGCAGGCTGTGTGTGTGTTCCCAGCTGTCGGAGCACCACCAGCGAGCCCTCTCCACCATCAGCTACGTAGGCTGCGCCATCTCGATCACCTGCCTGTGCATCACCCTCATCACCTTCGCCATCCTCTCGTGAGTGATGCCCCCGGCTCCCCAGCCCTCCCTGCAGCTTCTCCCTCTCACCAGACTCTCACCTGCACCACTCACTCGCACACTCGCCTCCGTCACACTCGCCTCCGTCACACTCGCCTCCGTCACACTCGCCTCCCTCACACTCCCCTCCGTCACGATCATCTCCATCACACTCGCCTCCATCACACTCACCTCCATCCCTCCATCACACTCGCATCCATCACACTCGCCTCCATCACACTCACCTCCATCACACTCCTCTCCATCACACTCCCCTCCATCACGATCATCTCCACCACATTCACCTGCACCACATTCGCCTTCACACGATGCCTGTGGGTGTCCCACAGGTCAGTGAGCACCATCAGAAACCAGCGCTACCTCATCCACGCCAACCTGTCGCTCGCCATTCTGCTGGCGCAGGTCTTCCTGCTCATCAGCGGCCACTTCTCTCCCGGCACCGTGAGGCACACTGCACCCTGCACCTGCTCTGCACCAAAACCGGCTGGACAACACACACTCTTGATCCCTCATCTTGATCCCTGCCCTGATCCCCCTCACCGTGACCCCGTTCCCTGGCCGCAGTTGGGCTGTAAGGTGCTGTCGGTGCTGCTGCACTTCCTCTACCTGAGTGCGTTTGCGTGGATGCTGGTGGAGGGGCTGCACCTGTACAGCATGGTCGTCAAGGTGTTCGGCTCTGAGGACAGCAGCCAGGCTCTCTACTACGGCATCGGTTGGGGTGAGCTTACAACAACGATGACGTGACTCGCGTTTATACCGCGCCGCAACGATACTATGAATTTCAGAGTATAGCCCGGGGAATCCCCGAACAGGAGCTGTCCCTGTGCGGCACACGGTTGGCCCTCGCAAATGAGACTATCCTGGTGTCTTGAGTTCTGCCCTGGGTAGAAAAATAGACTTGAAGCAGATATACAAGCAAAATTTCCAACTGGGAGGTCGATGTCCGTATGTCTGCACACGCACAAGAGTGGTTCGCCACGCGCAGACCACGATGATCGCACGCGTCCTCTCTCTCCGTGGCTGTGTGCGGGGAGCAGGGGCCCCTCTAATTATCAGCATCGTCTCCGTGTCGTCGGCGCTGGGCAGCTACGGCGAGGAGAGCAAGTGAGCGCATCATCTGTGTGCCGGTGTGGTGGTTGAGCAGCAAGCTTCACCGTGGTTGATTGGCTTCAGGGCGTAGGTTTGTCCCCACAGCCCCTCACTGTCTCCTCTACCCCGCAGCTGTTGGTTATCCATCACGGGCGGCGCCATCTGGGCCTTCGTGGCGCCCGCGCTGTGTGTGATCGCGGTGAGTGCCGCCACTTCTCGGTCCCCCGTTGGGGAGTTTTATCCATACCGCGACGCACGCCGATGTCACAGAGGTTCGCAGTGACGCGGTCTCTGTGCGCTTTGTGGCGCAGGTGAACATCGTGATCCTGGTGACGGTGACGCGAATCATCACTCGCATTAGTGCCGAGAATTACAGGATGCACGGCGACCTCAACTCCTTCAGGTGAGCGGGCGGGGGAGAGGGCACGGCGTGCCAGGAAGCGGGCGAGGGCCATGGCCGCGGGGTCTTGGGTAACCGGGCCTCTGTCTCCAGGCTCACGGTGAAGGCTGTCGCGGTGCTGCTGCCCATCCTCGGCATCTCGTGGCTCTTCGGCGTGCTCGCCGTCAACGAGAGCACCGTCCTCTTCCAGTACCTCTTCGCCATCTTCAACTCGCTGCAGGTACTCGCACTGTGAACCCCTCGCGCATCTGACGACCGGGAGATGTTCTCCGACACTCCCGGTTCCTTCACGTGGCCTCTCCATACCGACCTCACGCGCGGCCAATTTCTAGCCTTCGTTTGCCGTTGACCTGTGATCTCTCTCTCTCCGCAGGGTGGATTCATCTTTCTCTTCCACTGCCTGCTCAACTCCGAGGTAAGCCCCCCCCCCCCCCCCTCCGAGGCATCGCACGCACCGCTGGGAACGAGGCGTTGAGGCGGAGGTGAAGGAGGAACCGTTCGTTTCTGTGTCTCGGCCAGGTGCGAGCGGCCTTCAAGCACAAGACCAAGGTGTGGACGCTGAACAGCAGCACGGGGAGGCCGATCCGGCCCCTCAACTCCGACGTGGTGAGTGCGGCGCTGTCGCAGCGCCGTAGCACCTGAAGCCTTTCCCTTTACTTGCACACGGTTTGGAACATTGCCACCGTTCAGTTGCTTTGCAACATTTTGTTGTAGTAGTGCGATAAATCTTCGACTATCTTCAGCAGCCAGAAGATTAGACGTGTACATGTTAGTCGGTCTCTTTTCACACAAGGGTGGTAGTTTATCCGGTTTCTCTTGATTGAAAACACCAATATGTTGTCTTGAAAAAATTAAAAAATAAACTACGCTCTCAAACTTTCCATGAATGTTTATTATTCTCAGTTTGTATACACGTATTGCTCTGAGTTATACAATAACGGGGATAGTGCCAGATGATGATCAGACGACAAACAGCACGGACGTGCTTTTTTTCTTGAAACGTTTATACATTTTCCATTTCATAATTTTAAATTAGTAGCTAACAACAATTAATTGAAACATTGTCTACTTCATAACGAATGAGACTGGGCATGTTAACGGGGTGAGGAAGAGGCCAGCATCGTTGTGACTCGCACCCCAAAGCTGTGGAGTGGGGCCAGCACTGCAGACCATACAAGGCAGGGCCGCCCAGGGCTGCCCCTCGGGGTGTGTGTGTGTGTGCGCGTGCGCCCGCCTCGCCTCGCTTAAACCCAAAATGAGCACGTGGTGCAGTGTGCCGGACTGGCATCGAATAGAGAACATCGCTGGATGGAGATAAATGTAATGAGAAATTTAGACTTAAAACTTTCGTGACTGTAGGAATTCATATTTTTGGTTCTTTCGGTAAAGTTACTTAGATAGAAAACAAAACACCTGAAGAAGACCCCTTGTGTTGCGATCGAAACGTCGTGGGTTTTTTGCTTTTAATTTCGATTTTTGTTTTCTATCTACGTGACTTTACCGAAAGAACCAAGAATATGGAATGAGAAAGTTCTAGAGAAGGTTTGGGAGGAGAACAGTCCTATGAGAACAGTCCAGAAATGGCAAAAGAGAGTGGGGAAGGCAGATGTGAAAACTTGATGAAGAAAGTTCTGGAAGGGTGTTGTGAAAGAGACCAAGAGGCAGAAATATAAATATGTTGCTGGAATTCTTCAAGGCAGAGAGGGGGTCATACAGTGAATGAAGAAGCTCAAGATCAAACAGGATGGAGGGAGTGCGAGCCAAAGACGTGCCATCGGGCACAGGACGAGTGAGAAAATGTGCAGCGTGGTCAAGATCAGCACTCGAGAGCCCAAGTCATCGAGACGCGTTGCTGACCTTGACAGCGATTGCCCACCACCTTTCACGAGGATAATTTGGCTAGCGTGTGGCTGCACGTTTGTATTTACAGCTGAATGGAAACCGCACGGGAATCCCCAACACCAAGCTCAACATGACGGAGAAGAGCAGCCAGCTGCTGCACAACACGGACAACCGCACCGACCCCGCACAGCCGTGACGACACTGGCGGTGCCTCGTGCTCCGCCGGTGGACAGGGTGGTGGAAGAGACACTGGGCCGCGTGTGACCGAGTGCAGGATCAGGTCTCCCGTCTCCACCATTGGCCACGCCTGGCGACGGCGTTAATCATGACGCGGAGGAAAGAGCTCCGTTCCCCTGAGGCCGAAATCACGCCGCAGCGCGACTTCACGCCTCTGCGACACCGCGTGAACGTGCCCCCCTCTAATTAAACGTCTGTGCATCAACACAAAATGCACAGAATCATATTGGTCAACGTAATTCTGTTAGGCTATCCCTATTATACTCGGCGTTTTATATTATGTTTACGTAGTTTAGCAAAGCGTTTTGAATTACTGCGATGCAAAGCGAAAGTGCAAATAATTAAGGAATTGTTTCGTATGACGCGGTGAGTCTGTACCAGGTAGTAGTATTTGTTTTTGTTTCCAGCCTGCACGCACACGATCCCATGCTTTAATCCCACGCGCAGCGCTGCTGACGTTGCCGTGTGATGCGTGAAAATGTGTGTCTGGAACACACCACGCTTGCACGTAAACCTGACAATGTAAGCAAAATGAAGCAGATGAAACCCGCACGTGTCCTTGGCAAGGCGTGTCCGGTCAGTGTCCGGTTGAGTAAGGGCCGCAAGGTCGTTAAAGCAGAGCGAGGCGTCCGGGTATTACCCTGGTCAGCGTGGTGTCCGGCGTGCGGAGAGACCTCCGCCCACTTCTAACCCAAACTCAAAACAGGAAGTTAGCGAGACTCCGGATGAGAATGCAGGCAGGGCAGACAGCGCTGAGTGCTTTTACAGATTCCACACTCGGAATCTGTAAAAGCTCTCAGGCTGTGGGCCGATTGAAGTGACAAAGCTAAGTAAAGTTGTTAACAATTTTAAACATGTTGACTTATTACAAATCAAAGCCAAGAACCCCTAGCGAAGATTAAGGAGGCTCCAAATGGATCCGGTGTGCTGTGATGCCAATCGTTTTTCGAACCGTGGTTAGCTTTGTGGTTAAAGAGGTGGCTAGCACCGTGTTGCGCTCTCACTATGCTGTGCCGGTGCGGTTGCCTCGCTTGTCATGCCCGTGCCGGGTGCTTGTGGCTGCCCCTGGCTGGCTCCCGGGGTCGCCATCTGCCAGCGTGTCCAGCCTCCTGTCTGTTGCCGTGTGCCACTGCAGCGGGGAGGAGGAGGTGGTGTCACGCTCGGCACAGCGCGACGTCGCTCGCGCCAGCTCCACTCACGCCGAACAGCTGGACTGCGGTAGCTGCATCACAAGCCCAGTAATATAACAGACAAGTGTATGATTCTTCTATAAAATATCAACTCGTGGTGCAGTGCATCCGCTGCTCACCTGGGTGGCCATGCCGTGGGAGTTCTGGGGCAACCGGGGCAACGCCGTCCTGTCACTCCCGCTCCAGCCGTTGGCCGCTACGGTAGAAAAACAGTGGTGTGGCCGGGCTCAGCAGACACGCGGAATAACACGCGACGACGACAACATCACAGCCACTCACCGCGTGGGAAGGGGTCCGGCCCCGTGCTCCCCCATGGAGACAGCGACGGAGGGAGAGACCTGGCAAAGGTCAAACGGCAAAGTCACCGGATTGACACGAGCAGCTGCGGACTAACAAGTCCAAACGATTCCTGTGAGTGCGAAGTGCTCCTTACCTGTCAGGGTAGTAGCCGTTCAGAGGCTGTCAGAGAGAGGAAACACCGCTTAGTGGGCGAACTCTTACGGTGGCCACTTTACAACCGCACGCGTTAAGCTGCCAAGAACAATGGGGCCTGGCATCGTGATGATAAACACAGATGCATCTAAAAAATACTGCCGCTGCCAATCAACTGGTTTGTGGTGCCAGGAGGTGCTGTTAAGTGTGTGGACGTAACCACATATGGCAGCACGAGTGTGGGGATAGGGGTGATATTAGGTATAGCGTTGGCGCTATTTATCCGATCCAGTAGTGTTTCTCTTACTACAGCACCATGTCCCGCAGGTCTCACCTGCCGGCGCTGCAGCCGCTCCATCTCCCCACGAAGACGTCCCATCTGCTCCTCGGCCTCCCGTAGCATCTTGTAGCGAGCGTGTCGCTCCTGTCAAGATGACCACACAGCGCTGCATTTAACCGCACTTTACAACGAATCACAGCCAGAGATTCCATTGGCCTGGCTGTGAGGACCATGACAAAATCTGTTGAACCATATATCACCAAATCATTCTGAATGTGCTCAATCTCATTGCATCTCAAGCTAAGCAGGAGATGGAAGCACAGTAGTGGGTCACCCTGCATATTCCATGAGTTAAATCCGCGGATTGAATCTGTGCGGCACTTTTGAGTGTTTCACCCTCGTACGCGTGGGTGTTTGCCGTACACTCCGGTTTTTCGCAAGCCAAACATTCAACACAATTAGCCAAACATCCCAATTGCAGGGCCCTCATGAAAAAGAGCCTTAAGCCTCAGCGAGTTTTTCATGGGGATATAATGGCATTATTGATTATTATTATTATTCTGCACTCTGGTACAATCCATATGCGTGGGTCTACAGTAGTGGAGACGCGACCGTGGGTAGCGACGTGCTGCCCCACCTGTGCCAGCTGCTCCTCCAGGCTCTGCCTCTGCTCCCACTCCATCCTCTGACTGTCCTCCATCAGCCTCTGCACCCTCCCGTCCTCATGCCTGACACACAGGCCCCCACGCGTGTTTGTGTCAACAGACACACAACGGTCTCCCCAGCTCACAGTTAAGAGGCAATCGCTACACGGCGATAAACAACGAGTCGCACACACTCTGACCTTAACCCACACTCTGACCTTAACCCACACTCTGACCTTAACCCACACTCTGACCTTAACCCTGACCTCCTGCTGCGGTCCCGGAGGTCGCCTCTCCTCCAGTCACCGGGCAACCGCTCCGCCTGCCACTCAACTCGCTCAGCTCCGAGCGGCTGCCTGCAGCAACAACATGGGCGACAACACAGGGGTTTCCTGTCCAGTTATAATTCAACTCAACCTACACAGCCGATTGGCTCTTAAGAATGAGTTATGTGTGCACTTGCCTCTGATATTCGTGTAACTCGTATAAGGAGACCTCTGTCTCCACAGGCAAATCAGCCAATCAGCTTGGAAGGTCCTGCCCGATAGACTCCCAACATGCTGCCACATTACTTGGTACCATCGAGCCCTACAGCGTTGTGGGGTATCAACATTTGAAAGTCGCGCAACGTATCGGCAATAGCTGCCCCCACAGTGGGCGTTGTTACCTGGCCTTGTGCGTTGCGTCTGCTTGCTCCGTCAAGGGCTCCACGGCAGCCAGCCGCATCCACAGCGAAGGGACGTCCATGGCTGTACAGAAAACAGGATTTGTGATTTGACTAGAGAATCAGAATCTTTATTTATCTCACAGTCTCGGTGGAGCTGTTATTCTGAAAGCACATGGTTATTGTACTTGGTTGGCATCGAATGTGACTCTTGTTCAATTCTCTGTGGAACAGTTTCTACACGTGTGATAAGTGGCGATGATTTAAAAACACATAAATAATGTGTATTGCTGAATATTTGTGGTCTGAGATCAAATTTTTTTTAGTTGGAAGAGCTTAGATAAGGCCAAACTGTAGACAACAACCATGTAATGCTGCATCATTCGATTAGACGTTGCCTGATGTGGATGCGTACCTCCTGGCATGAGTGAGTGCATGAGTGAGTGCGTGCATGTGGAGTGACGCTCACAGTATGCGGGGTCGAGCTCCAGCAGCTCATCGACGTTCCACTTGTTGAGGTCTCGAGACAGCTGGTCATAGAAGTGCTTGACGATGGTGACCTGGAAGTCGTGGACGGTGAGGCTGGGACCGTTAGTATGCAGTGTGTCCATCATGCGGCTGGGCTAGAGCACAGGACGTACACACGCGCACACACACACACACACGCGCACACACGTCCGCAGCGAGGGGGGCGGTGCTCACACGGGGCTCCACGCTCGATCCTGAATTGCAGGCGTCCGCCCCCGCTTGCCTGAAGGCCGCTGGGTTTGTTAGCGGTGCGAGTCGCTCTGCACTCACGTTGTCGCAAGTCAACAGCTGGTCGCGTAGCAGCAGCAGGAGGCACAGGCAAAAGGCCGGCAGGCAGTCGTAGGCCGGCTGCTCTAGGCCCAGGATGTACTGGTCCCACACATAGAGCAGCACCTCCAGCTGCAGGAAGCCTGGCTCGCGTCACGCCCCGTCATGTACCACGCGTCACGTACCACACGCATCCCACAGCATGTGTGCGCGTTCGTGCCATGACCCTCTTACAGCACACTCCTACTCTGCCACCGTACCCCAAGGCTACACAGCAGCAAGCCCTCTAAGCCATAATGCATTTGGGAATCTTTAGGGCAATCACTACTGGCATTGGTTGTCATATTCTATATTGTAACACAATAATTTGGCCAAAACTGGACAGATCTTATCCTTGCTCTCCAGAGTGTTCAATGGAGGTGCAAACTTCCCATCAGAATCACAGAGAGAGGTCACGTGACTATCCAAAAGGTAGAGTCTGTCGAATCATAAACACACTTTTCAACAAACTGATTTCATTAGCTAACACTAAACCACAGCCTTATCAAGTTCCCATAGTTGCTATTAGTCAAAGCACTGGTGGTGACAACTGCCACCAATGATTGCCAGAATATTTCCCTAGCTCACAATGGCTTTCACATGATCAGTGGACAAGAGAAAACAATTATAACTGGTTTCTCCAGATGGTTGCATCTTGAAAACCAATATTCAACAATTTATGTATTTATGCTGAAGATCTTTCACACAATACGTGCTAATCGGAGGTGCCAACCATGCTAACAATGCGACCAGCGCATGGAAAACATGACATAGCACCCTTGAAGCGAATGCTGGAAAACTCAGATGAAAAGTAAACGCTGGATTTAGTGAAACTCTTAATGCTCCAACCGAATGATGATTGCTGTGAGTGCATACCCACCCACAAATAGGACCCTAACCACGGGTTGCAGCAACGCCACCAGGCCAATCATCACAGCTTCCTTGGGATTTTCTCCTGGCAGAACACAACAGAAACCCACAGCAGGCAAGAAATAAATACAATTCCTAACAACAGTACCGGCAAAGATAAAGCTACATGCATGCTGCCCTGCAAATGCTACTAAAATGAATGTGAATGTTCAAGTGTAAAGTGTATTTTGTTTAGCAAGGTGAAAGCTCAAGAGACCAGAGTCTCAATTGCAAGAGTGACCTGGGACATTACTCTGCCAGGAGGGGGAAATTATTGCTCTGTATAATCTCAATTGAGTAATTCGAGGTAATTTTTCTAATAGTGCGAAATTTGGGCCCTGACACTGGCACACAATGGCCCACTCTTGCAAGTAACATCATTTGATCTTTAACATCCACTGTGAAGCAGATGACAAGTAGTAGTAGTATTGTGGTTATTACACCCACATTGATAATTATCAAAACGGCATGATGAAAACGAGGTAAAGACTGAACGAGTCTTGAATCAAATCGAATCTTGACAATTCAGTGAATCATTAGACACCTCGCAGACACAGCTTCACAGTTAAAACACACAACGGCCACTGCATCAGCAGACGGTGCCCTGCTGGGCGGCCGCTGGGTTCCAATGAACCTCTGCAACAAACGGTAAAAGTGACACCGCTGGGCCATGTCACCACTCTGCTGTGTGCATTGTAAAGTTGTCATGTCCACTGCTGGGCCATGATGTGGTAGAATATAAGTCCTATGTAGCCGTCCGCTGGCTCACGCCTCGTTATGAACGCTCATCAATGTCTCGCCAGATAAAAGAAGAACAAGGTCCGATGCACTTGATACTTTATCATAAAGTAACAATGTTCATCTGTGCTCTCAAATATGCTATGCCAAAGTGTCAAGCCGAGCCGCTTGAGAAGTTGCAGACCTGCCTGTCCGAACGCCTTCTGCACAGCCACGGCAAGGTCCTTGTCGATGTTCACCAGCGTGGACGCAATCTGCTGCAGCATCGGTTCGGCCTCTCCATGCTCCGTGCCCTGCGAGAGACAGACATTGCTTACTCGGCGAGACCCCAATACCCGAGGCCGAGACGTGATCTCATCACCGTGGTGCTGACAGCCAACCCATTGGTACTGATACCTTAGTCCAGGACGAGGTCATGTATGCCGGCCGGGACTCCATGAAAGTGAGGAACTCCTCCATCAGGTGAGCCATGACGGACATCTGTGGCTCCACGCGAGCTCCCCTGCCCAACCGCACCCTCACCAGCGGAACCACCAGCAGATACTCGGAGTCGAGGAGCACACCAGGCGGGCGCTTGCGCGTGTGGTAGTACGACAGCACGCTGCGCATCGTCCTCGCGGTGGCTGTGTCGAAAACGGGTGGCAGTGAGTGGCGCAACTCGAGATAAATCATCATCATCAGTCACGTGCAATCCACTCCTTAATGAAAGCCTCTCAAATATCACATTCTCTCATGGTCCTGTGATGTAACAATCCATCTAGCACCTGCACATGAGCTAATTCTTAATCACTCCATCTCTGGGGTGGACATCCTCTTGGGCCATAATCCCTTCCAGCGACATGTCCTGCCCAAGCCCACTTGTCTTTAAAGCCAATATATCGTTGATAAATGGTAAAAATATGTCCTCTAATACAAGACTTGTTCCTCTTTCTGTTTCTCAATGTAAACCCAAGCGTGCATCTCTCCACACTTATTGCACAGATTTCAGTTGTTTAATTGTCCCCATCAATGTCCATGATTATAATCCATATGTGAAAACAAATAATACACACTCATAAAAAAAAAACGACTTAATTTCTATAATTAACTTGTGAGAAAAAAGCAATTTCTTTTCCAACGAGAGAAGTGGCTCATATATGCAGGTTTTACATATTACGCAATACTAGATGAGAATTTGAAATCATATGTAACACTTAGTAACATACTCTTTGGTTTTTTAGGTAAAGTCATGTAGGTATAAAATAAAATTAATAACATGCTGTTTAAAACAGACCTTTAATTTCCAGGATTTAAGGAATTCGCAGTCACCGTGTGAATGGTTAACCGGAGAAGCAGACCGACACACGTGGTGCTGCGATGCGCCCTATGGTAAACGCAGCACAGCAGCTGTGGCAGACGAAGCGTCTTCACCTTTGCTGGAAGCCAGCTGCCGGAACGTGGGCTCCGAGAAGAGGAGAGACTCGCAGCGCAGGAAAATCTCCGCATCCTGCGTTGACTGCACGCTCGCTGGGTCGCTGGTGAACCGTGCGAGGAAGTCGGTCCTCTCTGCAAGACAGCAGCAGGCGACCGACTATGACAACGATCCTCGTTTCATCCACACTCGTGACCAGCTGGGTAGACAATCAGATGGTGTGCAGGTGCTTGGGGGGATTGAGATGATGATGGCTTGGGGAGGCCTTCCTACCCCATCACAGTAAGTCACTGGAGCTAAATATGATGGCAGTACAGCAAGACAATTCTTGAATCAATCCCTGCGGGCCTTTGAATAGTATCACGTTGCATGCGTGGGTTTCCTTCAGAAACTCCTATCCTCTTCCACATGCAAAACGCTCATTAATGGAATCTGCCAAACACTCCAGTGCACGACCCTTCTGAATAAAAGTCTTGAGACTCCGTAAACCTTTCCTGGGTAATTGCAGGGCATCGTGAATCTCACCGCGAGCGTTGGCGAGGTACAGGTGCCACACTGGCTCTCGAATCCCAGACGGCAGGGGATGGTTAAACAGCACGCCGAGCTTGGATCTCAACTCTGGCCATTTGTGGAGAATGCTGACCTGTCACAACATCACAGTGACACATTTGCACAAGTTGAAAATACAACAGAAGGCAATAGGGGGAAGTTTGTACCCATCCTTGCACATAGAAGCTTGCTGATTAATGTTATGGTGAGCCCAAAATTCAGGTTCTCTATCCTTATTATGATTTAATTTGTAACATTTTTTTTATAGAACTGCATCACACTGTGTTCGAGAACAGCATGCAGAAGGAAATATAACAGAACTGCTTCTGAGACCCTTCAAAAGATGATTTATCTCCACACTCAGGGACATCGTACTTTCCTACAGATCCTGCTGCTCAGGATAAATGTTAGCACATAGCAAAAAACCTCAATAGTTTACAATTATCAGACCTGGAATTTATCACCAGATTAAGTGAAAACGCTAATTTAATACCATAATTATTTTGTGCAGTCATTGGTGACCAGAATGAGACCATGAAACCTCTAACCTTGAGAACCCAGTCTAATCACAGGTGGCTGCAATCCCAATGCAAACCCAGGATTTTAGTAGTGCAGGTCAATGCCCCATTTCTTTTTGCTTCATTGCTGTACTTTGTTTGATTTATTTTGCTTTGGGGCCGTCCATAAATGACGTCACGCACCTACGGGGGGGGGGGGGCAGACAATTGTGACGATGTGCGATGATGGGGGGAGGGGGGTTTGAGAAATGTGACGTCACATCAAAATGCGCAACTTTAAATAAATATAGACAACACGTTCTACTTAATTCATTATACTTTTTAATGTTTTCTCCTACAACACCACATTAAATACGCACTACAATGACAATAGTTTAAAGCGATTTGAAGCATGTTTAATATTGGGGGGGGGGGGGGGGCAGAGCTTTGTGACGTCATTTTTGAGGGGGGTCTGACTTTTTGTGACGCCGTGTGACGAAGGGGGGGGGGGGGGGTCAAAAATCGTCCAAAATCGCGTGACGTCATTTATGGACGGCCTCTTTTGTCATTGTGGTGACTCAGGTCATGCTCACAAATGAGACTATCCTGGTCTCTTGAATTCTCTGATTAAAATTTGATATCCTGAGCCATTCCAGCCACCTCTGCAGCTTCTCTATCCTGACCAGCCTGTACTTGTCTTCATTGTCCACAGACCTGTCACATGAAACAACCGTAGTGCGCTGACCGCAGCAGTGCCCACCAGTCCACTCTTGAGAAGTTCCTGCACCACCTGGACCCTGCTCCTGGGACGGGCGCGATCGTCAGCCACCTCAACGGCCACCTGCTGCACCAACTGCTCGTCCAAGCTGGAGGCCACTTTGGCCACAACGGACTTGTACACGTCTCCTGGGCGCGACAATACAGAGGCGTAAAACAATGCAAGGAATCGGCACAGAGTAACGCGATACTCTATAACAGGGATGGGAAAGGCCGGCCCGCGGGCCGTCTAAGGCCTGCAAAATCATTTGGTCTGGCCCTGCCAAGGCAACCGCAGGCGGGACTCGAAATTCAATAAATCTAGGAGCAAACCTGGAAAAGCAGTTGCGAGTAGCAACGTCATCAATACCAGCTAACATCACACGTCTCGCCAAAGAGAAGCAGTTCCAGCCATCACATTAGGGTTGAGTTAATTAAATGTTTGACCAAATATAACAGGCCAATTTTTAAGTTCAACATTTTGTATGGCCCGCGAATGATGTAATACATATCCAAATGGCCTTTGGCAGGAAAAAGGTTCCCCGCCCCTGCTCTATAACAACGGCATCTTCAGTGCAGAATTAACTCTTGCGGGAAAAGCCACGTACCTCACTACCGGCTGAAGTTTTCAGTCTCAGGTGAAGCGTGCAGGCAGAATGAGTAATTGGATTGCAATGGCAGTAAATGTATCCGTGCTTTCTCCACCAGTCATAGCACATGTAATTTCATAAGAGAACTGCTATATGTTGCGGTCAGAGCCCAGCACTGGCACATCATCATAGCATTGCCTTTTCATTCCAACCATCAAATTCATCCATCTGAAAGTGGAAAAATCCGAGGAGGAATTTGTAGCTTGCTCAAGCCACGATTGCTAAACACACTCGTGCTCCTGGGCAGAGCAGAACTCCCCACGTGGCCAGAGATCCCAAATCAGAGGTCGCAAACGGGTTTTGATTCCTTTCCCGTACCCGGCCGCACCAGGGTCGCAAATGGGTACCCGTACCCTTACCCGGCCGGGTTCGGGTACCCGTTCCCTACCTGTATCCGTACCCTACCAGAAATGAGTGACAAACAGTGACTCACCAGTGACTCACGGCCTACCCGTACCCGTACCCGGCCGCACCAGGGTCGCAAATGGCTACCCATACCCGCCCGGGTACGGGTAGACGGGTATCGGGTAGGGTGCGGGTATCGGGTACCCGGTTGCGACCTCTGTCCCAAACAGAGAGAGAGAGGGAGAGTTCAAGAGCGATGGGGGAAACACCAACCTCCCTGGAGCGACGACATCGCCCGCTCGACAATCAGCGACTTCTCGGCCTCTGAGAGATCCCCCAAGGACGCAACGCGGCCCTCGGACAGCTGCAACTGCACGCCGCGGGACAGCTGCTCCGCGAAGGCCGTCCACTCCTGCAGGCAGGGGCACGTGCACCCGGGGTTATACAGGGGACAAGGCGCACACGTGGATCTTGGGGGAGTATGAGGCGACACCAGGGGACCCTGGGACCTCGAGTTCGCGGAGAATGAAGTGGCCGGGGAGACGTGGGGGGTTACCGAGAGGTTGTGCCAAGCCTCGAGTGCAGAATTGTCCCCTAAACGTGGTGCCAGTGAAAGACCTCATCCCGAACTCCATCACGGGATTCGATCCGTGGTATGGGAACAGGTAGCTTGTGAGATGTGGTCCGGCAGAGAGACGAGACACGGGTCTCAGGTAAGACACGGGTCTCGGGTAAGACACGGGCATCAGGTAAGGCACGGGTCTCAGGTAAGACACGGGCATCAGGGAAGACACGGGCCTCAGGTAAGGCACGTGCCTCAGGTAAGGCACGGTCCTCAGGTAAGGCACGGGTCTCAGGTAAGGCACGTGCCTCAGGTAAGGCACGTGCCTCAGGTAAGACACGTGCCTCAGGTAAGACACGTGCCTCAGGTAAGACACGTGCCTCAGGTAAGGCACGGTCCTCAGGTAAGGCACGGGTCTCAGGTAAGACACGTGCCTCAGGTAAGACACGTGCCTCAGGTAAGGCACGGTCCTCAGGTAAGGCACGGTCCTCAGGTAAGACACGTGCCTCAGGTAAGACACGTGCCTCAGGTAAGGCACGGTCCTCAGGTAAGGCACGTGCCTCAGGTAAGACACGTGCCTCAGGTAAGACACGTGCCTCAGGTAAGACACGTGCCTCAGGTAAGACACGTGCCTCAGGTAAGACACGTGCCTCAGGTAAGACACGTGCCTCAGGTAAGACACGTGCCTCAGGTAAGACACGTGCCTCAGGTAAGGCACGGTCCTCAGGTAAGGCACGGGTCTCAGGTAAGGCACGAGCCTCAGGTAAGGCACGAGCCTCAGGTAAGGCACGGTCCTCAGGTAAGGCACGGTCCTCAGGTAAGGCACGGGCCTCAGGTAAGGCACGGGCCTCAGGTAAGGCACGGGTCTCAGGTAAGGCACGGGCCTCAGGTAAGGCACGGGTCTCACGGCAGGTGAAACGTGGGACTACGGGAGAGCTCAGGGCGAGGCACGAGACGCGAGACACGGGCACACAGATGAGGCTCCGATCCCAAACTCTAGCGCCACCAGCCGCTGTCCCGGCTCTGCCCGCCCGCCCCGCACCTTCGTGTCCTGGACGCGCCGCTTGCATCGCCACAGCCACACGGGGTCCACGACGGCCGCGGGGTCCAGGCCCGCGGGGTCCGGGTACACGGAGCCCGCCGCCATCGCGGCGTCGCGGGGACGTCTCCTAGCAACGCCGCGTCACGTGACGGCTCGCGTGGAGCCCCCCCTCCCCTCGCTCCCCCCCTCGCTCCCCCCCTCCCCTCGCCCCCCCCCTCCCCTCGCCCCCCCCTCCCTCGCCCCCCCCTCCCCTCGCCCCCCCCTCCCCTCGCTCCCCCCCCTCCCCTCGCTCCCCCCCCCTCGCTCCCCCCCTCCCCTCGCTCCCCCCCTCCCCTCGCCCCCCCCCTCCCCTCGCTCCCCCCCTCCCCTCGCTCCCCCCCTCCCCTCGCTCCCCCCCCCTCCCCTCGCTCCCCCCCCCTCCCCTCGCCCCCCCCTCCCCTCGCCCCCCCCTCCCCTCGCTCCCCCCCTCCCCTCGCTCCCCCCCCTCCCCTCGCTCCCCCCCCTCCCCTCGCCCCCCCCTCCCCTCGCTCCCCCACCCACCCCCCCTCACTCCCCCCCCTCTCTCAGGATGTAATTGTGCAGAGCCACTGTGGGACTTGGTTGCGAGTTATTTTCTTCTCCTCCTCGGTCACTCCACGCCCGTCGGCTGAGCTCGTACAACGCGAGCCATTCAGACACTCGGCGACACCAGATGCCTGACATTCTTACAAGGACATTTAGTTCACGAACACTTCATTCAATTGCGAATCGAGGGAACTACAAGTCGCTTAGGATATTGTACACAGTACGAATCGCAGTTCCCTGACCCGAGGATACGGGAGTTTGAGTCCTGGACGCGTCCTGCAAATCGCACATCAGTCACGAGAATGGCAGCAACAAGACGCCTTTATTTCAGCCTTACGTGCGTGCACACGAGCACTCATAAATAACGATACACTCAGTGTTCCACTCAAACCCGTGTCTCCAACTCGGAAATTATTGCACAGAGTTTACAAGCCAAAATGTAAAACAAGTTCGATCCAACGGAAGACCGGTTCAATGTCATGTAAACGAAGTAACCTCCGTGAGTTAATCCCCTGCTAAAGTTTGATTCAATAGAAAAACAAGCAACAAGCTGGTAGTGCCCTGAGCCAAGCCGGGCCCTTATCAAGGGGTGGGGAAGTTCAGCGGCCACCCAGGTCGCTCAGCTGTAAGGGGCGAGAGACGTGTGTAGTTGTCTTGCAGGGGAAACCCTGAGACAGGGAGCTCCTAGGAGGCCGTGCAGGCCAACCCTGTCTCCCACTGGAGATTCGAGGCACATTGTAAGGCATTATGGCCGACGCAATATTGGACAACGTATGGCTCAGTATAGTTTTCAAGATCACGTCACGATCAGGTTACGGGCTATCACTAAATATTGCTTTTCAACATCGCTACAGTAAGAAGGCCACCGACGTGAGACACAACTGACATTTAAGACAAGCGGTGATGGGTAAATACCATGGTCGGACCCGCAGGCAGGAGGGACCTGGAATGACAGAGAGGAATGCGAAAGCAGCACACTGCAGATTCTCACACCCGCTTGATGGTTTTAAAAAAGAACATCGTAAAGCACGGCCTCCCTTGCGGCCGTGCCAAGCCCAGGAAACTTCGCTCAAACGCTTCCAGGATCGAGGGGTCACGGCAATGACCTGGGGTCACGGCAGTGAACCTGGGGTCACGGCAGTGAACCTGGGGTCACGGCAATGACCTCTGGGTATGCGCGGCGTCACTCATCCCCCCAGCCGTTGAGCAATGGGGCCCCTTCCCTCTCGTCCAGCCGCAGCGGAATGGTGTCCTCTCCTTCAGGGCGGCCACCGTGGCGGCGTCTGTATCGCACAAACTGAGCTACCATCTGAACCATCGCGGTTAAGGGGCCAGCCCGGTCAACATTTACACGTCAAGTTTCTCAATCCCCAAGACGTGCTTTATGAATACCTAGAAAGCAAATAAATTGGGTGTGCCACTGCGGTGTAAGCATTAGCACACTGGACTTGCAACTGAAAGGTCGAGGGTTCAATTCGATCTCCCGGCATGGCAATTTTAAAACAATAGACAAGATTCTTAAATCCATCCCCCCCACCTCTATCCAACCTGCAGTAGATAAATGAATACACCACTGTTTGTCGATTGGCAGGTTACATGTGGTGGGGTAAACTGTAGCTGTGAATGCTTCCATCTCTTTCCGAGGTGTCTGGCCAGGATATGAAGAGTAGGCCAAATATTCTAAGAAATTGATTCTCCAGGGCAAGTAAGCAGTTGCAGGACTGCACCCTTACCATGTTTACCTAAAAAAAAACCGTGACAGTTGCCAAAGTGGAAATCTGGCTTAGGTCAAACCCTGTAATAATATTCAGTTCGGCCTGGATCTGTGTTGATATCTATTGCATAGTCTTGATACAACAACTGCCCATTGAGCTGCCAATGGCCATGCGCTCGAAACAACGCCGTGAGTCAAGGATACAGCGGAGTCAAGCAGCAGAGTTCCGAAGCTGCCGATGAGCCAGGGCAGGTGAGCGACGATAGCCTGGCCCTCGGTTTCGCCCGGTCTGGGGGCCTTCAGCACCAAACTCGTGCCGTACGTGCTGTTCCCCAGGATTGTAAGCATGAAGAGCGCCAGCGAGACTCCCTCCACCGAGTGCCGCTTGTACTGCAGCAGAGGAGAGGCAGCGCATCTCACACCACACGCGCAGCGTAAGCCTCGGTAGGCGCTCTCAAAGGATCTATTATTCCACCAACTCTCATGGGTGCAATCTGGGTCGGCCGCTGCCAAATACCCTCAAACAAGTTGGCAGCAAACCTTTCCTTGAGCGTGGGTTCTCGTGGTTGAGCCGTACGGCCTCCCAGCGTGCTCTCAGGTTGTACTGCGTGTTGCTGGGCATGACGTCCAACTTTTTACTCCGCATGCCGGAAGATACTTCGACAACTTGCATTCAGTTCTTGACTAATGCAGTGTGTGTATATATAGATATGTCAGTTGCTGCATTATATCCTCAACAGGTCAGTTCCTAAAGAGGCTCTCAGCATGTGCAGAAAAAGGCTCGACATCATGCCGAACGAGGCGTGGCGCAAGCCGAACGCGCACCGGAGAGAGTCAAGCGTGCGCTCGATTGTGTCGAGAGGCACCAGCGGCGCCGACTCACATTGCGGTACAGCTGTGGCAGCCTCCCTCCGAGGTAGAAGGCGGCAGAGGCTGAGCCGGAAGTGTAGCCGACCAGCTCCATCCATCCCAACGAAGGCAGCTTCTGCACGGGCACAGCCACTGGCGACGTTGAACGTTTTCTGGGCCAGCCGTTTATCGATTAACACCGCCTATGTCACTGGGCGGTGATGCGGCCCAGCAGTAGCGCGTTTGCCGCTTTTTGCAGAGGTTTGAATCCAGCAGCCACCATATTTGTACAGGCCTAATAATAACAACGCTACGTGTCATCCACTTCACAGTGGCCGTTACAGATTCCCTGACATCATTCACAAGAGTAAGGCCATCGTGTGCCCGTGTCAGGGGGATCCAAATTCGAAATGATCTACAAATGACTCAAAAGGGATTTTACATAGCAATCATCGCCCCCTACTGGCAGCAGAACACTGCACAGACCACTCTCGCAAATGAGACTGTACTTACACTATGAGACCTCCTTTACCAGTGGCAAAATATAGTAATAGGTTTTTACCCTTTCAACTGGTACTAAAACTGACACCTTTATACAAGGCATCATGTTTGCAATACCACAACACAAGCAGTCAAAATGCAAACAAAAAGAAAGAACTCTGATGATGATAATGATATGCACTGTCCTTGAAGTTGATTGGTCCACACCCGAGACAGCTTTTCTTAGAGCCTAGTCTCCATTGGTGTTGGACCAGATGACACCAAAAGGCGTCACCTGGAGACTAGGCTCTAAGAAAAGCTGTCTCGGGTGTGGACCAATCAACTTCAAGGACAGTGCATATCATTATCATCATCAGAGTTGTTTCTTTTTGTTTGCATTTTGACTGCTTGTGTTTGATTATTGCAAACATGATGCCTTGTATAAAGGTGTCAGTTTTTGTACCAGTTGAAAGGATAAAAACCTATTACTAGAGACTGTACTTATTCTCTTTGGGTTTTCCCCGGTTTAAACAAACTTGATTCACTGAAGCGCTCTGGCCACAGAGGTTATCTATAAACATTAGTGCTGTTGCCACGTCTGGTCTAGATTCCACTTCACGGTCAAAGCTGCCCAAATGGGCATAAAGGTCACAGTGCCATGAAAGAAATAGCTAAAGGGGCACTCCCACAAACTTGCAAAATCAACAGCGGCACAGTGTAAAAACGCTCGTAACTCACGCTAGCGTGGGCAAGAGCGCGGGAGGAGTTGGTCCCAAGGGCAGGGGCCTCCAGCAGGGGGTGGTGCCAGAAGAGGAGGAAAGGCAGCAGCAACGCGAGGAGGGTACAGGACAGCATCCAGCATACGCACGACCACTGCAGACAGCCGGCATCTGCAGGGCACACGCGGCGGACACAACAGCGGCGTCACCTCTCTCCGATCGGTAGGCGCGCAAAGGCCCTTTGGTTCTTTGACTCACTCGAAGAACACTCACGGTTACAGGCATCAAATCGTGCAGGTGGGAAGCGATTAGCTGTTAGCTATACGAATTCGATGCTAATGCTCGTGCAGCTAACAATCTAAACAACATAATCAACTCCTGCATCGAATCTCAGCTCCAAACTGCAATAACCTATCACATCGCAAACGGTATAAATTGTTTTATGAATTGTAAAAACATAACTAGGCAACAAAATACATGCAGTTGAAACTAGAACAATACCATAAGCCTATCGAGATCGAGGTGAAGATGGGCAGGTATTGATGACATTCTCACCATAATCGATCATCATCACCGTGCCACGCTTTCCTGTTTTTGGTAGGATGGATTCCTGTAGTCACCCATTTCAAAACAGCTGCCAATTAAATCAATCACTGAGCAACACATTGCTGTAATCGATCAATCGTTGCAGCACTACGTGTGCGACTCCGTCTCTCTTCGCTTGTATCGTCCGCAGACCGCCATGCTTGAATGGATAACAAAAGCAGCACACTGCTCCCTCACCGCCATTCCGATTTCTCACTCGGTAGTAGAGGTACTGGGACATCACCAAGTTGTCCATCATCACGTAGTCCACGGCCATTAACGTCTGAGTGTGAGCGCGGCACAGAAAACGCACGTGTTAGCAGCGCAACATGAACAGGTTTGATAATTGGTTTTTTACCCTTTTATCTGGAAACAAAACTGACACTTTTTTTACAAGGAGCCATGTTTGCATTGACCACAATACCTGCAGTCGGAATGCAAACAAAAAACATAACTCTGATAATGTATGCACTGTCCTTGAAATGCGCCTTTTGGCGTCATCTGGTCCAACACCATGTGAGCCTAGGCTCTAAAGAAAGCTGTCTCGGGTGTGGACCAATCAATTTCAAGGACAGTGCATACATTATCAGAGTTATGTTTTTGTTTGCATTCCGACTGCAGGTATCGTGGTCAATGCAAACATGACTCCTTGTAAAAAAGGTGTCAGTTTTGTTGCCAGATAAAAGAGTAAAAAACCAATGATCATATTTTGTTACTGGCAAATGAGGTTCCAATGATGAACAGGTTTCCCCACGGTGCCAGCACAAGGTTTATGTCACTGCGATGGTGATCCCCCACACAACAGCACCAGTTTTCCCCCACTCATCAGGGGGGAGCTCGAGCCGAGCCTGCTTCTCCATCGAGCCAGCAGCACCACGGGTTAACCCGATTCTCACGGGGACCGTACACACGTACCGATGCATCGACGTTTCACACAACGTCAGTGTACATCCTGCACAAGCACGCCGTTACGCTCCGACCAACGCTCACACACACAACACGTGCACACACACATGCGTTCGTCAGCCCACAAGGTCGTGGGAAAAGCTGCAGGTGAGGCCGTGGCTGTACCTGTAGGTGCGGCTGATTTGTCAGGATGCAGCCAATGAGGTTGGAGCAGTCGCCTCCCAGCCAAGCGAGCAGAAACCAAATGGAGAGGGCCTGGTCAGCTTTGCCAGAGCGGTACGACTCGTACAGCTGCCTGCTCGCACCGTGCCAAACAACGCGTGAGACGGACAGCAGTCACGGCATGACATGCCAGAGAGCTGCATGCTCAACAATGCAATGCAGTCATAGCAGTAGTAGTGATACCATTCCAGCGGGCCAGACCCTTTGGAGACATCCACTCTCTTATGAAACGGTGATCTGGGTGGCCATGCCCAATGCCGGTCAGCCGAGGGGACAATAATTATTTATCGATCTCGTTGAGCTCTCATCAGGCGAACGGAGTACTTTGTCCCCACGCTGCAGCTAGCTGCCAATCGCCATCTTTCACAAAAGAGTGGAAGCAACCTCGAAAATGGGGTTCCAGATGTTGTGGAACCGTTCCGTGTCATCACATCTTGATGCGCCCAGGTGCTCGCGGGCTGCTCGCTTGCACATCAATGTTGGATGTGTTTCAAAAGTCAGCTACCGATGTTCTTTCAAGTACTTTACAATTACCAATCTGTAGTAGCGTACACCGCGATAGAGTTAAAACGTATTCAGTGTTAAGGATAACACTGAAGGAGAGATCGATTGTCTGCACTGCATATTTCAAGTGGCAGATCACTTTGGCATGCAGCTAGTGGACATTGCATTGCTGGAATTTCCGCCATTATTAATGTTTATATTTGCCTGACAAAGTGCCCAAGCGACAGTCTCATGGAGGCCGTCACCGCTGGCTGATCCACCGCGACATTCCCCTCAACACCCACACGTGGCCAGCGGCAGCAAAAAGAACATGCACGACGGGCCCCGGACTCACGGCAGCATGGCCAGCAGGAAGCAGATGATGGACAGGAGCGCGAAGGCCACGCTCGCGTAGTCCCGGCTCCCATCAGGGCACTCCCCGAGCACGTGCCACAGCCACTGGGAACCCGCCGACGCGTTGGGGCACAGGAGGATCGGCGCAGGGCCCGGGGCGGTGCCGTTGCCGCCGGGGACGGCGGGAGTCCACGTGGCCACGGCGGCGTGCTGGGCCTGCGTGGTGTTCCCGCCGTAGACCATGGCTCGGAGCGAGCAGACGAGACGGGGATGGCCCTCGGTGGGTGAAGGCCGCGCCGATGGCCCACTGGGCAATGGCAAAACCTGCGGCGTAGAGCGGCGGTTAAGGCCCCCGGTGCGAACGCAACTGCCCGTCACCGCCTGTGCACACAAAGTGGGCTCACACCACCAAAGGGCACGTGGCACGATCAACAAATCGCTCTTTGATGGACACAGTCAAACTTCTCAACCCACTTGAAATTAAGTCTTGAGGCTTAGTGACATTAAACTGAATATACAATAGACATTTCAAAAAATAAATGCTGCTTTTTGATATTAAAACAAAGCCTTTTGTTTTTTGAGCACATACTTGATCACATTCGTGCCGGTCACTGCCTCTGGTGAGCACGATGCTGTGATCCCACCGGGGCAGTGGCCCTATTTATATCGTCCCACAGGTTGCTATAGCGAGGCTCGGTACACGTGGGTCATATTCAATCATAAGCGTTGCGTTGGACATCAAACCAGTTTTATAATGCAAATGGTACGCTGTAGAACTGAATGTCAAACACTACACCCATCTTATGAACCCTACATAAACCCAAACGCAAACATTTGAAGAACCATATAGGCTTTAAACATTTAAATATATATACTGTATGTGACCTTTACGTTTTAATGACCAGGTAAGAGCCCAGACACCTTGTTGAGTTTAATTACACGGCACAGATTTACAAAGCCTTTGAGAGACTGACTCCCAAGGTAACCTGTATATGGTACTGTATTACCTAGAATCTCAAACTAACACAGACCATCTTGACTTACAGCTTTCGTGACTGCAGGAATTCATATTGTTTGGGTCTTTCGGTAAAGTCACGTAGATAGGTTCAAGGAAAATAACAAAACAATAACAAAAAACTGATGACGAACGCTTGTGTTGCGATCTAAACTTCGGATTTTTGTTTGTTATCTTTTGTTATTTTATTAGAACCTATCTACGTGACTTTACCGAAATACCAAAATAATAACACAGATCATCTCTGTGAGCAGCTAAGGGCCCAATGAGAATATGGCATATGCGTCTATTTTATGATGTACAGTATACACGTACTCTACAGCAAAACAATTGTACAACTGTTGAAAAAAATAAAACAAAGGGAACACTGAAATGATTGAACCATGTAATTATCGGAGTACGTTGCTATGCCGGCTAATGAACTGCATTGAGAAGTTAGCAGCCAGAACGTGCCACTTGGCAAGACAGGGCAGTACATATATTCAATATTCACTGTGTAATAGATTTAAAACATGTGATGGAGCATTACCACAGGATACCATCAAAATATGAACTGCTCTATATATTCTAAATGCAAGGATGAGAACTTAAAATATATTAATTGCTTCCAACATGTATTTATTAAAATGCTTTAATTGAAATAGAACAATCAAACATGTTACAATTGTTAAGTTAAATAAAGTTATAATAACAAAACATAAAACAATTCCAACAAGACCGTTAATAGGACTTTTCAAATCGCAAAAAAATCGCAGCCTCTGCGATTTACCAATCGCATTGTTTCAAACTGCGATTTCGATTTGAAATCGATTAATCGTTCAGCCATATCCCGTACTCGTGGTGCAGTCGCCACAATCGCCACGACTCCCACCCCCCCGTGTCTCTCACCACCACCACCTCATCCTCGTTCATCCCCACCTCCTCAGTCGATGTCCATGGACGAGGAACAACAGCAGGGATGATGCTTCATCAGCTACAGCTGCTGCTGCTGCGGCTAGATGAGCCACGTGTCGCGTCAACACGGCTGCTGATGGCGCTCGCCCCGTGTCTGCACGCCAGCTGGAGCACCAACAACAGCAGCAGGAGCAGCAGCAGGAGCAGCAGCAGCAGGGCCGGCTTCAGCAAAGCTTCTGCAGCAGGAGCCACAGGAGGAGCGACACGCAATCTGGAGCAGCGACAACTTCAGCAGCAGCAGCGGCGGCAAAAGCAGAAAGTTACACCGGCAGCAGTAGCAGAAGCAACAGCAGCAGCTACAGCAGCAGAAGCAACAGCAGCAGCTACAGCAGCATCAGCAGTAGATACAGCAGTAGTAGCTACAGCAGAAGCTACAGCTACAGCAGCATCAGCAGAAGCAACAGCAGCAGAAGCAACAGCAGCAGAAGCAACAGCAGCAGCTACAGCAGCAGCTGCAGCAGCTACTACAGCAGCAGCAGCTACAACAGCAGCAGCTGCAGCAGCAACAGCAGCTACATTAGCAGCAGCAGCAACAATAGAAGCAGCAGCAGCTACAGTAGCTGCAGCAGCAGCAGCTGCCACGTGCGCCGCCTGCAACCTCGCGGGCCCCTCGGATCCGGCTGCGCTCGCCGCCTCCTCCCCCCCCACCCGCACGTCCCTCCCGTTTCCATGGCGACCTCTCTCTCAGCAGTGAGCCCCCCACTCTCCGTGTTAACCACCTCTCTCTCTCTCTCACACAGCAATGAGCCCTCCACTCTCCGTGTTAACCACCTCTCTCTCTCACAGCAGGGAGCCCCCCACTCTCCGTGTTAACCACCTCTCTCTCTCTCTCACACAGCAATGAGCCCTCCACTCTCCGTGTTAACCACCTCTCTCTCTCACAGCAGGGAGCCCCCCACTCTCCGTGTTAACCACCTCTCTCTCTCAGCAGTCAGCCCCCCACTCTGCGTGTTAACCACCTCTCCCTCTCACAGCAGTGAGCCCCCCACTCTCCGTGTTAACCACCTCTCTCTCACAGCAGCCAGCCCCCCACTCTCCGTGTTAACCACCTCTCTCTCTCAGGAGTGAGCCCCCCACTCTCCGTGTTAACCACCTCTCTCTCTCACAGCAGCCAGCCCCCCACTCTCCGTGTTAACCACCTCTCTCTCTCACAGCAGTGAGCCCCCCACTCTCCGTGTTAACCACCTCTCTCTCAGCAACGAGCCCCCCACTCTCCGTGTTAACCACCTCTCTCTCTCTCAGCAAAGAGCCCCCCACTCTCCGTGTTAACCACCTCTCTCTCTCACAGCAGCGTGCCCCCCACTCTCCGTGTTAACCACCTCTCTCTCTCTCAGGAGTGAGCCCCCCACTCTCCGTGTTAACCACCTCTCTCTCTCACAGCAGCCAGCCCCCCACTCTCCGTGTTAACCACCTCTCTCTCTCACAGCAGCGTGCCCCCCACTCTCCGTGTTAACCACCTCTCTCACAGCAGCGTGCCCCCCACTCTCCGTGTTAACCACCTCTCTCTCACAGCAGGGAGCCCCCCACTCTCCGTGTTAACCACCTCTCTCTCTCAGCAGTGAGCCCCCCACTCTCCGTGTTAACCACCTCTCCCTCTCACAGCAGTGAGCCCCCCACTCTCCGTGTTAACCACCTCTCTCTCTCTCAGCAGTGAGCCCTCCACTCTCCGTGTTAACCACCTCTCTCTCTCAAAGCAGCCAGCCCCCCACTCTCCGTGTTAACCATCTCTCTCTCACAGCAGTGAGCTCCCCACTCTCCGTGTTAACCACCTCTCTCTCTCTCTCAGCAGTGAGCCCCCCACTCTCCGTGTTAACCACCTCTCTCTCTCACAGCAGCCAGCCCCCCACTCTCCGTGTTAACCACCTCTCTCTCTCTCACAGCAGCCAGCCCCCCACTCTCCGTGTTAACCACCTCTCTCTCTCACAGCAGCGTGCCCCCCACTCTCCGTGTTAACCACCTCTCTCTCACAGCAGCGTGCCCCCCACTCTCCGTGTTAACCACCTCTCTCTCACAGCAGGGAGCCCCCCACTCTCCGTGTTAACCACCTCTCTCTCTCTCAGCAGTGAGCCCCCCACTCTCCGTGTTAACCACCTCTCTCTCTCACAGCAGTGAGCCCCCCACTCTCCGTGTTAACCACCTCTCTCTCTCTCTCTCAGTAGTGAGCCCCCCACTCTCCGTGTTAACCACCTCTCTCTTTCTCTCTCAGTAGTGAGCCCCCCACTCTCCGTGTTAACCACCTCTCTCTCTCTCTCAGCAGTGAGCCCCCCACTCTCCGTGTTAACCACCTCTCTCTCAGCAGTGAGCCCCCCACTCTCCGTGTTAACCACCTCTCTCTCTCACAGCAGGGAGCCCCCCACTCTCCGTGTTAACCACCTCTCTCTCTCACAGCAATAAGCCCCCCACTCTCCGTGTTAACCACCTCTCTCTCTCTCAGCAGTGAGCCCCCACTCTCCGTGTTAACCACCTCTCTCTCACAGCAGTGAGCCCCCCACTCTCCGTGTTAACCACCTCTCTCTCTCTCACACAGCAATGAGCCCCCCACTCTCCGTGTTAACCACCTCTCTCTCAGCAGTGAGCCCCCCAATCTCCGTGTTAACCACCTCTCTCTCTCACAGCAGGGAGCCCCCCACTCTCCGTGTTAACCACCTCTCTCTCTAACAGCAATGAGCCCCCCACTCTCCGTGTTAACCGCCTCTCTCTCTCTCTCAGCAGTGAGCCCCCACTCTCCGTGTTAACCACCTCTCTCTCACAGCAGTGAGCCCCCCACTCTCCGTGTTAACCACCTCTCTCTCTCTCTCTCTCACACAGCAATGAGCCCCCCACTCTCCGTGTTAACCACCTTTCTCTCTCAGCAGTGAGCCCCCCACTCTCCGTGTTAACCACCTCTCCCTCTCACAGCAGTGAGCCCCCCACTCTCCGTGTTAACCACCTCTCTCACAGCAGCCAGCCCCCCACTCTCCGTGTTAACCACCTCTCTCTCTCTCAGGAGTGAGCCCCCCACTCTCCGTGTTAACCACCTCTCTCTCTCACAGAAGCCAGCCCCCCACTCTCCGTGTTAACCACCTCTCTCTCTCACAGCAGTGAGCCCCCCACTCTCCGTGTTAACCACCTCTGTCTCAGCAACGAGCCCCCCACTCTCCGTGTTAACCACCTCTCTCTCAGCAAAGAGCCCCCCACTCTCCGTGTTAACCACCTCTCTCTCACAGCAGCGTGCCCCCCACTCTCCGTGTTAACCACCTCTCTCTCTCTCAGGAGTGAGCCCCCCACTCTCCGTGTTAACCACCTCTCTCTCTCACAGCAGCCAGCCCCCCACTCTCCGTGTTAACCACCTCTCTCTCTCACAGCAGCGTGCCCCCCACTCTCCGTGTTAACCACCTCTCTCACAGCAGCGTGCCCCCCACTCTCCGTGTTAACCACCTCTCTCTCACAGCAGGGAGCCCCCCACTCTCCGTGTTAACCACCTCTCTCTCTCAGCAGTGAGCCCCCCACTCTCCGTGTTAACCACCTCTCCCTCTCACAGCAGTGAGCCCCCCACTCTCCGTGTTAACCACCTCTCTCTCTCTCAGCAGTGAGCCCCCCACTCTCCGTGTTAACCACCTCTCTCTCTCAAAGCAGCCAGCCCCCCACTCTCCGTGTTAACCATCTCTCTCTCACAGCAGTGAGCTCCCCACTCTCCGTGTTAACCACCTCTCTCTCTCTCTCTCAGCAGTGAGCCCCCCACTCTCCGTGTTAACCACCTCTCTCTCTCACAGCAGCCAGCCCCCCACTCTCCGTGTTAACCACCTCTCTCTCTCTCACAGCAGCCAGCCCCCCACTCTCCGTGTTAACCACCTCTCTCTCTCACAGCAGCCAGCCCCCCACTCTCCGTGTTAACCACCTCTCTCTCTCATAGCAGCGTGCCCCCCACTCTCCGTGTTAACCACCTCTCTCTCTCACAGCAGCGTGCCCCCCACTCTCCGTGTTAACCACCTCTCTCTCACAGCAGGGAGCCCCCCACTCTCCGTGTTAACCACCTCTCTCTCTCTCAGCAGTGAGCCCCCCACTCTCCGTGTTAACCACCTCTCTCTCTCACAGCAGTGAGCCCCCCACTCTCCGTGTTAACCACCTCTCTCTCTCTCTCAGCAGTGAGCCCCCACTCTCCGTGTTAACCACCTCTCTCTCTCTCACAGCAGCCAGCCCCCCACTCTCCGTGTTAACCACCTCTCTCTCTCACTGCAGGGAGCCCCCACTGTCCGTGATGCTGAGTGATGATGCGGTGGTTGAGTAGCGGGTGGAGGAGGTAGTCGCTCTATTAGTGCTGTGGGCTCGTGGCCAGCTCCACGGGTGTCTCGCTCCGACCAGTCGAGCGGCATTTGTCTCAGCGTCGTCATCGGCAGCAGCAGCAGCTGTGCCTGGCAGGAGAACATAACCAGAACTATGTCATCTAAATGTCATCTATATGTCATCTCCACCTACCGCCGCCGGCATACCGTAATTACTTTCATTATTTTACGGGACACGTTCGTAAATGCCACTTCGTGTGTGTGTGGTATTTCTTCACAGGAGGTAAAATTGTGATTGTGCACCGCTGCAAAACGGAGTGTCACGGACGAAGAAGAATACACATGTGCTGTAATTGAGGTTTATTGGGTTAGCCTATGTTTAACAAAAACAAACTCTCATGGATAATATTGGTCGCGAAAATCCACGTGTCAAACTTAACATAAACGTATTTATTAAGCTTGTTTACCCAGGGAAGGGATGAACGAGACTCGTTTTCACGAGGGTCTTGCCAACGTTTCCCAGTAGGTGGCGATGCTCCACCGCTCCCTCGCTGCTCACAGCGCGATGCTGGAGGCGAGAAGCTGCCCCACGGCCTCAACCCCCCACGGCCTCCACCCCCCACGGCCTCCACCCCCCACGGCCTCCACCCACGGCTACCTCCACTGATGAAATAAGCCAAACTCAGTGTCTGTGGGGGAAGGGGCAAGGGCCTAAACAGTTGGAGGGGGGAGAGCGCCTTGACAAAATAATTTGCATATCAAGAGGAATTTAGCATATTTATGGTGGGGGCCTAAGTCAGGAAGGGATGGGGCCCATAGAGGTTGAACTCCACTGTTGATTTAAGGTACCATAGGAGCGTGAAATCAAACACGTGCAGCAGGCAGCGGAGCTTTTTAGTGCCGCAGATGCGGCCACAGGTCAACTAACTAGTCGCTGTGGGTTATCCAAATTGAGTAATTTGCGGGTAGTTTTACGAATTTGGAGCAGTCATCGAAACCCTAACCCGATCATTTAAAGGGACACACCAATTGTGTCTGAGAAGGCTACTTCCAACCTGTGCAAAGTGCCAATCGTGACATGGGTCATAAATCAATGAAGTCTTTATTTCTATAGCACTATTTCGTGAAAAGGATGCCATTCAAAGTGCAACACGTAAAAACAATTTTAAAAAAATTGGCGGACACGGGCAAAAAACAGAAAATCATGGAGAAAGAAATGCATTATGGGATTTGCATTGATAGACAACGAGGAACGCATACAGTGAGGGAAAAAGTATTTGATCCCCTGCTGATTTTGTACGTTTGCCCACTGACAAAGAAAGGATCAGTCTATCATTTTAATGGTAGATTTATTTGAACAGTGAGAGACAGAATAACAACAACAAAATCCAGAAAAACGCATGTCAAAAATGTTATAAATTGATTTGCATTTTAATTAGGGAAATAAGTATTTGACCCCTCTGCAAAACATGACTTAGTACTTGGTGGAAAAAGCCTTGTTGGCAATCACAGAGGTCAGACGTTTCTTGTAGTTGGCCACCAGGTTTGCACACATCTCAGGAGGGATTTTGTCCCACTCCTCTTTGCAGATCTTCTCCAAGTCATTAAGGTTTCGAGGCTGACGTTTGGCAACTCGAACCTTCAGCTCCCTCCACAGATGTTCTATGGGATTAAGGTCTGGAGACTGGCTAGGCCACTCCAGGACCTTAATGTGCTTCTTCTTGAGCCACTCCTTTGTTGCCTTGGCCGTGTGTTTTGGGTCATTGTCATGCTGGAATACTCATCCACGACCCATTTTCAATGCCCTGGCTGAGGGAAGGAGGTTCTCACCCAAGATTTGACGGTACATGGCCCCGTCCATCGTCCCTTTGATGCGGTGAAGTTGTCCTGTCCCCTTAGCAGAAAAACACCCCCAAAGCATAATGTTTCCACCTCCATGTTTGATGGTGGGGATGGTGTTCTTGGGGTCATAGGCAGCATTCCTCCTCCAAACACGGCGAGTTGAGTTGATGCCAAAGAGCTCCATTTTGGTCTCATCTGACCACAACACTTTCACCCAGTTGTCCTTTGAATCATTCAGATGTTCATTGGCAAACTTCAGACGGGCATGTATATGTGCTTTCTTGAGCAGGGGGACCTTGCGGGCGCTGCAGGATTTCAGTCCTTCACGGCGTAGTGTGTTACCAACTGTTTTCTTGGTGACTATGGTCCCAGCTGCCTTGAGATCATTGGCAAGATCCTCCCGTGTAGTTCTGGGCTGATTCCTCACCGTTCTCATGATCATTGCAACTCCACAAGGTGAGATCTTGCATGGAGCCCCAGGCCGAGGGAGATTGACAGTTCTTTTGTGTTTCTTCCATTTACGAATAATCGCACCAACTGTTGTCACCTTCTCACCAAGCTGCTTGGCGATGGTCTTGTAGCCCATTCCAGCCTAGTGTAGGTCTACAATCTTGTCCCTTACATCCTTGGAGAGCTCTTTGGTCTTGGCCATGGTGGAGAGTTTAGAATCAGATTGATTGCTTCTGTGAACAGGTGTCTTTTATACAGGTAACAAGCTGAGATTAGGAGCACTCCCTTTAAGAGTGTGCTCCTAATCTCAGCTCGTTACCTGTATAAAATACACCTGGGAGCCAGAAATCTTTCTGATTGAGAGGGGGTCAAATACTTATTTCCCTCATTAAAATGCAAATCAATTTATAACATTTTTGACATTACTCGCGCTCGGCTTACCTGTACGTTTTCACGTGTGTGTTTAACTATTGTGGTTCTTTGTTATTTTAAAGATGGCAGTTCTGCTGTGTATTAATACTGCTGTCCCTCCCGGCCATATCTAGTGCCAAACACAACTACACCACTGACAGCCCTCGTTATTTCTCGTCCATAGTTGATGCTCCATTTACCACTACACCTGCTAGTGAAACAGCTTATAGCCACTGCTACACTCCATCATTGTATCCTTTTAAACCCTATCTCTGTCCTATTACTTCACCAGCACTCCTTCCTAACTTCATTATACTCTTAAAAATGTCACCATACGTAAGCAGCTGCTATTCGTCCAAGGTTCGTCGCTCTTCATCCTTTCACAGAAAATACTTGTGCAAACTATTAATTTTACTTTTCTTATTTCTGGGAGGTATTGAGCTTCACCCTGGCCCAAATGTAAATAACTCATTTAATTCTGTAGATTTTTCTGGCAGAAAAGGTGTTGGTGTTCTACACGTCAACATCAGAGGGCTTGTGATTAAATTAAGTCAACTAAAACTAGAAGTGACAAATCTGGACCCGGACATTTTCTGCCTTACAGAAACATTTCTCACTCCGGCCGTCAATGACTTGCAGATTACGATTGACAACGACAACCTTTTTCGGCTTGACCGAGGGTCTAAATGAGGTGGAATTGCCATATATGTTCGTAGTACTATTGCATGTTCACCAGCTTATTCCTTGTTAAAGAAATATTGCTTTGAAGGTCTGGCTCTCAGAATCACTCTCCCTAAGAATCAACAGATATTGGTAGTGTGCTGCTATAGACCGCCTAAGGGGAAGGATGTTGAAGCTGGAGACGCACTGAGGGAGCTTCTTGGGGGCCTCCCTAAAGGTGAAATCATTTTAATGGGTGATCTCAATTGGAATTGGCTAAACCCGCCGGCCGTGGCCACAAAATTTGCAGATGAATTTAACCTATCTTCTTGGTTCTTTCGGTAAAGTCACGTAGAAGAGAAGTAATAAAATAAAAATAAAACATAATAAAATTAGTGAGAATAATTGTATTATGTTTTATTTTTATTTTATTACTTCCCTTCTACGTGACTTTACCGAAAGAACCAAGAAGATGAATCCCTGTAGTCACGAACGCTTTAAATCAGAATTTAACCTATTTAAATTAATTAATGTCCCCACAAGACCCAACTTAAAAATCCCGGGACAGTCATCTCTGCTTGACGTCCTATTGACAAATGCTTCTCACAATTTCGCACTGACTGGTGTTCTGGGAAATAACCTTAGTGATCACTCCTTCATTTTTGGGGTGAGATCATCAACCAGACCCAAAGCCCCCCCTAAATTGGTTGAGAAGCACTCCATGAGACACTTCAGCATTCAGGCATTTACTAATGATGTGCTTCACTCGGATATTGACAAGGTCTGTGATATCCCCAATCTGACTACGGCTTGGGAGACTTTAAGGTACACGTTTCTCCAAATTCTTAACAAACATGCTCCGTTGGTTAGATTTAAAACTAAAGGCAACCGCCCACCATGGTTTGATCCCTTGATTACTAAGCTCATGAAAACTAGTGACAAGGCTTGGGCATGTGCTCAGAAAAGTAATTTGGTCCATGAATGGCTAGAATACAGGACTTTAAGGAATAGATGCGTCAATAAAATAAGGCATGCAAAAAATGCATACTTTTCCTCCACTCTCCTGGAATCACATGGAAATGCCAGGATCTTCTGGAAAACAATCAAAAGTATCGAAAAGGCATCTAACACAGATAATCTGCCCGTTGAGCTTAACCGAAATGGGCAATATTTTTCAGAGCCCCAAAAAATAGTTGACAATTTTAACCTTAATTTTTCTGAAGCTGGTGACCTTTTTGATAATGTATTGAGAGTCACCCCTGCACATGCAAATTCCTACACCCCTGTACAAGCATTAAACGAATTTAGTTTCCAGCCAAGCCACGAAAGTAATGTTCTGAACAACTGTCCTACCTCAAAGGGTCCTCCTCTACCGGAACGGATAGTATTCCCGTCTTTGCTCTGCTAACTGTTGGTCACCTAATATACAAACCTATAGCCCATATTTTTAACCTGTCCATCAAAGAAGCATCAATACCTCTAGAATGGAAACATTCATATGTTCATCCACTTCACAGAGGGGGCCCTAAAGATGATCCAAATAACCACCGACCTATCTCAATTTTGTCCGCGTTGATGAAAATTTTTTAAAAATTATTTAACTACCAAGTTAGCAGTCTCCTGTCCGGCAACAATCTATTACATCGAAAACAATCTGGGTTCCTAAAAAAATACAGCACCACATCTGCTGCAGTAGACTCTCTGAATCACATTTACAGTAGCCTTGATAATAAGCAGTACTGCGCCAGTCTATTTCTTGACTTGTC